CCCCAACGGTCCCCTTTAGGGCCACAATTACGTTGTGTACAGCTGCATAAATATTTTGAATTAACGTGTTAATGAAATAGTGCATTTGTGGGTGATACTCAGCTAGAGTTTATGTTTTTTATTAAATACATTTTGTTCTGACGTACAGCGAAGAAAGTGGGTCGATCCAGGCAGAAACCGTCAAGAACCAGAATTTTGAATGATAAAATAATGAAAAATCATGCGATGATTCCATATAAATCTGCTGGTTAAAGATGTCAGCAATTGCGACTTCATAGGTTTTGAAAGGTAAGTGTTATTCTACCAGACAGTGAAAGAGTCAGTTTGATTTGAGGAGTTGCCGCCGAGAACGAGAATTTTGAAAAATTACGCGATTTTAGGTTTCCTAATGACAGCTGACATTTAAACTCTTATAAATCCGGACTTTGAAGGTGTGTGATGTTGGTACTTCATGTGTTTTGTAGAGTGAGGTTTGCCCTACCAGAATCTGTCTTAGCTGTGCCGATCCAATGAAACATCGCCGAGATCCAGGCTCTTGAAAAAGCAGGTAAAAAACCGTTTTTTGACATTCAACAGCTCATAACTTCTTCAGAACCGCATGAATCATGTTGCGACTTCATAGTTTAGATTCTCCTCTTCAATAGCTTTCAGAAGATACATAATATGTGCGGGACTCAATGTTTCTTGCGGCTCTAACCCCGGGTGGAGATTTTTCATCACTAATTCTCCACCTCGCCCATTTCAATGTATTGGCTGGAGGCCGCCAGTGGAGAATTTGTGATGAAAAGTCTCCACCCACGGGCACATGCCGTGGGAGGCATGAATCCCCACGAATTATATATCGTCTGAAAGCTCTTGAAGAGAAAAATCTAACCTATGAAGTCGCAACATGATTCATGCAGTAATGAAGAAGTTATGAGCTGTTAAAGTTTGAAAAGCGCTTTTTTACCTACTTTTTTAAAAGCCTGGATCTCGGCGATGTTTTAATGGGTCGGTACAGCTGAGACAGATTCTGATAGGGCAAACCTCACTCTACAAAATCTATGAAGTCGCAACATCACATACCTTCAAAGTCCGGATTTATAAGAGTTTAAATGTCAGATGTCATTAGGCAACCTAAAGTCGCGTAATTTTTCAAAATTTTCGTTCTCGGCGGCAACTCCTCAAATCAAACTGATTCTTTCACTATCTGGTAGAACAACACTTACCTTTCAAAACCTACGAAGTCGCAATTGCTGACATCTTCAACCAGCAGATTTATAACAGTGGAATCATCGCACGATTTTTTATTATTTATTATTCGAAATTCTGGTTCTCGGCGGTTACTGCCTGGATCAACCTACTTTCTTCGCAGTACGTCGTAACAAAATATACTTGAAAAAACACATAAAGTCTAGCCGAGTATCAATCACAAATACACTGTTTCATTAACACGTTGCAGCTATACTCATCGTATTTGTGGCCCTAAAGAGGACCATTGGGTTAGAGCTTTTCATATCCGAAGTCAATTATGAAGCTTTGCTCTATCGTAGAAAGTGCTGAGGCGTATATGCGTCCATGTCGGTGATGGCCTCCAGGTGCTCGCAGTAGGCGAGGCGACTTCCTAGAAGTAAACTACCTAGAATATGCTCTCAATACTTTCTTTTGCGTTCGTTTTGCTTTGCTTATTTTCGTTTTTTTTTCAGTTTCAGCAAGAAAAATCGAAACCCAAAAGTGAAGGTGGTCACCCTGTACCACTAGCGCCAGCGGCTGGCAACGACCTGGGAGGATAGCTCAGTTCGCCCGTCCTATGGCCCCCCTCCCTACCCCCCCCCCCCCCTCCCCCTCTCTACTCCCCACCCCACCCGGTCAACGTTTTTGAGAGGTGAGTGTCCGGTACTACCACCTTCACTTTTGCGGCCAGTGGTAGCTGGACCCCTCCCCCCGGTCGATGTTTTTGTGAGGTGAGTGTCCGGCACTACTACCTTCACTTTTGCCGGCCTGTAGTAGCTGGAACCACCTTCACTTTTGGGGGGCCCGGCTCCACCCACCGCACCTCTGCTCGTAGTGGTAAATCGCGCTCCAATCGACATCCTTGCAAAGGCCGCTTAGGGTTGCTTCAAATGACGCCACACCCCGTTAACTATACCAAAAAAACATTTTTAGCGAACATTATTTATATGAGTCTATAGCCTGAACCTCGTAGATTCCATAGGGATGTTTTAAGCCTGATTCGTCTTCTTAGCTCTGAGTAATTTTGGTGAAAACACAGCCATTGAAAGCGAAAAGTGGGAAAAATGAGATTTTGGTTGGCTTCTAATTCCACAGTTTGGAGGTCTTTTGAAGCGGGATTTCTGAGATGGACAAAGAAAGAGTGGTGCTTTGTCTTGAGTGCAAAAACGGATAGCTAATTCACTTTGAAACAAAGTTAATCATGTTGGAAAATGACCATTTCACTTAGGTAGCCTAGTATCCTGAATCTTCAGAATTCGCTCAAACTTTGTCTACAGGGGTTAATTGACATGCTAATTATGGATTGGATACGAATATCATGTTATCACTATTATCAGATAATCCAACTACGACCCCCTCCCCTTTTGACTCCTCAATACGACCCCCCAGGTGTGGCGTGCCACACCCCACGCTTGACCCTGGTGAGAGGTTCTGGTTCGATTCTTTGTATATTAGAGGGATCTCTAAATCTGCTGCACGTTCGTGTTCTTCGAGAGTATTTCTTTAAAGTTTGCAATCTTCTTCTTTTCTTTTACCTTGCCTTATCGTCGATCAGATTATTCTTCTCGGTTTTGATTTTGTGTCCGCCCTCGATCCCAGGAGACTTATCTCCTGCAGTTTATTGTCATCAATGACTACAATGCGCTACTTTATTTATATCTACGGGAGGTACTAGATTTTTGTCTTTTCATTGAAACCCTTTCATCGGGCGATGTATTTGTATAAGAGACTTCTAGTAACAACAAAGTGCTAGATTCAGATTATGCAGATTGCAGTTAGCCATGATGCCAAACTGTGCAAAACCAAAAGTTGAGGGAGCGCATGAATTCAAGAAGAAACATTTTATCAACGATGAGACAAATTTAAGGAGAAAAAAGGTTGCAAACACTGAAGGAATACTCTTAGAGAACACGAATGAGCAGCAGATATTTGATACATTGATAAAAACATGTGCATGAGTGTATTCTCACTGCGACTGCAGCGGGGTACGCAGCGCACGCGACAGGCTGCCGCGTCCTGCGGTGTAGTATGAAGGAACTCTTAGAGCTTGTGCTTCACTTTGCCTCTGGCACTACAGAATTGTGTTGTATTGTCTTGCACACGGTATGTGTAAAATCCTCCACATACTTCGTTAGTAATGCATGTAAAGAATTTTTTATTGGGGCTCCGCCGCGGACCTTGTAGAAACGAAGTCTCCTTTGCTTTTTGTCCCAAAAACGAGTTCCAGCTTGGTTCAATGTGTGCCGGGCCCTGGTTATGCACCTTCACTCACCTTAAAAAACATGTCTGTCGCCTTTGAAGGTATCTACTTCTTTGCACCGAACAAGTTGATGAAGTTGATGCTGATATTTACCGTAGTACAATGAAACACTTTGCGATTTCTGATTCCCTACAAGTTAATGAAGTTGATGCTGATATTTACCGTAGTACAATGAAACACTTTGCGATTTCTGATTCCCTTATTTATTCACTATCAAGTGTAAGAACTGGAAATGATAACATACAGTCTAGTCATGTAACATTTTGAACGAACACACTCAGAACGTTGTCAGAGCATGTAGATGTCCAGCTACAATCCTATAGGTGATCATCCTAAAGCCGTCAGATAGCGGGATTGAAGGCCAAGTTTATAACCAGAGTTGAGCAAGAGGTCAGGCGCAAGTCATTCGAAAACGACCCCATCCCTCCCATGAAAGCCCTCAAACGACCCCTTCGTCCTCCTCATGACCTCCCAACCTCAGAGTGTGACATTCTGGAGGACATCATCCTTTTCTAGAGTTTTTAGATTTTCGAGGACTGTACGGGCGATTTTCTGTGACTGCACTTTACAATTGACGCCTGATTTTGATCTGAATGAGCCCATTGGAAGGGCCATAATTTTTCTAGGGGTGGGGCGTTCGGCTCCAAATTTCCACTGTAGCAAGAAGAAGCTATGGGCTCAATACTCATAGCAGGAATGTAGCGATTTCTGGATATCTAAGGCAAGTTAATCGGGTCAGGCGCAACCCCTCAAAAGCTCAGGCCGCCTGACCTTTTGAGGGGTTGCGCCCGACCCGATTAACTTTACCAACAAAAAAGCTTTTCCACCCTAGTTTTATATGATTCGCTAGCGTGAACCTCGAAGATTCTACAGCAGGCGTTTGAGCTTACCTCGACTTGTTCTGGCTTTGTGGTGATCGGTGGAGTTGAAGCCGAGCTGAACGCGGTGACTAACATTATGGCAGCACTTTTTAATCCATTATTTGAAAGCGATATGAAGTCCAATTTCCACCATGGAATGATAAATAGTAATACTTTGTTATGAATACAGAAAACCTGACTTCTTTTGGTTTTGTCACCAAGTTAATCATGTTTGATAATCACGCTTTTTGGACGCTAGGAACCATTCAAAAATGTAATGAGCAATGGTTTAGAGCTCGCTGAGGTATTGGCATGCTAATTACCTGAATCAAACCCAATTTACACAAAAAACTTCTTTGGTGACCTCACGGTATGTGAAAAATGATATGAAGAATTGAAATTTGGCTGAGACTTCGTTAGTCGAGTTAGCCAACATGTCTTTCACGACAGTCATTCCTCTGGTGGAGTTGTGAGAATCACGATTGAGTGCTTTTTTTTTCACCTTACTCAATCGTAGTATTTCCTCACTTTTTTGAACAAATTCGCTTCTTGATTACGACCCCCTCTTGCTCTTACCGGGTAGAGGACTATATGTCGCCGATAAAGGGCGGTCCCCGCGGTCATTTGCGACAAATTCGCACCCTTGTATATGAGCGGACATGCGCTCCTGCAGGAAATCCGCGCGGGACTCTTCCAAATTCGGCGACATATAGTCCTCCACCCGCTCTTACCCCCTGTACGACCCCCCAGGTCGGGCGCACCTGACCCCACGCTCAACCCTGTTTATAAGTGCTCCGCGGCCTGTCGAACGGATATTGTCCTGCCTTTGAGAAAATGATTTGCAGGAGAAGTTCTCTATAATAATATCATTTAAATATATAACAACTGATAGTAGCAAACCCACAGTGGCCGATGCGACTTCGCGTGAACCCACCGAACTCCGCTTTAGAGATGAACCACCTGTAATGTACCGTAGTCAATACGGCAAGAACTAGGAGTACACAGACATCTGAAATCTGTGATTGTAGAGAGCAGCCGCAACAACTTAGCCATATGGTCGCTTGTAACACAATTTATGCGAATTTATGAGCTAAATTAAGGGCAGTTTGAGCCGATCAGTACTACCAGAATATTACAACAGCGTGCAACGAACAAGTTCATCAGAAGCTTGCAATTCCGACTTACAATCAGGATTGCCGTACTTTGAACTAAAAGGAAGCTGCGTTTATATAAAATCAATTTTTGGACTATGGCTGATTTTCTGGAACCTAAAAACCAACTAGTACTATCTGAGAGTTTCAGTGGCGGACCAAGGGGCGATTTTGGAAGCTACTTACATGATTAAAGGTGTGCGTGATCTTTTATACTTGTAAATGACCAACATGATTTCAAAAAAAAATTTTTTTTTTGAGAATTCAAATTAACCTGTAAAGGTTTTTCGCACGGGTGTGGATGCCGCCACGACCCCTTTTCTGGAAATTCGGAATTATGGCCGCAAAAATTTTGTAAGGCATCCCAACAGACTTCGGAGTGCGTGGCGAACTCCACGCACCTTCACCGAAAAATTTTAGTCGTCCCGCCCCCTCCACCTCGAACGGAAATCCTGGCACTGCCACTGGATAGTTTTTAGAGGCTTGGTTGCTCTCGCAAGCTTCAAATTGAAGGTCTATTTGAAGCAGGTAATTGCGTTCCCGAAAATTTAGATTGTTCTATGGATAAATTACTTCAGACGTAAAGGCATGCAAACAATAAGAAGTGGGAAATCTGTGGTAAATCGACACCTAGTCACTTCAACTTAGTTAGTAGTGCAAAATGTTCACAGGGACCTTGCTCACCATCTTCTGCATTTCAATCGTCCATTTGCTTTGGAAAAAGTATGCAGTTGCAACTATATCTTTACTAAAACCGGAGGAGGAAAAGCAGCCACAACTAAATTCATTTCTGGTCCACTTGACATAGCGGGGGTGGAGGGCAAAACATAATTGGTGTGATATTAATTTGCGAACAGCACGCAAATTACGTTGAGACCAAATCCGTAAATGCTTATTTTGCGGCTTGTTTTTTGCTTTCTGAGCGCACGAACATGCAGTTGTCAAAAACATGGTTACAAAGATTGAGCTTTACCTGAAAAGGTTCTGCGGCTGCAATCTGATCTCCGAACTGATCGGTGCTCTTTCGTCTCGCTAAGGTATTTTGAAAATTCAGGTGGCATAGGTTTTAACACATGTTTCCATCCTATTAAGCCTAAAAAGCACTCTAGAGTAATAACCTTCTGTTTCAGAAACACGATAACGGCAGAAAAAAAATGCACTGACTAAGTTGGTCTTTTCAGAAAACACCCTTTACTTCCTTCTGCTGACCTCGAATATCACGGATGGTAGCTCCTTTCTCATGATGGGATTAAACTAATGCACTTCCTACATGTCATTTGCAGAAACTGTCCAACTCCTCGTTATTTGATTAGTTTGACTACACTTTGGAAAAAGTTCCTGGTTGCTCTAGTGCTTCAGCGTCTAGCTCCGCAAATAATTTCAACCACAAGTGGAATGATACATGCGAAACTTACTGCAGAGCTTCTGGTAAAGTTGTGAGTGAAAGATCCACATTGCGTAACGAATTTCTACTAGCCGACTGGCATAAATAAATGCATCTGCGATAAGTTTTAGTACATTGAGCAAGTGGCTTAGAATTCTGAAATGAACGTTACCAGATTTTGTGAAGAGGAAACCATTCCTTTTTCGCTCGCTTACCTCAGATACATAGTCGCGCGAAGTGGAAGTTGAAAGAGGCAGGTATCACATATGAGAACAAAAAGCACAGTAGTCGGAAGCCAGCCTGGGAAAAGAAATATGAGAAAACTTTACGTAGTTTTTGTAAACATGCAGAAAAGCACCAGCTTAGCTGAGTTTGCGCTATGTTTGAATATACTGAACCATCAACTTTTACCCTGTTGACGAGTCTGATTTCATGAGGGATTGTTGTATAAACCTGGATTAGAGGTGAAGCCGAAAAGTGGTACTTCCACAGATCTTTCGACAACGAACTTGGATTGCACATACACGTTGTATTGTAATTTAATATTGTAGTTTTGCGATTTCCCTAGTACAGGCGTCACCAATGAATTTTGGTAGCTATCCGGCACGCGGAAAGGTTGTAAAGATAGAAACTTGTTATTATTTTCTTTATCACCTTCTTGAGATACAGCACTTGAACGATGTACATTGTAGAGCAGGATCAAAAACAGAATTACTACAGCATCAAAGGTGGGAGAATCTACTTATTAGCAAATCAATGGATAATTCTTTCAGTAAAACTATTTCATTCTATTCTCTTATGAACGAAATGAGCTCTAAAGCACGCACCCGTTATCAAGCCGAATGTTTTAGCGTAACAAACAAACGAAATACCTATCCATAAGCTTGCTACTTCAGTCCTTTGAAAGCGCTCATCACGTCTTAAAATTATTTCGCCAACAAGTTTTTCTATTTCGTTTCTAGGAAACTGATGGATTCGAGTGATAGGACACATCTGTCTCTAAGCATAAAATGTGATGCAATTAACTGTTTGAAAGGAAGATTAAGGGAAAATGTAAAGAGGTGTCTATATTGATATTAGAGGCATTGTTAGGATATTTGATTACGCAAACGAATGCTTCACCACCTGCGCTAAATCTGTCAGAGAAATGAATTGTAAATGCAGAGCAAAATTCTAGACTGTGATGTTCATACACTCAACTCCAGCATGTTTGACGAGAAAAAACACACAAGTGCGGGGGAGGACCATGGAAGAAGCTTTTTGGGTTAGCAGTGCAATTGATGATGCGCTATTTGACTTTTCGTAAAGTGATTACCTAAACAAGCTGATCCAGCAAGTAGCAATAAAGTGACGAGCAGCTTGCGGTTCGTTGTTCTTTTTGTCTTCTTCCTCTTCAGAAGCGGATCCTCTGCAACTTTGCGCATGTGCAAAAGAATGTGCAGATAGAGGAATGAGATTAATAGCACGAAAACGATAAAAGGGGCCACCAGCACCCATCTCACCACTATATTTCCTAAAAACGAACAAATAGACGTTGCAGCCTGCCTGAGAGTATCTGAGTGGATGCTAATCATGCGTTATATATACTTAGTATTCCTCCACCATTGCAGCCATCTTTGGAAAAGAATGCGAAAGGTATGGGAGCTCGAAAACCACCAGGTAACGTACTAAACATAACTAGAAATACTGTAGTTGGCACGAGATATGCTAATGCAATGGCGCACCGTACGCTCTGCGGAGTTATCACATGCCTAAACAGGAGCACATTGGAGGACCTCGTGTGTGTGTGTTTTTTTATCCCGGGCTGCCATCCTATAAAGAGGGAAAGGCAGTCCACTGGAGACACTTTACGCACCTATGAAGTGGGTACACGATTCCAATATAGTGATTCAAGGCCAAAGCTAACAGTGTGAAAACAGAAGCAAAGAATGTCGCCAGCTTGAAAACCTGAAGTTTGGCAACAGTGAAAATCGTCGAAAAAAATGAAAAATGCCAACTTACTTCAAGCAACAGTGACCAACAGTTTGAAAATATGTTGGGTAAGATGACATTGATCATGTAGGTGAGAATGTAGAAAAAAGCGCAAAGAGCATCTGACGCAGTCAGACTTACACATAAACGCAGATTCACACCGATTGGTCTGCGAAGATAACGTGAGCACTGAAAACCCATACTAAAACTCTTTTAGCGCATATCGCTGTTTCCGTAAAGCATGGAGGAAACGGCAACATCCGAATTCCGGTTTACACCGTTTTACATACCAAATCCAGAGAAAATTTTTACACCCTTTTTTGTTGAGTTTCTTCAAATTTTTTTTTCATATTGGTTTTTTTCCGGAAATAAATAACTCCAAGAAAAGAATGCGAAACGAGACTTAGTTTGGCGCTCCTGATCAGCATTGAGAAAGCGGTCATGCACTTTCCAAGCTATCCAGACACAAGAAGCCATTCTACGTTCTTCCAACATTCAGCTTCAACATTAAATAAATTCTAGCCATTGCAAAAGCAGTAATCTCAAAAGAAGATTGCGCTGATAGGCATAACGAGAAGCTTTAACCCACATTGAGGAGGTAAAGGTTCACAACCAATGCGACGACTGAGACCATAGTTAGTACAATAGACGAGTAGAACGACATTCTTACAAAAAAAAGTCTTTCTTCTTCGGTTATGGTTACGTTCATGCTCGCAAAATCTGAAAAAGAGCAAGAATGATAAATGATCAACGACACCTTAGCATATGTACGCTTAGCGAAACTATGACTCAGGAGGATCCACTAGTTATTGTTTAGGAAATTACAGTCAGGGAAATCCAAAATGATTAACGCATGAAATAAAGTCAGGCTTATGTTCTTCATGGATTGAGGGCTCACTACTAGTGAGAAGAGGCTGCATAGTGAGCTTTGCAGCGTTAATCCATCTTCCTCTTCTTTGACGAAAGAAAATAACTAAAGCGAGAGGGAAGGGGAGGTTATGTTATCCTATTAATCACAAAATTCATCCGATAGAATGCAAGGTGTCTGTTATGGTTCCAAGGAACATTCCCGGGAGTAGTAGAATGTAGCGGCTCTGGTATAGAGCACCTCTTTGCGATCGGAAGAAATTTGCGTAGAGAATGGGCACCTAAACAGGGTAGCAACCAGGGCGCCTCCGAACTATGCATACTAATCTTCAGTAATTGGCCGAACTCCTTGACGGCTGCACTTTTTGGTTCCTTCTTAAAGAAAACATACACAGGGACGTGACGTTTGATTAGAGCTTTTGAGATAAATGACGGCAGCAAGTACCTCATTTTTTTGTACACCTCATGAATCAATAGAGGTAGAATGGCTGACATAAATGGCTCATGATTTCCAACGTGTACCACAAATCCTGAACTCGCTCCATATTATTAGTCTTCGCTCCGGATCTGGAAGAGATTCGAGCGCCAGCAAAACAATATTAAATCGACTATTAGTAACATAGTGTAAGCGCGCAATGTTGTCGACGGCTTGGTATTTGATCGTGTCTCAATTACGCATGTACGACAACATTGAGTAACCTGAGCTTGCGTATCGTAGGCGTTAGCAAAGATCACATTCTGGCAATAAAAGATGAGCGATAATTCGAAAGCAAAGCAGCGAGGATGCAAACCTTCCGGGGAATGGAAGCTCTAACCTATAGATGTGTAGTATACAACGATCGATCTGCCATTGGTGACTTAAGTAGTGATTAGAGAAGTTATCGGTGCTTTATTTAAAGCGATCAAGGTTCCAGCAGTCAAGGCAATGAAGTATTATTTCGAGCATGCACGATTCGGAGACGTAATCTGAGAACTGAAACACGCCCAGCGTAGCTCCTCCCACCAGAGAAGCTGCAGACATGAAGTGCTGTATCGCACATTTTGGTAAGGTCGCGAACCGTCAAGCGCAGAACGCGCTCTTTTGGCAAACAGAAAACGTCTGGTGTTGATAGAATCAGCGGGTAGTGATCACATACTATCTCTTAATCTGAAAATTTCCACACTGTTTGGTTATGATGATTGAGAACAATCACATTAGTAACAATTTTTGGATCCCGTTCACTAACAGTGATCATACTATACATAAATGGCGGTCGCAGGATTTCCGTCCGAGGGGGGGGGGGCGGCATAACAATTCTTCAAATGGACGTGCGTGGCGTTAACCACTCACTCCGAAAATTTTCTGGAATGACGCCCCCAAAAAATTTTTTTACACGGCTAATTTGTTGTAACTCAAAAATTATTTTAATCGTTAACAAGAATAAACAAGTCACTCGCACATTTTTAAAACCCACGTAAGTCATTTCCAAAATGTCGCAACCCAATCTCGGGGGGGGGGGGAAGGGGGCGCTCCCCGCCCTCGGTCCGCCACTGCTATACGGTAGTGTGCTACAGATGAAGGAAGACTTCTGTTTTGCTACGAATGGTAGATGCTTGCCCTCCTAAGCAGTAGTCACCGCTGAACCATTACTCTGCAACAATAAACAGTCTCTCAGGAATTAGTCCATTTTAGACCATGCGTAAATTAGCTGCGATAAGTGCAGAACAAAGCATTGAGTTGGAAAAGAATTGATGCACGTTTTTCGCACCTCTCTTTTGAAATAGTGCTTTGAAAAAAAATTTTCATAAAAAATTTGATAATGACCAAAAGCTCTTTTCCTAAAGTTTCTTTATGATTTCGTCTTCGTGGAGTGAGATTATTTCGGAACTTTGTGCTCTTAAAACAAGGAAACATCAAATCTTGAAATTCTTTCCTATCAGTCTTCTTGCTTTGAATTCACTGACAAAATGCAAAACCATCAGAAACATATGAGCAAAATTTTGATGAAAGGACTGTCGCCGGCGTCTTACTGCAATAAATGAAAAAGCACAAAGCAGTTGCAGATTTCGTATACATATGATTCTGGGAAAGAGAAGAGTGTTTCGCTATAATATCAGCAAAATACAAAAAATTTCGCCTCTCAAAAAAAATAACCCGGGATGATGAGCATTTACGAACGGCTCGCATATCTTCTTGCTACGTTTTGAATGTTTTGCCTTTTTTTGATTTCGTACAATCACCTATATCATTTCGTGCACTATCAATCATCGTGTAAGCAACGGCTGAAATGCTGGAGACTTCATGGCTATAAATTCCTCATTTTACACGAGATGGCACCGAAAGGGAGAACTCATGGCATAAGTCGTTAAAAGCTAACAATGGCAGAAATTCAAGAAGTTTGAGGTGAAATGGATTATAAGCAACGCAACCGTGTGGCCAGCCACTCAAAAATGAGAGCGCTGCTACTTTACTATACCTATCCCAACTAGTGCTATGAAATTTCGTTGCAGTGTATTTGACGACTTTTCTGAAAGTAATGGACTATGTAAACTGGTGCTTGATAGAATGAAAGCCCTACCTCAAATCTGAGGCTGGTGATGCAGTACATTAGCTAGGCTCCTAATTAGGTAGACGAGCAAGCACTTTTACAAAAATTGCACTACGAGAAATTTTGTGCAGATGGTGTATGCTGTTGAGTTTCGAATTGCGCACGCTTTGTAACTCGACATAGTGGAGCATGTCAATCCTTAAACTCGTATCTGAAGCGTGTGTTCGTCTGACAATGAGTCGCTTATATGCCTGCGCAGCATGTTTCACTATACACCCTTTGCTTTTTTCCCAAAAACGAGAAGCCTGCCTTCAAGATTTTCCGCAGGGCCTTGTTAGTTAGGGGCCTTGCTGTTGTATTGCATCATAATCTCACCAATCTGGTGGACTGTTCCAAGCTCGTTTTTGCTTCGCGTTTAGCCATGTAAATCAAATTCTTCTATGGAATAGATAAATTTCATTATAGCAGGAAAAAGAACAGCGTATTTGCATGATAGCAATGATGATAGCAGGCTCTTGAAGCTCGATTTGCATTTACTCAAGAATATTTTCTTTCCAAGCTTAGCGCAGAAGCTAAAATGATACCGTTGCCATTGTATGCACAGTAGCCGGTCCACCGCGGGAGTCTAATCTTCTGTAGGCTTATCGGATACTTACTTTAATCACACGAATTGCCAACATTTGCAACGGAGAAGCTACAAATATGGTAATAGAAGACAGGGCTCGGCACGAGGTGGCTTACAAGCAAGCTGGATATCGTTTTTGGGACGAAAAGCAAAGGGGGTTTCGTTTTCGTGACCGAAGAGACACGCAAAATTGGCGATTCGGCGACGTTTTTTTACTCGACGTTTCGTTTTTTGGGGGATTTTGGGGATTTTTTTTTAAGTTTTTAGAGGAAATGTGGTTGAGAGTCAAAGGGGACTTCGTAAAAATTCTCAAAAGTCAAGGGGGACTTCGTTTTTTGCATTTTCATCTAGCCACCTCGTGCCGAGCCCTGATAGAAGATGCTAACGCAGAAGGTTTTAAGAAAACACGCGCTACTGCAGGTCATTTGTTAAGACAATAAATAAGCATGACTCATTCATGAAAGGAGTTTTATGGGTGGATCTGTCAACTCGATTGGAGCCTCTGCGCAATCTAATAGGATTTGGTGTGATATGTGTTAGTTCGTTGACCAAATTGACTGGCAGTCATTGCGACGCAGACGCTTCGGCGGAAGGCTGTACAAAACGCTGTGCAAAATTGGCAGCCGCGGTCCGTCTCAAAATACACTCCTAGCTTCCCAGAAGCACACTGCAGATAAGGGAAAATTTGGAATCTGCCCAAGCTCTGGGTATGCATTTTGCGCTGATCGACCACTTCGGGTTCGTGACTGTCCCTTGTGAGTAGAAGAAATCATGCTAGTGATTACGGACATGTGTTACAATCCATGCTTCCCATTGTCAGCACATTATAGTGGATGATAGATGCACCCGCAATAAAACATCTCCATATGTGGTGGCTCTGAAAATTACCTGATATCGTAAAAAGCGAATAAAGAGAATCTGTATATTTCCTTAACAGGCGAATGAAAGAGCTAAGCCGGTTCTTATTGCAGGTTTATCGGCTTCTTCATTTAATCGGAAGCAGTGCGAGGAATGAAAATGCAACTTTTGATGAGGCTCTCGTCGTTGTTCTACTTCCGCCATTTTCAAACAGACGCAAGACAATGAATTTAATGGCTCCTGAAGCTGAATTCTCCACACTGAAAGATTGTCACACACTGTTCGTCCAAATAAGTCCGTGTGAACTTACAAAAAAGGGACACCTGCTTGAAATGGCCGTTTTTGTTCCTATGCAACAAGTTGGATAAAGCAAGCAGCTGGTTTGAATCTTTCTTCCTTATCTGCCAAACCTTTATCTCAAGGAAGATATTGGCTTTTTGTAAGTGTGGACAGAGTGTGCTTAATGGGAAAATATTGAATTTGCTGTTCATTGCGTGCCAGGGGATGTGCAGAACTTTCAGCTTAAGCCATCAAGGCATTCTCATGAATTCTCTGACCATGTAATCGTTCAGTGCCCGTCTTTCTTCCCTCTAAACACATCAGCGCCTTCGAGACCTTACAACATTTTCCAAAGAGACGATAGATAAGGAAGAGAGATTAGCTTCTTGAAAATCAGCTTCTTAAGCTCTGAGCAATAGAATACGTTACATCGGGCCGGCACTTTGATGGCAGCGTCCGAGCAAAAACACAAGAGGGTAGCAAATAAAAACTGGTTTTGGAGGTCCTAACTAAGACACTGTGCAAGCGTCAGCTGCTACCGGCGCTTAACTTTCATCGGCTTGCATGTCATTGCGTGAGGACCAGGGTCAAGCGTGGGGTGTGGCACGCCACACCTGGGGGGTCGTATTGAGGAGTCAAAAGGGGAGGGGGTCGTAGTTGGGTAATCTGATAATAGTGATAACATGATCTTGGTATCATATCCATAATTAGCATGTCAATAAACTCCTGTAGACAAAGTGTGAGCGAATTCTGAAGATTCAAGATATTAGGCTACCTAAATGAAATGGTCAAATTCCAACATGGTTGACTTTGTTTCAAAGGTGAATCTATTCGTTTTTGCACTCAAGACAAAGCACTACTCCTTCTTTATCCACCTCAGGGATCCCGCTTCAGAAGACCTCCAAACTGTGGAATTAGAAGCCAACCAAAATCTCGTTTTTCCCATTTTTTGCTTTTGATCGCTGTGCTTTCACCAAGTATTACTCAGAGCTAAGAAGACGAATCAGACGGCCGCCGCAGCTTTTGAGGGGGTGTGCCGCACCCCATTAACTATACCAAAAAAAACATTCTTAGCGGACAATATTTATATGAATCGATAGCCTAAACCTTGAAGATTCCATAGGACTGTTTTGAGCCTGATTCGTCTTCTTAGCCCTGAGTAATATTTGGTGAAAGCACAGCGATCAAAAGCGAAAAATGGGAAAAGCGAGATTTTGGTTGGCTTCTAATTCCATAGTTTGAAGGTCTTCTGAAGCGGAATTCCTGAGGTGGATAAAGAAGGAGTAGTGCTTTGTCTTGAGCGCAAAAACGGATAACTAATTCACCTTTGAAACAAAGTTAACCATGTTGGAATTTGACCATTTCATTTAGGTAGCCTAGTATCTTGAATCTTCAGAACTCGCTCACACTTTGTCTATAGGAGTTAATTGACATGCTAATTATGGATATGTTGCCCATTATGTTTGACAGGGCCTTCAAGTCTTAAGTGTATAGTTCAGGGGGGGGGTCTTATTAAGACAGCAATCAGGGGGAGGGGGGAGGTCGTAACCAGCGATCGTGTGCCACGCCCCTTGCTTGACCCCGGTGAGGACCCATGGCCCTCCTTATGGGTCCCGCGCAAAAACATGCGAGCCGATGCAAGGCGCGCGAAATACAGTAACGGGGAAAGAGGTGCTCGGTTGTCACGCCCTTTCTTTGTTAGCCTGAGGCATTATTTCTTCTCTTTCGACCAGGACATTGCCAGATAATCGACGGCGTAAGAGATTAAGATCAAGCGAAAACGGCATTCTCACTCATTGCTGAAGTGGATGAAGTTAGTGAGGTATACAGCAATAAGGAGGACACATGATCAATAGGATGCAGCTATTTCATTGAAAGGAAAGTGCGCTTGAATAGCTGCTTACAAAGTGCAGATGCAGCTAATCTGAGCCTGGAATTTGCTACGTGCGCATTCCCACAGACATTGCAAAACGAACTCGCTATGAAATTCGTCACCACATCATAGACTATTCGATGCCTCGCAACAAAGCACTGAGCAAAATAGTGAGTGGATGACTGGAAGTCGACAATTATCTTGCATGGCACCTACCCGAGCCACTGAAAAAATCAAAATAGAGACTTCACCCGATGCATGCGGTCAGTGGGAAGACATAAGCGAGGCCGGATGGAGTGAGCTTCTCACTTTTAGCAGTAGCAAGCTTAACGAAGCAACCTTCACACGACTCAGCTTTTTTTGCACTGCACTTGAAATCACAGACTTCCTCAAGCGAACAAAGTGCATCCAAACACAATGTCCAGCAAAAAAGAGTGGAAAAAATGAAAAACGAGAATTCTAGTAGGGTTTGACAAATCATAGTAGCTGTACATCGTGTGTGCTCCATTATCAGTAAACAGATCTTGGAGCAACGGCATGCAGTAGATGGGCATGCAGAAACGTAAGCTTTCAGGACTTCTCCTCAAATGTTTTTCATCGTAATCGAGCTGCTAATTTAATAGCAACTGAGACAAGTGACATCTTCGATATATATATATATACCTTAGAACACAACAGCTTCACAATTCAATTCGGCCGTCAAAAACAAAGGCTAAGTTTGCGTACAAACGTCAGTCAAATCTTTTTTATTGGAGTTTTGCATACAAGCTGTAGTGGAGGGATGTCAAACAACGGTAGAAGAAGAAATGGATAGTAGCATCAATAAAATCTGAAGACCCTAGGTTTCAGGCTTAAAAAACGCTAGAGAGTGTTCCGCAGATTTTTCAGAGGTTGAAATAGACTGTCATGCCAACTATTTTCTTCAAAAGTGTCTCATTGTTGATGAAATATTGTTGATGGTACTACACTCTGGGGGCTGTGCAGGAGGAACCAAAGGGCTGCCGCCTGTATCGCAGGAGATAATTAAGAGCGCGAGCGCTGTGGAGAATATTTTGGCAAGTATCTAAGAAAACGTGGCAAGGACATCTTTTAGGAACAAATCTTCGTAACTATGCCTAGGGATGACTTTGAAAAATTTGACAAACGAATTTAAAATGCAAATTGGAAGGCGCATTCGCTGGGCCTAAAAGTTATTGAAAATTGGTAACTGTAGTGGTAAGAAAAGTCAACTTTGTAGAAACATTTCGTTTTATGCATTTTGAAGCTTGAATTGTTGTAGATAGGGATCTTCTTTCAAAACTCATCCTTTTTTCTTTGAGATAAAGGAATATTTTGCCTTATGAGTCAACTAGATGGCAAACCCGGCTCTGCCTGGGCCTGTCAATAATATATTTGTAATCAGTTGTAATCAGCATGCTCGATTACCCCCCTGTGCCAACTCCCAGCCCTGTAGCTCAGATTTTGCAAAAAATCGATAAAATCGATATCGATCGATGACGAAAAGTAGCCTATGACACCCGCCCTGCCCCGAAGCGTATGTGTGCCAAGTTTGGTCCCGTTCGGTTCAGAAATGGAATTTTCTATTCGGAACATACGTACATACATACAGACAGACAGACAGACAAACAGACTTTCAGCTTTATATATAAGATGAACCCAAGCAATCAAGATGCCATGAAAACCCATCTGGAGGCTTGTGTCAAGATGATACATTATGCATTTTGTTTCATAACCTCATCCTATTCTAATTCTAAATTTTGACACTAGAGATTTCAAAGGATTGGACATTTACGTCGGTAATGCTTTCGAGGTTGTGCGAGCAAAATTCGTCACATGCAACTTACAAGGGAAGGATGATCGGTCGAAGTGGCCATTTGGAATGAGCTGTATATCAGGAAACCGTCCCCGGTAAAGCAAACACAAAACTACTTTCGCTAGGTGCCGAGCGGTTTTGTAGGGGGAGTTACAAGGCCATTTTCCTCCGGCGCAGCCGGTGCACCCAGTGATGGGCGAGGCTGCTAGATTGGTGGAGGGTTCGAGTCCTGTTGCTGCTACTTTGTTTTGCAGTTCTGTAAAAAGTCTATTGGGTGACAGTGAACGAAAAATACTCATTTCTAGGCAGTTGAAACAAGCTATTTACTGCAAAAAAGTCACTATTTCCACGATAAGCTGTACTCTCTACAATATGTAAGTCGAGGTTATGATGTCACAACAATGGTTTCAAATGATATATTAACATGTATGAAAAAATTATTAATTGTATGAAAAAAAATCGAGTCTCCCATTCAGTACTGTTTTTCACCGACTTTGATAGGCAAATGTGAAGCTGCCGATTGTCATCGTTTATATTTTATCCGGTGTGCGCGCTGCGAGAAGCTCTTCTCCTTTGAGCATTTTGTGGTCGTGTTCCATACATGTTAATATATCATTTGAATCCATTGTTGTGACATCATAACCTCCACAGATTTACATATTGTAGAAGAGTATAGCTTATTGTGGAAATAGTGACTTTTTTGCAGTAAATAGCTTGTTTCAACTGCCTAGAAATGAGTATTTTTCGTTTACTGTCACCCAATAGACTTTTTACAGAACTGCAAAATAAGTAAGCAGCACGACGACTCAAACCCTCGACCATCTGCTTCGTGGTCCGCTGTCTTGCCACTGCGACATTGCCACACTGATGCATTATCTAGCGCCTCGCTCATCACTGGGTGCACCGGCTGCGCCGGAGGAAAATGGCCTTGTAACTCACCCCACAAGACCGCTCGGCACCTTGCGAAAACAGTTTTGAGTTTGCCTTAGCGAGAGCGATTTCCTAATATACAGCTCATTCCAAATGGCCACTTCGACCGATCATCCTTCCCTTGTTAGTTAATTTCGTGATTACCACTCCCTACTTTCAACTTCGAAAGCAGAAATTTCATTCAAAAAATTCATTCAAAATCTTCACACAACATTGAACTTGAAATTTCTCAGCTTTTAATGATGTATCATGAAGCTCAGTCTTGGTAAAAAAAACTACTGGAGTAGCGAGACAGAGTTGTTGGATTTGTGTTGGAATTTTTGAGCCTGAACTCAACATATGCAGCTGGCTGTGCTCATGATTTTTTGAACTGAAGTTCATTATGATAACAGCAACAAATGTGACACAAACTCAGGATTATAAGGAGGATGCACCGAGCATCAACAAAGTGCAAAATCCTTTTAAATCATCAACATATAAATACCATTTACATGCGATAAAAATGAGACACAAGAAAGAGTTCAATAATAACTGAAAAAGACTTTCACAAACAGCAAACGATTTTACAGGAAAATGCTGGAAGGGTCGGGGACAACATGATACAAACCGTTGACCGCAAACACGGCTCATCTTGATAGCTCGGACTCACTTGAAAAAGGATAAAATCAAGCATCAACATATGCGAAAATGTGAACATACGAAGAACACGTAAGGATAAGTAACCTAACTAAAAAACTGGAATATGATTATACATAACAACCCGGATGAATCTCTGACGCTAGGTCAGGTAATAGCATAACGCCTATGCTCGAACATATATATATATATTCTGAAACATAAAACAAAAGATCAAACAAAATTCCAAGAATGTATGACGACAATACACAATATCAAAAATTCACAGCAAAGTCCTGCACATGCACTGAGAATGTACTTCGTAACCTAACGTCGCAACTGGGACAGTGACTACTCGATGATACAGAAGCTAAGTAAGCATGGTGCAGACCGAGGCTAGGCAAGCCGATTCTTGATATGACGCACGTCCAGCAAAATGACCTTCAAATCAAAGATATATCTATCTTGATATAGTCATGAAGATGATGTAGATTGCAACATGAAAAAAAGTCATAGATCTTACGTACCGTCCCATCGCTGGCGCTTGCCGCTACCTTTTCTCCTCGAGAATTCCAGCTCACTTCAAAAATGCCTCCTTTTCGTTTCTCCCCAACATAACTTTGTAGTAATTTACCAGTCTAAAACCACTAAATTACAATCATAGAACCCAATCTCAGCGGCGCACCTGGATATCCCAGATGAATACAGATCGGTCAAAGCAACCGGAGGCTACATAACGCCCATCCGGTGAGAATGAAACGGAGTACACAGGATCATTATGGCGTGACAGCGTACGAACAAGTTCCCCACGACGAACGTCCCAAAGACGAACAGTATGATCAAACGACGCACTAGAAATAACCAAATGCTCTGGAGCCAGATAACTGAATCTCAGCGTGAGACCGTTAAGTATAAGTCAATCAACATGACTGTAGGATCTCAAGATATAACGTATGCAATTATGATCGCTTTCTTTTACGATATGGACTGATGTCGCCTCAGAATACCATGCTGAAATCCCAGTACAGCTCAAACTTGTAGGGATATCGAATTTCGCATGGAACTCAAAAAAACGAAAGTGTAGCCAGGTTTTGAAGTTACACATGCAGATTTTTCCGTGGTTCACGCTATATGAATGGGGAGGGGAGAAATTCATGAAATGGCGAGTAAAATCATTTCCAACCTACTCAAATTCCTATCTTCGTAATTTGAAGTATCGTCAGAGTTATTGCTCGAAAATAAGCACTTGCTTGCTTTGAAATACTCAGAAATATTCGAAAGCTCTACTAGATCGTAAAACTACACACAGAAAGGCATGCAAGTTGTAATGAACCTAAGTTAATATGGAGATCAGAACTGATTCCTTTTTCGATTCATTGGAAATCTTCAGTCGAATTCCAATATGCACGAGCGGCATGCGTCAAGTAGAAAACTCAAATTTAAGTCACTCGAAACGAAAGACCATTGGCCTTGTAAATGATGTAAACAATGAATCAAACATAGCTTCTGCCATCTTTGACGGCAGAAACAAGTCTCTGAGAACCGAAATACTTCGAAAAACAGCAAAAACTCTTTTACATAGAAAGAAAAGACACTTTACCTAAAAAAGTACATACCTGGCAAGCATGTGTCCAAGCGGACTCCATCTTATAGTATAAATCTCTTTTTCATGAGCTTTCCAGTCGTACACTGGCTGATCTTCCTGGAGGGACCAGATCTGTAATATATTGGGCATATGCACAGATGGACAGGAGCCAAGATGAGCATGGAAGCTATTTACTATAAGAAGAATTACCTTCAGAGTCATGTCATCAGAACATGAAGCTAGTCTGTTAGAATGCTGATCATATTTAATCGCGTTGACTTCATTACGGTGTCCCTATAAAATCCACTTTGTTTTGCTGAATGACACTAGTTTGACATTGACTAACAAGGTAAGTGCGTATTGGCTTATCGCATCCAAGTCGGCTGACATGGATCGATTTATCAGTCGAGCAAGATGCAAATGTATCATTTGTTATCCAGTCCACATCAAGAGCAGAGGCTGTGTGGAAGTGAAACTGCTGAACTTGCTGACCTGAGAAGGATTCGGAATAGACCGAAATTTGTGTAAAGTAAAAACCACCTTTCACTGCATCCCAGACGATGGTAGATTTATCCACACCCGCCGACAGTATATAATCCCCTTTGGCGTTCCATTTCAAGGCAAAAATGGGACCTTTGTGAGCACCTAAGGTGCAGCGAAGCCTCCCTATAAACATATTCTTCCGTAATCTTTTCATACCAAGTGATTTTTTTCATGAACGCTTGCTGATTTACCACTAAAACAGATCATACCTTCAGCGGTCCAGATGCGAGCGAATCCATCATAACAGCCTGTTGCCAGAAGATCACCAGCAGCATCCCAATCTAGGCTAGTGACATCCTAAAAATGTTCTTAACCTAGAAGAAAACCCAGGCGAGTAGCAAAATTTGTTTAAAGAAGGCAATTTGGAAATTTTCAGAAGAGAGCATAGATCACTTTAAGAGACGAAAAAAATACTTTATTTGATGGCTGCGTAGCTTTCTCGGATTCTCCAGAAGTGCAGTGCTTGAGAACTTTAGTGCGTGCTTCGAACTCTCGCGACGGTGTTGCAGGATTTTCCGAGCCAGCCAAGTTCCAGATCCTAGCGGTTGAGTCACCAGACCTTAGATAGCTGCCATCTAGAAGGCATGAAAAGAAGAACGTCTCGTTTTTAAACACACCCTGATGCCATCAAATCTTCTACCGGGTTCCACGCACAAATGAAGACTTCACTACTATGACATTTTAGGAATCGCACTTTATCCTCGGGGAACTCTAGAGCATCTGTGTGACGTACTCCATTAGAGTCACTCGTTGTACTGCGCGGCGTCGTCACGTCAGTCCTGTAATATTTTGCATTCCCAAACTCAATAATGACAAACCACTTACAAGCTGGATGCTTGCTGTGCCGCTTGTTGTTTCTTTCCATGAACGCCTAACGTTGTACCGTTATTTCTGGAGGGAGAAGCCATCTGCAACAAGAAGTGTGCACAAATCAGGTCACTACAGATGCTCTAAGATCTCTACCGGAAATTCAGATTGATATTATTTCAAAGTATTCCAGAGCTACCGAAGAGACAATATATGAGGGAAAATTCGTTAAAATGAAAAAAAATAATGGTACGGTCGGTAAAAAGGTAAGTTGAACAGCTGTAAAATTAGGGATGCCATCGAAAAGCATTCAATGAACTAAAAACAAGAATGAAATCTGTAACTTACACCAGAGCTGGTATTATTATCATTCGCCGAAGGCGGCTGCACGATACGAAACTTGTTGAGAGGGGGCTCAGTCATGACTAGATTAAGCATATTATAAGACAAATGAACATCATTCAGTACTGACCGGCTTCGATGAGCCCGAGGGTATCCGTCTTCTCCTCAAGCAGAAGAGCATGGTCAGGGTTGGCCATAGCACGAAATTCCGCTTCCGCGTAAAACAGCCCTCGCTATACAAAGAGTGTCAGTGCGAGCAATCTGGATGTGTCAGCGCTTACCTGCACCATCATGACCAGTGCGCCCGAGGCTACTTCAGTGCAGTCAATGTCACTATCCAAGAGGTTAGATTCCATGGAAAATACATACGCGGAGTGCTCAAACCCTTGAATGAAATACATTCAAAAGCAAGTTCCATATCCGAATGAAGTAAAACCGAGGCGCGAAAACGCCAATCCACCTCGCGAAAAAAGATACGTAGAATTTGCAATGAAGTGAAATTTGAAAGTGATTTTTGAGCATACGCATCGCTTTGTAACTTCAGCAGACGAACACGCAGCAGCGAAGAAAGAACGCTCAGTTTTTGACCTTAACGCGGTCTAAACACTTCCAAGCCGTAACAGCCTTTCCAGCATGCGTGGCAGTTTGTATCTATGTTAAAGGATAAAGATGTTTTGACATGCAATTTCGAAGCTCTATAACAATTCACGTATGCACATAGACGCTATTCCGCTAACTTTCTCGCGCGCAGGTAGTTTCAAGCCTCTGCAATAGCACATATTCATTATGCAGGACTAGTTGGCGAACCCGGCTCCGCCCGGGCCTGTCAATAATATATTTGTAATCAGCATGCTCGATTACCCCCCTGTGCCAACTCCCAGCTCTGTAGCTCAAATTTTGCAAAAAATCGATAAAATCGATATCGATCGATAACGAAAAGTAGCCTATGACACGCCCCCTGCCCCGAAGTATATGTGTGCCAAGTTTGGTCCAAATCGGTTCAAAAATAAAAATTTCTATTCCGCACATACGTACAGACAGACATACAGACATACATACAGACAGACATTCAGCTTTATATATACAGTTTGCCCCAATCGGGATCAGACCGAACCGTCGACTGAATTTGAGCGCTCGCAGCGCTAGGGGTTTGCGCTGCATATGCGCGCTGTCGCAGATAGCGAAGAGATTGAGGAGAGAGCAGACTAGCTAGACGCAGAAGTGGCGCGAAACACTCGCGACGCGCACTCCCGCCAAGCCAATTTTGGCCTGATTAGGATTGGGGCAAACTGTAAGATTATTCATCTCATTTGAAAAGAGTTACGTCCTTGAACAGTTAACGTTCCACAAAATCACTACTGACGTCCCATATTTCGTTTTCAGGCTGTAGTGGTTGAGTAGACGAGTAATGTAAATCAAAGAGCATCTGACTACTGGCAAACCACAGTGGAGTTTGTGATCTGCTGCTTTTGGATTTCTGCAGCCGAAAATGAAAATTCCCAAGCATTAGCGAATGAAAATCAATCAGCCAGTCCAAACCGCTTGAATTTGACCGCTTACCATGCAAATGGTTGATATATAGATCTCATATTTGGCTACCAGATGTATATTCATACCCAAACATAGCTCTTCTTAGAAACATGGTTTTTTGATGAAAAAAATCATGCCATTCTCCCTTCCCGCACCATTACCTCAAGAAAAAAATCCTTTTTGTTAAAAAAGAGTTGACCGTCCAATTCTTCTTAATTTACCCTTTCCAATGGGACTATACTTTTACATATACAATATAATTATCTATCACATTTTTGTGAGCTCAAAACCACCAAAACTATCACACTAATATGTTGACTTATGAGCAGGAAAATATAATAAAAAAAAATTCAAAAATATAATAGAAAATTCAAACTGCAATACAAGAAATAAAACTTTACCTGACTCCGTTAAATACCGCCAGACGATGTAATTCAGTTCGTTACTAGAGAAACTCATGCTGGACAATCGCGTTGAAATATAGCCAAATTTGAAGCAGCTAGCAGATTACGCGTCCATGCAGTAACGATTCTGAAAAGGTTATCGCCACAGATATGCAGAGGATCTGTGGATCAATCGTGTGTGATCGCAATTAATCAGATCGATATTCCTTACATGATCAGGAGTTCTCTTTCTAAAATCGTGCTATAAAACAACGCTCATTTCAGCATAACTCTTATGGTCCAAACACCTTACAGAGCAGAAGTACATTAAGCTTACATCTTTCTAATCATATCACAACTTGCAGTGTTTACCGTGACACAGCACAAATACTTTGACAATTGCTACATCAGAGAAGCAGTGTGGATGTGAACGCATGATCGCAGGGTGTCAGAGACGCAAAGCAAGGGACTGGTCAATTGTTGGCTGAACGTTATTTCTGTCTTTCGCTCAATAACGGTAGTGCTGGTGTCCGATTCGGCAAGACAACGTCTCAAAACTAGAAAAAGGAAATAATGTATGAAATAGTTTAGTATTATGAGAGAAGCATCGGATTAATCTAGGGCGGCCTCCAAGCCTCGATTTCGTTAAAAAAACTGAAGTTATAGACTATTTCTCCCATTTGAGTACATGTAAAAAATGCTCTCACGACGCTCGAATTATTCGAGAAGCAGGAGCTTGGGTTGCAGCTGTGACGGGAAATGATTTTTGAAAGATACCACCTATCATTTTTTTTTAACATACGACTGATTGACAAGTTTACAAGTGTGCTGTAACGCATTACGATTTGATTGGAATCTCGTAAAAGAACACGTAAGAGCTCGTTCAAAAACGCGATGTCGAACATGTTGATTCACGAAATCCTAAGAAATCACCATAACGCGTTGGATATAGACGTGTTAATCAGACCTACGCTAAGCGTCGCTTCTCTTAGTCGGAGTGTGAATGATATATCTGATTACACTTCCTGCAGTAGCTGGACACTTGTATTGTTGAATAAGAAGTGTAGGAGATCGTAGGACATGAAGAAAAGGAGAAGTGGATTGTGAAGCGGTCATCATCGTCATTGATGATGACATCGATAGCGTACTAGAGGGGACGTGCATCGTCTCGTTCTCATTAATTTGCAAACCTCTACGGCACAAGAACACAAAGTAGCTAGCAATATATGCGTTAAGAAGCTTGTGGGTTTTTGAGGCTGTATCTAGCTTCCTTTCTAGGAATCAATATTTTAGTGGTGAAAAATCAAGAAAATGGTACAGGCTGTTGAGTTGCAGAAATGGCTTCCGTCGTTTGCCACCCAACAAGGTGGTAGAACTGGTGGTTTGTTAGCCCACAATCTTAGAAATGCTGAAATTCCTAAGCGCTCCTAGATAGAATAGAGACGTTTATTCACCGCATGGAGAACAAAGAAGATTCCATCAAATTGACAACGAAGAAAAATGTAAAAGTTTTGGTTAGTCTATCAGTGCAAGATAAAATTGCTGGATTCCGTCGAATAAGGCTGAAATTGTTGTATCCATGCATTTGCGACTAGAAATCGATAGGATAGCAAAGAGACGCAGGGAAGCCATGCGAGGGGTCGGCGAGCGCGGTGGCTGCACGTCAGGAGGTACGCCGCGCGCGGCGGCCGCTCTTCCGCACACGCCGCGCCCAAATCTTGGGACCTCCAAGACTCCCCGCCAATAGAGATTCCGGCGGCAAAAACAGGAGGGTGTGGGTGTGGGCAGATACATGACTTGATGCTATAAGTAAGACTGCGCCAGAAATGCTGCTGTTGTAAGAGCTGAAGTACGTTGCGGCATCGCGCGAAAAATTCGCGCCGATCGTACGTCCTGACCGTCCCCACTCAGACACTCGCGGTTGACGACCGCCGGTGAAAGGGAGTTCGACTCATTGACAACCTGCGGTACACATCCTTTTGTTTCGGGATAATCCGGCTATTGGTTCGGGACAAGACTGCCGGAGGAACGCCGGTCGAACAGGTTTCACCTGCGTTTGGTTCGGGATTCACCTGCAGCACATGTTCGGGTCGAACGCAGGTGAAACGGCGGTGAAATGCAGGAGTCCCGAACCGACCATGGGGCGTGGAATTAGCCGTAGAGCGCACTTGATATTGTTCAAATTTCTCGCATACATTGTATACTATGTAAACAACAGAGACTGAATCAACAGAGATTTATTCATCTTAGGTTAACTCAACGACAAAACCATAACAAATGATAAGGAAACTCGTAACAACAGAATCGCAGCAGCAAAATTATACATTCCTGAGCAAAAACAGAAAGATCTACTCTCAAGAACAGAAAATCAACATCAAAGCTCTCGCAACAAGAAGATCATACATCTGTGAGCGAAAACACAAAAAAGGGATCAATCTTCCTCAGGCGACTCACGGAGTTCCGTTTTCTCGATCGTTGTGCCTTCTTGCGTCGTTATTACTCTTTTTTTCTGAAATTGAAAAAGAATGAATGACATCAAAGCTGTGAATAGAGAAACTTACCTTGGGCGGCATGAGCGTCAGACGTGCTGCATCGAATTCATATTGACGAATGTCGGCTCTGAAAACAAACGCGGATGTTAGCAACCTCCACAGGAATTTTTTACACCCACCCGGGCGAGACCAGAGTAAGATAAAGCATGAAATATTATACTTACAATGCTCTGCAAAGGGCTTCGCGTGCATGCGTACTCCAGTCTGTTCGCGCTTCGGATAGCGCATCGAACCTTTTTCTTCTTTGAGACTCCGTCTCGCCCAGAGCAGCCCAGTACCTGAAAAGGCAATAGATATCTTTTATCATTAACGTGGTGAAAACTACCTTCCGTGAATTCTAGCGCAATCTGCGGGTGGTAAAAGGAGTTCATCGCCGAACAATCCCATTGCATCAAGGACGAAATCTGAAACTTGAAGTCAACTCCTTCAAGTGGTCTCAAGGAAACTTGCCTATGAGGAAAGTGACCATTGATTCTGGAAGGTCTTTCAGGCTTTTGTCCTTGCCATTTTTGCCGGATTGTCGATATGCGTAATGTTGAATGATGTGGATGGGATCACATGCCTAAATACATGTAGCTCTCGAACTTGACTGCACAAGGTCGTACTTACATTGAGGAAAAAGTGACGGTAGAAATCCAGTAGATGCAGGTAGTGGTCGTGCTTGTTCGAGCGCACTGGACGTTTCCAAGACTCAAAAATCGAAATCATGTTTATCTCCTGAAATGGGCTGATCTTGGCCCAAACCCAAGCCTGCTACACTGCGTTACCTTGAAGGGTGGCTGTGCTTTAATGTTCCAAGTTTTCGTTATGTTACTTCTCGAAAATCCGCAATTTTCCGGCAATGATTTCGACTTATTTTTCGCCAGATGGTATCTTGTTCTCTGCACTTGTTTTTCTAGTTCGCGCACTCTGCTCAAGGCAACGTCCATCTGTAAATCGACGTTGAGTATGTAAAAGCGTTAAACGACTGCTTACAGCGATCGATAATCCGCAAATAACGTTTGTCTGTTCGCGCACTATGCTGGTCATGCTGCGCACGATCGAGTCCGACGAATGCGGAAGGGTGTTCACATTTTCTTGGAGTCTTGCGATGTGTTCAAGATTGATGGAAGCGTTGTTCATTTTGTGAATCAACGACTCCTAAGCAATTCGTATATAACGTCAGAGTCAGTTGTTACCCTATTGGTTAACCTTATTCTCGGCATCCTGCTGGATATGGTGGAGAACTTTCCCCAATTTCGAAAGAGAAAGTAAATTGCCTTCTAACACACTTTTCAATAGTTCTGCAATATGCGTAATTACTTCTGATGGGTACCCCAGGGCCGATCACCTTGTCCATCAGCCGTAACCGGCAGCGCCAACTCTCTCGAAATGCCTTTGTGCCCAGCTGCTTCTCTACATACTTGTTTGAGAGGTTTGCGAACGACCACTTAAACATGGGAATGCTTATAGTTTCGAAAACGAAAACATTGATTGAGCACATGCTAGCAATGTGAAAGTCCACTATACAAAAACATGAGCGAAACCGCTGGTTATTATCTTCAAGGCGATTATTAAGCCATAAAAAAGCCAAAAACTTTTTCAATTTTTGCATTTTTTCTTCCGTAAAAAAAAGTTCGCGAAATTGCCGATCTCATATGAACTGGTATGAAATGTTGATGATAGAACTAACTGTGCAACGACGAAGCAGAGGTCCCGTTTGTTTCCGGTAATTCACTGCGCTTGCGAGACACTAGTTCCTCATAAGGCCTGCTCGGTTGTTCTTCAAATAAGTCGTCCTCTGTAAATAACGATAAAGGATTTCAAATGTTACATCAACACTCACCCGATACGGGAGAAGATGTTCCAGAGCGCGAGCGATTTACGTACTGCGGTACGTAAGGATCATACATGTCATCCATTGGGTATGCAGAAAATCGCTGTAGTAGACCAGTCTGAGTAGTGTAGTCTATTATAAGTGTATATATAGATATACAGGTATTTAGGTGCAAAAAGTACGTACACCTTTCATAAAATGTAAGACCTGTGAAAGACTTTATTGACAAGGTTTGATACGTAAGAGCTGAGAACATAATAGAGAAAAAAAAACCATTACGAAGGAAACCACATGTCAGAGTCTTGATATGTATGTTTTGTTGTTGAACTCGAAAATAGTGGCCAAGTACTTTATATCATAGGCGTTCCGCAATTCAAAATGCTTCGAGTTTACAACAAAAAAGTACTTGTTGAGTAATTGCGTCAAATCTAAAGCTTTGATAGCAGCGAACTTCGCTTCGTGATCGTCATTATGCAAGGCATCTTCCAAGCCACAAAAAGGATCTTTTTTTTCGAACTCTTCCAAGAGTACATAGCATTCCTTTCCTGAGTTGTGAGCAAATACAATAACATTTCCGAATATGAGGCAATCGTTTACATCCAGACATACACAATGCTGCATAGTCGCACTAAGTCTTGTCCAGTAGACTGCCGAGTTGTACACGGATTGGTCGTTACAAAGTCGGGAGCTGTATACCAATATAAGAGAAGCATGAAAAAGAAACAAGAGATCATACCAGAAAAGGTATTCTAGAAGATGGATGTCCGACAGCAGTAGGTGCAGAATGCCACGGAGACGTTGACGACGGTTTTTGCATACAAATTTTCTTTGTTTGTCATAGAGTTTCTTCCTCAAGTTCCATGCTCTTTCTTTTTGCATTTTCAGGGATTTTTCAACTCGCTGATTTTTTTTATCTGTTCAGTGAATACTAGTTTTGGGTCTTGTTTTGTATGGTGGATTCTTTTTGGGTTCAAATTTACTTCCTTCTTTAGGGTATCTAATCTTATACCTTTTCTATCGTCATAACCTCGAGCACCTGTCTCTTGAATTCGTTAACTCCCGGTTCCTCGTTTTGCTTTCTTTTCGAAATCTACATCGATCTTTTAAGATATTCACTACATTGGTGTCTTTATTGAGAAGAGCGTTTTAGTTCTGCAAATTATAAAATAGAGTTGGGAGTAAAGTAAATAGAGTTAAAATAGAGGTCTTTTTACTTGTCTTTTTCAAAAAATAAATGTAACATTCCTGAATTTGGTGATATTACGCCGTATCTTGTTTGCCTGCATTTTGAACAATGTTATCTTCGTATCAAAGAGGTTATTTTCTCTCATTATGAAGGTTGATAACACACCAATTCTCGTTCTTTTTTGAAGGGCTTTGCTTTGTACAGCTATAGCATATACTTATCTAAATTTCCCTCGTTTTTGTTGCTTGACCGTTTTCTTGTAATCTAGTCGACTGTTCAGTTTTCTCCTCATTGCGGCAGCGGCCGCGTCATCCACTTTTGTACTCACAGCTTTACGAAGATCACCTTAGATATCCGAGGGCGCTTGATGTGCGTTGATGCTGGGCGCGTCGTCTCTAGACCCGTCGTCGTCAACGTCTCCGTGGCATTCTGCACCTACTGCTGTCGGACATCCATCTTCTAGAATACCTTTTCTGGTATGATCTCTTGTTTCTTTTTCATGCTTCTCTTATATTGGTATACAGCTCCCGACTTTGTAACGACCAATCCGTGTACAACTCGGCAGTCTACTGGACAAGACTTAGTGCGACTATGCAGCATTGTGTATGTCTGGATGTAAACGATTGCCTCATATTCGGAAATGTTATTGTATTTGCTCACAACTTAGGAAAGGAATGCTATGTACTCTTGGAAGAGTTCGAAAAAAAAGATCCTTTTTGTGGCTTGGAAGATGCCTTGCATAATGACGATCACGAAGCGAAGTTCGCTGCTATCAAAGCTTTAGATTCTCAGACAATCGATCGGACCCCTCCGCCGGACCCTCGGAAACTGCCAGGGTCGCGCCGGACCCAGTTGACCAATGAGAGAAGGGCAAATGGGCGGTCCATCGCGGTGGCATCACTGGCAGGCAAATGGGAGGCTTCTCCGGCCCTGCTGCAAAGGTCCGCCATTTCTCCGGCGCGACTCTGCCAGATTTGACGGACTCCGCGCCGCAGAGGTCTGCGCGGCGCGTGTCCGCCAAATTTGGAAGACACGCGCCGGAGAAAATCGGAGGGGTCCGGAGCAGAAATGGGAGGTATCCGGAGCAGAAAATGGGAGGTATCCGGAGCAGAAAATGGGGGGTATCTGGAGCAGAAGATGGGAGGTATCCGGAGCAGAAGATGGGAGGTCTCCGGAGCAGAAAATGGGAGGTATCCGGAGCAGAAAATGGGAGGGCTCCGCCGGACAAATGGGAGACCCACCGCTGGGGATACGCCGCGACCCTGCCACTTCTCCGGCGGAGAGGTCCGATCCGCTGTCTGAGTTTGACGCAATTACTCAACAAGTACTTTTTTGTTGTAAACTCGAAGCATTTTGAATTGCGGAACGCCTATGATATAAAGTACTTGGCCACTATTTTCGAGTTCAACAACAAAACATACATATCAAGACTCTGACATGTGCTTTCCTTCGTAATGGTTTTTTGTTCTCTATTATGTTCTCAGCTCTTACGTATTAAACCTTGTCAATAAAGTCTTTCACAGGTCTTACATTTTATGAAAGGTGTACGTACTTTTTGCACCTAAATACCTGTATATCTATATATACACTTATAATAGACTACACTACTCAGACTGGTCTACTACAGCGATTTTCTGCATACCCAATGGATGACATGTATGATCCTTACGTACCGCAGTACGTAAATTGCTCGCGCTCTGGAAAATCTTCTCCCGTATCGGGTGAGTGTTGATGTAACATTTGAAATCCTTTAAACATCGTTATTTACAGAGGACGACTTATTTGAAGAACAACCGAGCAGGCCTTATGAGGAACTAGTGTCTCGCAAGCGCAGTGAATTACCGGAAACAAACGGGACCTCTGCTTCGTCGTTGCACAGTTAGTTCTATCATCAACATTTCATACCAGTTCATATGAGATCGGCAATTTTGCGAACTTTTTTTTACGGAAGAAAAAATGCAAAAATTGAAAAAGTTTTTGGCTTTTTTATGGCTTAATAATCGCCTTGAAGATAATAACCAGCGGTTTCGCTCATGAGATTTCAGGAGATAAACATGATTTCGATTTTTGAGTCTTGGAAACGTCCAGTGCGCTCGAACAAGCACGACCACTACCTGCATCTACTGGATTTCTACCGTCACTTTTTCCTCAATGTAAGTAAGACCTTGTGCAGTCAAGTTCGAGAGCTACATGTATTTAGGCATGTGATCCCATCCACATCATTCAACATTACGCATATCGACAATCCGGCAAAAAGGGCAAGAACAAAAGCCTGAAAGACCTTCCCGAATCAATGGTCACTTTCCTCATAGGCAAGTTTCCTTGAGACCACTTGAAGGAGTTGACTTCAAGTTTCAGATTTCGTCCTTGATGCAATGGGATTGTTCGGCGATGAACTCCTTTTACCACCCGCAGATTGCGCTAGAATTCACGGAAGGTAGTTTTCACCACGTTAATGATAAAAGATATCTATTGCCGTTTCAGGTACTGGGCTGCTCTGGGCGAGACGGAGTCTCAAAGAAGAAAAAGGTTCGATGCGCTATCCGAAGCGCGAACAGACTGGAGTACGCATGCACGCGAAGCCCTTTGCAGAGCATTGTAAGTATTTCATGCTTTATCTTACTCTGGTCTCGCCCGGGTGGGTGTAAAAAATTCCTGTGGAGGGTGCTAACGTCCGCGTTTGTTTTCAGAGCCGACATTCGTCAATATGAATTCGATGCAGCACGCCTGACGCTCATGCCGCCCAAGGTAAGTTTCTCTATTCACAGCTTTGATGTCATTCATTCTTTTTTTATTTCAGAAAAAAAGAGTAATAACGACGGAAGAAGGCACAACGATCGAGAAAACGGAAGTCCGTGAGTCGCCTGAGGAAGATTGATCCCTTTTTTGTGTTTTCGCTCACAGATGTATGATCTTCTTGTTGCGAGAGCTTTGATGTTGATTTTCTGTTCTTGAGAGTAGATCTTTCTTTTTTGCTCAGGAATGTATAATTTTGCTGCTGCGATTCTGTTGTTACGAGTTTCCTTATCATTTGTTATGGTTTTGTCGTTGAGTTAACCTAAGATGAATAAATCTCTGTTGATTCAGTCTCTGTTGTTTACATAGTATACAATGTATGCGAGAAATTTGAACAATATCAAGTGCGCTCTACGGCTAATTCCACGCCCCATGGTCGATTCGGGACTCCTGCATTTCACCGCCGTTTCACCTGCGTTCGACCCGAACATGTGCTGCAGGTGAATCCCGAACCAAACGCAGGTGAAACCTGTTCGACCGGCGTTTCTCCGGCAGTCTTGTCCCGAACCAATAGCCGGATTATCCCGAAACAAAAGGATGTGTACCGCAGGTTGTCAATGAGTCGAACTCCCTTTCACCGGCGGTCGTCAACCGCGAATGTCTGAGATGCTGCCCCTGTCTAGAAAACTGCCCCTAAACCCGTGCGCGCAAGCCATTCTTACACGCGCTCGGACGAGATTGCGATATCCCTCACACCGTCAGAGACGGCATGCTGCAATGCTATAAACATGAGGGCCCCGCAACGACTTTACGTCCCTAACCATGACCGGGAGTGGTCCACTCGTCCAAATTCATGATAGGATCCCTAGAAAAATGCTGGTTTTCGACATTTTCGCGCTCTTCAAGATGTATTTTTTAAAATAGCGCGTCGAATTACCCCGAGAAAGCGAAAAAAATGTAGGTCGAGGATTTGCCGAGCCACTGCCTTTAGCTCGGCGATTTTTGTAGATTGGAGCCTGGGTCATGCACCGTTCGATAGCACCGTTCCTAGTGACTTTAACTTGGAAAAGCAAGCAGACAACTTTTCTGACAGATACGCGAGAAGTGCGGGCAAAGTTACGCTTTCGTCAAGCAGTTACAGTCACCTCACCATATCTCTCCAGGAAGACCCTGTAATACTCAAAGACCACGATTTTTGAAGGCAACGTGTTCGAAAACCTCTATAAGCGAAGTTTCCTTACAGTTCAAAAGCATCAACATTTTGACCAAAATTCATCGGCGAGCTTCCAGAGCGTAAACCAAGAAAAAATGAAATAACTCGAACATATCGAAAAAACTTGCTCATAGAGGTTATCCGATCTGCTGATTTCGAAACTCACATCTGCTTAGCAAGATAGCTTCGTATTCTAGGGCTATGGCGAGTAGAATTTGGGAAGACAAGATTTTTCCGCATTTCACCATCCCTTCCATTTCTTTGAAAAGAAATCTGCGGCTACTATTTAGCGCATCACAATCTACAGAAAAAGTACTATTGAAAAGATTTTTGCTGGAATTTACTCGGGACAATGCTCGCTGCTTTACAACTTCGCGAAGAGATGTTCGCAGAAAGATTTGAGAATACTGTAATCGAAATATCAAGGACATGCTATACATCGAAAGATTCGCCTTGATAAGCTGAGCACAGCACTGTTTTCGGATTCGAAATTTGCTTATTCCGATGGAAGTTATGGCGATTAGAATTTAAAAATGCGTGATTTTTCCAGAATTCACCAACGCTTCTATCTCCTTTGGAAAGAAGTCTGAGCCTATTTTTAAGCGCACAATAATCTACAAGACCATTGTTATCGAACAGTACTTATTTATTTATTTATTTATTTTATTTATTTATTTTAATGTACTCAAAGGTGCGCCATAAAAATAGCAGGAAATGCAAAAAGAGATGTTCAACCGGCCACACACAAAGTAAATAAAAATAGCAGAAGGCCTAGATGTATGTATGTATGTATGTGTGCATGAAGTAATTTCACCTCACATGCATAGATTCAATACTCCTCAACTTTCCAGATGATTTCACGGATAAGCAGAAATAGATGGTGTATGGTCGGCCAGTGGTCCAATGGTTAGTAACAAAAAACCAAAAGAAAAAGAAAACTCATAGACTAATCCAATGTTAGTACTGCCATCATCAAAAAAAAATAACACTTAGTCATAAGTGTCGTGTTTGAAGGCGACGGACGAGCAAAACGCAGTGATTCCTAGAAAAGAAACGAAAAAAGCAAAAACAGTTTCAGTAGTTATGAAAATTCTTAACTTGCAACAGATCGACTTGCGCTATTCTACGTTTGAAGGTAGCTGAGTTTTCAGATAACAGTGCAGTATTTGGCAATCTACCGAGCCACCTAGGTGTTCTGTAAAGTAGAGTATTGTTTGTAGAAAACTTAGTAAACTCTTCTACGCTGGATGGGCGCTGCTTCACATATTCGCGAAAGGACTTCCGCAGAAGAATCTGAGAGAACTGGAAACGGAATATCGAAGACATCATACCCCCACTTCCAATATATCAGAAGATTCTCCGCCCCAAGCTGAATCGAATGGTGGATATGGATTCAGAATTCGTCCACTCTGAAGCGAGGTATGGCCACGCGACAGTGATTTCCATACATGTAGCGACGAGGGACAAGCGTGTTGATGCGATCCGGGACCCTCACTTACGATCCCCCCCCCTGAAGGTACCCATCCGTACGACCCCCGCCCCATCTACCCCCCTTACCTCCCCTGCCCACATTCCTCGCGGTAACCTGCATAAACAAATGCCAATCTCAAAAAACACCTGCGTGAGAACTTCAGTGAGGTTTCGGAAGCAGAATTTCTAGGCCAATGGGTGCGCCCAGCATCTGTAGCACACATACACACCTTCAATAATGTTTGAGAATTTGCAAGTTTTTTTAAATCTCCAGGCATACTTCAGGCCAGCAAATTCGGTTCCCCTATGCGACACAAATTTTTGCACCGAGAAAAAATGACATTCTATAACTACAAAAGATGTTTTCGACTAAGAAGCTTACTTTCTACCTCTTGCACAGTTTTTTCCGCGAAAAAAAAATGCTTTAGCGCCGTCCACAACAATGTCAAAAACGTGCATGAGCACGGTAGTTTGAAAATTCGTAACTAAGGCCAGGAAAAGACTGAGAGGCTGCAATGAACAGGTTCTGTAGCATAGTGCCCAGACTATTTACAGAAAAAGTTTCAGCGCTTGAGAAGCAGTAAGCTCGAAAAAATTTAGATGCGACTCTCACAAATTTAGATGCGATCCTAGAAATCAAAAACTGGGATTTTTAAGCTTGAAAATTTGTAACTCATACGCTAAGTAATGAAACGGCCTGAAATTTTTAGAATAGAAAGTAGGAGAATAGCCTCGTATTATAGCGAAAGTACAGCCAATAAACTTCAATAGCTCCGGAGAAATTTAGATCAGGCGCAGATATGACCCCCTTTTCTCATTTTTTTCTACCATACATATAATCATAAGAAAATCCGAAGGCCATAAAGTAGGACCGAATTTTGCACAAATGTAGGAGAGCATTCTAACTTACATATAAATTATAAGGACCGTATGAAAAGCATTACAAACAGATTTACAAATTATTGATGATTAGCGTTGATAGAGATATGCTCTTTTTTCGAGTGTGTGAGTCTTCAGTGAGCCTTCGGAAGCAGGACTCCTACACCATTCGGTACATCCAAGATCTTTATCACAAATCCATGCCTTTAGTAGCATTTGAGCTTCTAAAAGTGTTTATTTTTTAAGTTTTAGTCATGTCAGCAGGGTTCGATCCCCGTTTGCGACAATATTTTGCGGGAGAGATAGTGTTTCCCATATATGGTAAGTATTCATATTTTCTATAAAAAAAATGAACAAAGTCATAATCTTTCAAAAGTGCAGCGAATGAAGCGAATTTCTACGTTTGCAAATGTTTTCAAATTATTGTTTACTCGTTTTGACTTGATACATTGGTACACGGCATTTCATGAATTTATTGTTAAGAACATGTAATAATAATTTGCCATTCAATTTCCTTCCATGCTTTCGGTTTTTTATCTAAACTACCTCCTTTTACGACCCCCCCCCCGTTGCGACAGTCGCATCACACGCGACCCTGGTAGCGACATGTAGCATCACTCATGCGACATGTAGCGACACGTATGTACATTCGCGTCTATTTTTCAAAAAATGTGAGGGGTATTGTATAAGATGTACATTCGGCCTACTGTCGCATTTGGTATACGGCTATCCTCCATATAGTGGAAACATTTGCTACTGTTGAAGGGGTCTAAAACAACTTTACAAAAAGTTATTTCTAGACTTTTGGGTCCTGTCTACTTTCTTATACCCAGACGTAAAAAACAAAATAATTCTTGTCTCTTCCTGGTTTAGCCTTAAAAGGAGAAAATACAATCTTTTCTTAGCTTTCAAGATGCTAAAGGGAAGATGCAGAATTTACACATCTGGTCGCTGAGACTGAGAGCTCCTAAAGCCAAATCGCTTTGAAATCCAATTCTTTCACTGTGAAGATAGCTTCTGTCTTTAGAAAGCTAACGACACAAAGTGACTTCCAGAAAACTTTAGTTCACTCATGTACTGCAAAACGTTCACTGCTGCTCATGAAGTCATTTGCTTCACTGTTTCATCTTATACTAGCTGGCGTGCTCAGCTTCGCCTGCCTCGTTGGTTTAGGCTCACCAAAGAATTTCGTGCGTAATTCTAAAGGCTCAACTTATCTGCTTGGCTTCCTGGCGTCCCGGAATGAATCTCGTTCCCTGTGTTGTTTTCGAAATCGGGATGCCCACTTATCCCCTTGTGCCAACTCCCAGCCCCGTAGCTCAAACTTTGCAAAAAAAAATCGATAAAATCGATAAAATTGATATCGATCGATAACGAAAAGTGGCCTGTGACACCCGCTCGGCCCCGAAGTGTATGTCTGCCAAGTTTGGTCCAGATTGGTTCAAAAATGGAATTTTCTATTCGGAACATACGTACGGACAGACACACAGATGTACAAACAGACATTCGGCTTTATATATGAGAATTTCATATTTACTTAGCTGACGTTTCTTTGTGCATTATACAGGGTGTCCCAAAAGTAAGTACACACTTTTCAATCGTCAATATCTCTTTTCCCAATGGGTCTTTTTTTGCCAGTCGAGTACCGTTATGTAGAGGAGGCTTCACCTTAGACTCTCGGTATTGAGCGAATTACCGATCCCTCTTCATTACTGTAGGATTACCGTAAGAACTTTCAGCATGTGGAACCATTGTGAAAAATGTCATTTAACAAGATTTTTTTCAAAAAATCTGAAAAATCGTTTACTATTGTTTTCGCGCACGCTGATTCCACTACACAACTTTTTACGAGTGTTTCCAGATTTTTTGATGGTGTAATTACATTTCTGACAAATACTGGAAATTCCGTTATTAGGTTTAGCTGGCATAACTTTGGAAAAAAGCATCATAGTAGAGTGGGAATTTCATATTCGAAATTAGCGGCTTTCATTACCATAGCATAAGAGTTTTTGGCTTGTTTGGTTTTGCTCCTAGGCAGAATATGGCTTCCAATGGCCTGAAATTCTTGTCGAAGTTCCTACACTAATCCTACAGTAATGAAGAGCGATCGGTAATTTGCTCAATACTGCAAATCTAAGTTGAAGCCTCATCTACAGAATGGTACTTGAATGGCGGAAAAATACGTAATGGGAAGAGAGATATTAAAGATTGAAAAGTGTGTACTTACTTTTGGGACACCCTGTATATTGTTCTGTTCTACCCCCAGTTCACTCCGGATGCATAACACTGCAAGACTTTTTTTGCAATATAGTTCACTGTTTCTGCCACCATCAATCAGTGAATAAATAGAATGAACAAATAAATCTCGTGTAATATTTTATGTTTCCTGGTCATGAAACCTGGGCATTGTCTTGAAATCATTCCACGCAGGTGTGTTAAGATATTTATTCGGGCTAACGTTCCGGAATATGCCTTCCTCAAAGAGCTAGAATCTAATTTTTGCTCTATATGAGCTCGAATCTCTCCTCTCGACTAGCTTAGTTCGATGTCTTAAGAGCAAACAAGTCGGGACGTTACACAACAAGTAGTATACCAAGATCTGGTGTGAGACTTTCTTTTAGCTATCTGGGGAAGGCATTATTGACGAAACTTTAGACCGAATACATATCTCAACAAACAGCTTAGCTCACAAATTCATGACATAGATCTCTTTCACTCACATCTCAAATCACTCAGTTCTTACCTGGCGGATAGCTGTGACACTAATGAAGAACGAAGAAAAGACTATTGGAGTCACCTCATGAATATGACAAAACATACGCTCATAAAACTTACACTTACAAATGTCCACGCTGTCTTTTACAGCCGGTTTGCGAAACTTTAGTTTGTCATCTTACCACTGTATTTTCCCGTGCCTTTCGCTCAGCCATGTAAAAAGAATTTCCTTGACGTACAAAGCGAATAATGCGAGCGTGGAGTTGTCTATTTGCGTATATTTTTTCGATCTTTTTTAAGATCAAGTACATCTTGTGCAGAAAATGGAAAGCTCAAATGATAGACGCTGCGGAATCATGCAATAACATAAAAACTGGTCTTCTTTCGCTCAAACATTCTTGCCTTTGTATTTGCCTGTGCAAAAAAGTGTCATTCGCGGGAACCGTACACAAGGTATTGTAGAAAGACTCTTTTGGTCAGTATCCATGAGTTGACTGCAACCTTGCAGCATGTGCATCTTCGTACTTGATGGATTTATAAAGCAATAGCGACAACGACAAACTCAGTGGTGGATGCAATCGAATTCATGATAATGAAGGACATTGTCTCCTACGTCTTTATGGGTCAGAGGAGGACAGTTCAAAATAAATCAAAGAGCGTCTGAAGACTCCAGACTCGCGGAGATCGATTATTCAACAATACATAGAAGTATAAGCTAGGATTAAAGGTATCCTACGGTCTAAAACTCGGATTCGTACTCGCCAATACTCAATCAAATAACAACGAAACAAATGCGAAAGTCATGAAATATAATGAAAGGACTGGACCTAGAATAGCACGTAAGGTGGAAAATCTCGAATAATAGAATATTATGTCTACAACCACTTTTACATAACAGACGCTGCGCCAGTTCTAGCTTTGGTGACAGGACACGTTTTACGTAACCGATTCGGGCTCGAGATGATTTGAGCGGGGAGAATGGACGGAAGGGATCCAGCTACGTCCGACTGCATCAAAGGAACAGGCAAACGAACGAGCAATTTAGCATGGACCGTCTCAGACTTTATGTTAGGGTGGACATAATGTTATCAAGAAAACGCGTGTCTTCTCTTAATCATCTCTTCCTCTTGTGTAAGGAATTAAATCGAAAAGGAGATCAGAGGTGATAGACATTCGATACAAGATGAGTGTTATCGCATACGATTGTGATCGTCGATTCACACTGATGAATCCACAATCACACAGGTACTTCTGCTTTGATGGGGAACATGAAGTCTGCTTCACCGTCTGCATTCGCATTTGCCTGAAACTATAACGGTAGACAGCATTCTGGTATTTGTAGCAAAGTCTTTTCACTATTTCATCATGGTTTTCCCGAATGACATGGTGGCGGCAGCGCACATCATTATCGTTGAGGTGTAAGCAAGAGCTCGCAAATGCTATGCATTTTTTAAGCATCATTGGCGCTTTCAATTGGACTGTTGCTTGCGATGGGACAAACAAATAATTAGTCCGGAGTTAGACCATTCATAGTTTCTCTTCTACAGTTTTCCCTCTGCTTCCTTTAGACAGCAATATGACCACAACTTAACAAGCTCACCTGCACTACAGGAATACAAGCTAACGCGATTGTCTCGGTGTACTCTCGAAAGGTGTTACACGTTTCATCAAACATCAACACGCGAACCTAAACCATGAAAGTATTATTGACATTATATGTATATAAAGATATTTCCGGACTAATGGCGGGCGAGTGGCGTAGTGGTATGATGCGCCGCTTTGGCCAGATCGGACACAGGTTCGACCCCCGCCCCAGCCAACCAAAACCTCTACGCTCCGAAGCCGGTGAATTGGTACCGGAGTAATCTAGGAGGTGAAAAGCACTGACTTGGTATATGGCTGGCCCCCGCAAGTCACTATGATAGGCTCGCACGCATACAATTGCCTCTTCGACTAAAAAGTAGTGTGCGTTCAGCGCATGCCCCAGGGGGTATACGCCGAATCCCTTATCCTTTATCCTAAAGATATACAGTATATACAAGTGCAGGCTTGTGAAACGATAATAAGTGCTCCATAGAAGTGAATCCAAGATTTCCTTGGTCTTGTGCAAACTGATACAAATTTTGTTTGTATTTTCGATCTGTATCTATATTTCGGTTGAACACAAACGCGTGCACAGTGGACATGTTGCTCTAAAACAAATATAATCTGCTTTACCCTCTAATGGCTTACTGTACTTGAATTGAATATGCTTTCGATATTTTGAGCCCCAGTAGGAATAGTACAGCTAATGTTAAGGTCACAAATACAATTTACGATTGACTTGCATGTGACTCGAGAATAATATTGATGAAGTTGTACTTTGGCAATTGGGAGCTATGATCCTAGTATAAACGTGGTGAGGCATAACCATATTACACTATGTTTCAACTTCTTATAGGGTGTTTGATTTATTGGAATACTTCAGTTTGTGCTCTGATAATGCATCAGGATGGGAAGATTGGACGATTTGCATAGTTTCCACCTGACTACACGGAAACTCCGAATGATAAAGGACAAAAACGAATGATAAAGGACAAAAAAAAATAAAGGATTTGACATCTTCGATACCCATTGCGGGCATGCGCCAAACCCAATCCACTCCATGATCGAAGAGGCTGAATGCATGCAAGCTTTTACAATGACTTGCAAAGGCCAGCCTGTTCTCATTCTATAGATTACTCTGGTACCAATTTATCGGCCCCGTAGGGTAGAGGGCTTGGTTGACCTAACGGCGGGATCGAACCTGGTCCGATCTGGGGAGATTTCTTCGTATAGCGAAGCGAAATGCTAATGCAATAGACAAAAAACCTCCATATAGTAACCACTGTGAGATGATTATCGAAAGCTGCAGCTTCAGCTGTACGGTATTTTTCTCACCTGATACCGGAGATGCTCGCACTCGAAAATTCGCTTTCCGACAAGCCTCGGATTAGGGCGGTCACAACTGCACTTGACTTCTGTTAAAGCTGCTGGTAGTCGCTAAAATGACACTACATAAACCCAGAATTGAGCCACAGGGAAAGAGCTATGTTGTAACGCTCACCCTTGGATTGTAGTTAAGGATGTATTCAAATTTGCACAGTGCTCGCTCTCGCAGAGGCGTTTCTGCGCTGATTACCTCTAGCTTTTTGCTATTGCATGAAGTTGAACTTGTAGTAATCTGCTCTCCGTGTCGAAGGCCGTTGAGCTGCAACAGCCACTTTGCATGTAGACTAAAGACTCGAGATTACGATTACCCTGAACTCTGATTTGACCGCTTTTTTCAAATAATTCCGTCTTCAGTTAAATCCGCCCTACAGATAAGTCAACTATCCTAGAATCTTGTCAAATAAATCCGAAGCGGCCTTATCTTCATAGAATTATTTTTAGACGGATTATTTGCGGGGAGGCCCTACATGCCAGATTTTAGGGTAATAACAAAGATTTTTTGCAACAATAAATGCGCCACCTAAACTTAAATTTGGATCTTCCGTTTTTGAGAATAGTCAAGCGTCATAGCATCTTGTGAACAGAGTCGACGATGTGCATTAAAAGGTTGACAGGTGATTGAGCAGAAACGGAAGCGTGAGCAAATCAGGCTTCCTGGGTAAATGGCGCAATGAGTAGCTTTGAACAAGTGATTTCGTAGCGACGTCATGGCGTGTCATGCGAATATTATCTCCATGCATTCACCAATTTCTAGAATTTCTAATTCGGAGGTACGAGAAGCTCAACTCATCGAATTTGAACTGGGTAAACAACAGGGAGAAGAGAGTTCGCGGCCTCATCACATTTGAGCTACATCAAAAACGGGAGTCACGTGGAGATCGCAAGTGATGTTAATTAGCGAATTTTGCAATTACTTGCTTGATCGTCATTGCTCGTGTTAGTATATAATCTGAAGTGAGCAAGAGCAGGAGTAGTAAACTCGTCGACTCTTAGATTACTGAGAAAAGAAGTTTGGCAATTGAAAAGACGTCAACAACACTGCTCCTTTGTCTTCATTACCTCCACCCACTACCACGTCATTACCAAATGTTGCATTCTCGCTAAACAGTTGGGTGCATGTGGCTGTTTGCTGAGCGAGCTAAGACACATCATCAGCATCCCTACACATTCAGCGTACACTTGCGTTAATACCGGAAATGACAATTTTATCGGAATCATCTCTGATTAGAGGACTTGAGCAAACGCCAAGCTTGAAAACGTAGTGAGGTTCACTAGCACATATCTTGCAAATTTACCTGCAATTTCAATAGCGCTTGTTGATATGACGGTGCAATTGGGGAGTAATGCGAGGAGTTTTTTCGATGTAAATATGATGAGAAGATCTTATGATGGTTTTCTTCTGAGTATCGATGGAAACATTCGTTTGACGTGGACAGATCATCTGCACTATCTCGCCGTACCCGAAATGGTCTGAAAGTTGGCAAAGCATAGCTGGCTCTAAGAACAGCTACAAATTTTTTTGATGTGATCATCTACGTTTCTATGACAGACCTCGAAGAAGTAGCCCAAAAAAGCCTAGAAACTTACACTGATGTATGGACGAGATGGGCAAAGAATACCAAAGTAGAATAAATAAATTGTAAGGACGAAATTTTGGCAGAATCTGAAACGACAAATGTGACAAAGAAGGTTCAAATTGAAATCAGATGATCTGCGCGTTGGTAGTATATTATACGAAGACACTTCTTAGAATAACAGGGCAAATAGATCAAAGCGAAGCTACTGATGTGATGAATATTCCATGCATTTCTTTGTGATTTCGTATTAAGTTCCATGTATCGACTATATGAAAAGAAGAATATTTGACACTTTTGGACAAGTGAAGCATCAGAACCTCCGCTGGACCCTCTCCTTAACGAACTTTAGCGATTGTACCAGCAGAGGCGGGATTACAAAGAACAAATTGATTGACATAAAGTTTTGTAGCCTTTTTAGGATTAAGATATGCTCGCGAAACATGACCAGAAAACTATTTGATCTCGAGTTGAAAATAGCTTTTAAAAGTTCATTATGACATTCACTATTATAGCCACAAATTTTGTTGTTCCCTTCCGTCTTAACGACAAATCTACTTGAACTTCCTCTTCAATGTGCTACATCGAGGTGATCTGTCAGTTGCACATTCAAATCTATTAACAAAGATAACGAAGAGTGGGATGCAAATGAATCTCATGAATAGATGCGTGGGTGAGGTCCTCATATTATAAAACTTGAATTAGTACTTCTATGTGAATAGTGAGTGTGATAAGAAGCACACATGCTACCACTAGGTTGACGTATTGAGCAAATTGTGGGGAAAATGAATGGTTTCTACTTACAACTAATTCGTCAATGCAACAGATAATATTAGAAGAATAGCTTCAAAGAGAGCTGCGACCTACCGAGATGCCATGCTGTGTGATTGGATGTTATAAGACATTTTTCAAGTAAGTGTGATGTGTTCGAATATGATCTAATTAGTGTTTTTTGTGAAGTTCATTTTGCCCAGTAATGATTGGTCAGAACATAAACGATAATGAGCATCGAGTTGGGGATGCTAGAGGTGAGGGAGTAAGAGCGGCATACAGTTGTGGTCTGCTTGCTAAAGGCCCCGCCTACTTGGAGAGGATCCAAAATCAGCCGTTTACCTCACTCCTTAAAAGCTCTATATTTTTTCGGGTTACAGGCGGATGTCATTGCTGTGAGGAATGTAAAGGATTATTTGTTGCTTAATATGACATTTCGATTTTTTAGAACTAGAGATAGTCATAAAGTAGTTGAGATACGAGCGGTGTACCTACGGATCGTCGAATGACAAAAAAGATTTACAGCATTACTATTCACACTCTATCGCATTATGCATGTCTTTAGATTGATCAATGCGAAAATTTAGAATTGTAAGGAAATGGTAGTGACGGGAGATTACAATTCCAGCACAGTTATTCCTTTCATGACGTCTCGTGATATTTTATTCTCTCTATTGCTTTTGTCTTTCGGGCAGGATCAGAGCTATCACGGTAGCTCTAGTCTGCCACACTGCTGCCCAATATGAAGACATCTGATCTATTCAGTTTCTATCTGTCCGACCCATTCTATCTGAAGCTTTTTTATGATGTACATTCACGCGACAAAGTGGCTTTGCAATGATTTTTTTCGCCTTCTTAGAGTCAACCAAAAAACTTAGAGTGGACCAGTACGTCTAAGGCTTCTCTTCTAGTGCGCAGAGAATGATAATAGCGAAGCTTACTCGCGCTATACGGTAGCCTAACCGAATTGAAGGCTGGACGAGGTGCGATATCTTAGCACAGAAATGCTCATGTGTAATCGTTTTCTCAGCTCATGCTTTCCTACACCCGTCCATCACAGATAATGCCAAAAATAAAAATCTGCACGATCATGCTTGTTACACCTTTATTTCACGTGAAATCAGAAGCTGACGAGAACATGATCTTAATGCAGTCCTATAGCCTATATAGCCTATAGCAGACGTTTTTAGTGTGATAAAGCAAAGGAGCTATCAAGTGGATAGAAAGATATTAGTTTGATATAACAAGGCCTTTCGTCTTCGCTTAGCTGTTATTGAATATAATGGGTGAGTTTCTAAAACATTGCTGACTCTCAAATAACAGCGATTACTAGTAGTTTTTGAGCAGGCTGAAAACACTTATTAACTTAACATTTTCGAATGTTATTAAAATTAGAGTAGCTGACTTGTATCGAAGTGTTGAAGTGTATAGGTACAAAAGGCGTTGTCCTTTCTAATGGGTTTATTGCCGACACCCCGGCACTGATCAACTCTAATTTGCGTAATCGAAATGGTTAAATGCAGCAAGCAGCTTGATGGGGTTCGACGACCCGATCTAAGTTTATTATAAATTTTCATAAGATTTCTGGATCAGATAAATTAAAGAGAGTACAACATTATCTTCTCTCGAAAATTTGCCAAAACAATAGTTCTGCAACAGACAACAGTCTTTTCCTGAGGTCAACGAGCATTCGATCTTTGAGAGGCAAATGGAATTGACGAGAGAAATCTGACAATTAAGCTTTATCGAATTCTGTCATAATGAGTGCATGGGGAATTCACGTAGCTATAAAAACTGTTTGTGAGAGATGTTTTCTATTGCTACATGCCGCAACGGTTTTCCCTAATGAAGTATAAGCTGTGACATCATAACAAACTTCAAGATGGTGTTCCTTAGTGGCCTTCTTGGTGAGGAAGGAAAGTAAAGAGCGACAGTTAAAGCACGATCAGATTTTGTAGATAAGTTTGTATTTTCAAGCGAGAACGAGAAAGGTGCACGGACATGTGCCAGGGCTTAAAGATAAGTTCGCCTACAGATAACTCAGCCTACAGTTTGATTCAACTACATATCTAGCCATAAAAGTACAAGTCTATATCGTTCCACTGGAGAGCACTTTCGAACATTTTTTAATAAAGTGGACCATACTCGAATCTCAGTGCACGAAAGGCCTATTTTTGCGGTATTTATCCAAATTTCTTGATTAGAGGACTTTCCTGTGAGATTTCATGTTATGAGCTTTTTTAGCGGCGAAAGAAATTGAGAAAATGTTATAAACATTTCTGAGAGTCATTTTCGCGACTGATTAGCTTTACCTTTCTTTACCTCGTCCTCTTACCAAAAAAGTGGACCTCTTGTAGACTACTTACTTTGGAGGTGTTAGGTGCACTGTTAGGTGCACTTTCAAAAGATTTCACTGGGCTAAGTTATGTAAAAGGATGTGCTTTGAACTTCATCTCAGTAACGAAGGCGAGAGCTGAATGAAACGATGAACTTACCAAGTTACAACGCGCAAAACGTCACATACTGAATAAATCAAACATTATCCACTTTCCATTGTTATGGTGCTTACATAGCTACTGAATCGGATTGGTATGCTGGTTGTCGTTTCATGATTGTTTTCTTACTGACAGTTTCCATCGCCAGTGTCGTATCTGATTAATTGCCAAAAAGCCAGCACATACGATAACAAGCCTAATAAGTATCTTGTGTGATGTATTCTATCCACCTTTCCAGAGTCTAAAGAGAATCCAGAATCTGAATGGAAGTGACTCCACCTTGATTTGTGTAAGACCAGGTTTTCACAGGTGTTGGATGGGAGAAATTCAATGAAATCAAAGGTCCAAAAGTGGGGTGTTTGTCTCGTGCAGTGAATTGTATTGTTGAGGCAGCGGGAAGACTTGCATAACCTCCTTGAAAATGGTGGAGTTGATGTCTATTCCAATACAAACTTCAGTGAGAGTACGCTGCAAAGGAGTTCTTCACAGATCCACTCCAATGCCATTGTTGATTTACACCTCAATTCCAAAAACGTAGGTAACACGTTGAATGGCAGCTAATTCAGGTTAAGGTGGCTCATCCATGCGTGTAAAAATCTTCTCAATAGCATGTCAAATCACTATTACTCGCTTGAAGTGATGCAGAAAAAGATTGAAACTCCCGCGCACGTGTAATAAGGAAGAGATGATGTAGCGAGAACGATAAAAGTGGCTTAGACATGGCAACAAAGAGTACAGTCAGGCATTATGACCTCCCGTTTGAGAGCGCCCGAGTCCGTCTACAAGTTTCTCAGCACATACACATATTTTATATCGGGAAACCCAACCCATGTTAATATTACAAACTCAGAACTGAGACAGTCCATCACACTGAGAGGAGAGAGGAGATCGTTGCAGAAGATGTGTTGTTGTATAGCTGATTTGATCAGTGGAAATACTGTGGAGAGAACTACCTCTCGCAGATGCGCCTTTAGTCTATGGAAGTGATTTATCAGCTATGAGTATTGTCTAAAACACTGCGAGATCGTTTCAGAACATAATATACTGTCTACTTGAACAATATCGTGGGTAAAATGCGTTTTTCGATGTTTCAAAAGGGCACAGGAAGCTCAAAAAGACACACAGACTAGGCAATTGCAAACTTCTCATCAGTGCTCATTTCCTTTCTGCTCACATCGTTAGTATTTGATTTTATAGTCTGCAAAATTGACTGTTTGCGTAAATACTTTCAACGTATGATGTAAACGTATAATAGTGAGCTTCCAAATGACTACCGTATGTGCTGCACCTCTTATGCAAGTGGGCTACATAATGATGAGTCGTTAGCAATCTCCTCCGGCAGAGACAGTTGGTGTAGCAGTGCCAACAGTAACGAGAAATACTTTTTTGCATAGGGTATCGTAGCGTCATTTTGGCGTGTACATTATGAATTGGTGTGGGGAATATTCAACCATAAGCGACGCACACCCCGAGAGACTTAAGAGAAGGTCGCGAACGTGTAAAGGAGGGGTTTCTTCGAGTCAAGCCAGTGCGATCTATGACTTCGCCTTCAACGAAGACCCTCCAAAGCGCCTCCGTCACAGACTTGTGCGACTGTGGGCGTACTACTTTTTCTATTTTCCTGTTAGTGCCTTTTAGCTACTTTGAATGCAATCGCACTTTTGATTATGTAGTTACACTAAGCTGTCGGAGGGGAGTGATACAAAGCAGTATGTTTTGCACGGTAAAGGATGGGACAATATAGGAGCTCTCCGTTTGTCTTGTGAAAAGTCAAGGATCAAGGAAACGAAACCTTAAGCTGCGCATTCTAAACTGAAGACGTCAGCAGAAATTTTAATCTTTCTACGCTGATCGAATGTAAGACATTCGGATGCTTGGAAACACTTGGTATTTCCCATCTTCGTGCCTAAGTGTAGCAGACTGTTCTAGCTGAAGCCGCAGTTGATAAAACGGGTTAAACTAATTTCGCAAAGAGGAGGCAGAAGGAGGGCAAGTGCGAAGGATATGTTGAGCTTTGATCTCGCTAACAGACAGCTTTGAAGTTGTAAGTATGAATGAGACTTCAAAATCAACGTTCGCTGTAGGACATAACAACGCAGTAGCTCTAGAGCTGAGAATCACTATGTATATATTGCGTCTAAAGTAATTGACTGATATAAAATCTAATCTCTTTCCGAGTGGCTTTCGCACATGAATTTCTCCTTCGGAAATTGCTATCACATTTGAAGGACTAAAAGTACATGCAAGGGATATCTTTAGTAATAAAAACGCATATCACGTCAGATTTTCACGGTATTGTCCATCAAGTCCAGATATAGACCTGAATATTTGATTATAAGTCAAGGTGTCTGATGTGACGATGATGTAGCCGGAAAGGGCAGACCAGATCGTTTTTTGCATCAGACTTGAAGAGATGAATGGCCATGATGATTTGTGAAGTCATTCAATGACGGTGAATTCAATAGATTAAGCAAAGAAAGAGAGCTGAAATTATATAGTGACATTATTTCGCTTCATCACTCTGGAACACATACGTCAAAAAATTTCTGGAAGCAACCAGGCACTAGTTCCCTGTCGTCCAACGAGACGGTGAAGGACACGATGGCATCACTACGTGTTTAAGATCAGAGCTAATCATCTGCAGAGCTAAATGGGTAGGACTCGGAATAATATAATTATGTGTGAGCGCTTTATTACTAAGAGCAGGTGTTTCACAGAAGAATGAATTAGATCGATGCAACACAGTTGCATTTATCAAAACTAAAGATCCACTTGCGAATACGTGCGTGTATGAACTGATGCATTCCGAAATAACAACTATCACTGGTGCTATTTGTGTGTCTGTTTTCTATGTAAAATGCAGCGTTGATTACTCGTCTTCAAACGCACATGCCACGACAAGAACATACAATTAAAAAATTCGTATTCAAACCTCTTCTATTACGTGTCGTGCACAAACACAACAAAATTGACATCTTACTTGCATGTGAGACCATATATGATGTCTATGTTGGGTTGACGAAATTTGCATTCAGTCTCGTTCCGGACCGTCATAGGTCAGCTTTCCAGGATATTTGATATATGGAAGTCAAACAGAATTTGATAACAGAACGGCCAATAGTATAAAGCTACCGCTTCTATCGATACCCTAACCAAGGAAGGATGGTTGGTCGAAGTGGCCTTCAAAGAAAGAACATGTACCATCTTATAGGACATAAAATGCTGATTCAAAATCTGTTTTCCTTACCTGCGGAGGGTTCCTGCGCATGGAGTTATGAGCGTTTATTGATGCAAAAAATCCGTGTAAATAGAATTAAAATAGTCGTTACATTTTTCTTAACTCTTGAATGGGGCAGTTGCAATTATCAGAACACTTCATGTAATGAACACTTTCAGAGAAATTATATCCACACCCCACTGCTTCAGTTACGCGCTAGGAAAATTTTAGCAACTGATTCTATCCTGAAAAATCTTTTAAAATTTTTACTGCAACAAACCTCATAACTCCCCGCTCGTGAGTGCTCCGTAATTAAGGAAGACAAATTTGGAATCAACTTTATGCCCTTCTAGATGGTATGTTCCGTCTCAAAAGGCCACTTCGACCAACCATCCTTCCCTTGTTAGAAGGAGAACGGGGGAATTGTTGTGTAGTGTATTTCCAACTTTGATTGCTCATAACTCTGCGTTCAGAAGCGCATGGCAGCAAAGACTGATTTGTAATAAACCTCACTGGTCTCTAAAATGATATAAAGGATAGGCTACTTCCGCGTAGCACTTCTTTTCTAAGTCATTCCTAGCAGAGTTATGCATTAGCAGCAGTAAGCAAAGCAAGTACAGGAAAACATAATGATAAGAATGAGGAAATTAGAATCAAATAAAGAAAAGTTTAGATTACTTCATCCTGCCAATCGGTTTACAGTACATTGCGAAGCCATGAAAAAAGCGATGGATGAACTTTGTGCTAAGAATTGCTTCAGTATTGTAAGCATGGAAGCACTCGCCAAGAGAAACACTCCAAGATCTTTGCTAGCTAATATGCTATCCATCAAAACTATCTTTGGAACACATCGATTTGCATGGGTTCACTTGTATGCGAGCGGAGCTCGAGATCTGCTCCTATAGTAAGGAGTTTTTGGAAGAACAAAGGGTTTCGATCAGACCGGAGCGAGCCAAACATTTTCGAAGTTGCCACTGACCTTGTTGGATGATCCATATAGATGAGTCGACGCTTGCTAATCAAGAATATGGACCTTCCCGGGAGTAACGCTTCCATGACATCGACCAAGTGCATCACAATATTTTGAAAGTCATTGGCATCTTTTGTGAATGAGATCACCACTACTTGTCACCGCTAGAATGCATAACCCAAGCTGCGCGCTACTATTCACGGAAGTTATTACCCCCGCGACGGTGAAAACTTTTGACTGAGAACTGAATGCGCCACCGAACACGCCACTTCAAAAGAAGCTTGTCACTTGGTCTAAACCTGCTTGGTTACTCAATACCATTAAGTGTGCTCCTTCTCTGCGCTGTTCTTTTGCGTTTCAGTCCGCCTAAAGTTTTATAATCAGCTTCAATTTCAAGAAAAAAATGCGTAGTATCACACATAGCAAAATTTCGAGACATAATGTGCAAAACAATTACACAATATTTAAATGATGCTTCAACGTAATGGCGATTTCCTCCCATACGTTGATATCATTATCATCTTTGCAAGAAGTGTATTTTGAAATTCTAGGTTTGATAGCGGATAGGCGTAAGCTAGCCTGCAAGTGAACATTCTTGTCGCAAAAAATGCAATCGCTAATGTGAATTAGCGCTTTTCACATTCTGACGACATGAATGGCTTGATCGCGCCACCAGTTCGATCAGAATTCGGGTGAAGATGACTCATCTTTGAGGAGGAAAAGTAAAAATAGTGATCAGAAACAATCGATAAACTTGTTCGTTACATTGTGAGCCTTGTTGCCTTTGAGTATTTGGAATAAGGATCTTCATGAGAAACACTGAGCATAAGCGAAGACGAAAAGTGGCAAGTTTGATGTGGGTGGCGGCTTAAAGATATAGAAAAGAGTTGTTTATTTTCATCATTATCGCGTCATCTGTATATCTACTCATCCAAAAAGTACTTTGTGATCTTAGAGAGGGCGTAGACGGCAATGATGCTATGGCTACCTTTTTTAGCACACAGACTAATGAGTAGCCGCTACTAATTTATCACGAAAAAACCCATGTACAGAGTACTGAGTGCAACTTTTTGATGTTTATGAATTTAGGAAGAATGCAGCTTGTGTCCTATGCTAACAATTTTGCATTAATGGCCCTACATCTTAAACGCAAGCATTTTTCTCTTCAGAAATGTCCGAAATTAAAGGGCAGGTATGTCTTAGAATTTGGCGATCAGTACTCACAGATAAAACGTTACATCTAACCAGGTCCTTCTGTTTGAAACAATAAAAAGTTTGTGTGGCGGCAAGTTTTTGGAGTTTTTCTTCGAATTTTTAGTGACTTTAGCAGACGTAAGTTAAGAACATGGACATTGGCTCTCGTGAGAGTACCTTTCATTGGATTTTTGGAAATCATCTCTGTATATACTAAACAAGTCAACGGGCTCTCCTTACATTTGGATTCCGTAATTTGACACAAAGTTTCTAGGAGTTTCAATGCACTCTGAACTTGCTCAAATTGCGTTATTATTAGGAGTGTTCGCTTCTTATGTGCGCTTGAAATATGATGTGTATGGCTCACATAAGAAGAAGTAAATTCAGAAGCTTAAAATACATAATCCAATCGAATGTGCATCATAGATTCTCATTTCAGTGAAGCTATAGAAAAGATTGGCCCATCTGAAAAATTTAGGCGGCTTGCACGCTGAAGCATTAGCACATCTCCGCCACATGGTTGATCACCACGACTGAAGTCAGCATGCCTTTCCTGCTGGAATTACCAGTGAAGCGCGTCCTATGACGTGGTCATGATGCTTAAGAAGAAACGAAACAGACTAGTCGATTATCCTCCGCTTCACAATCAATTTGCTTTTAGATCATATTGGCTATCCGTTTCTTATCTGCTTCATTTCGCACGCGCACACCTCTCTAGATGCGAGCTGTCTCACGGGCACCTGCGTTCGAATGACCATCGCTCTGACTCCTACCGTTATCACCAGCCCTACGCTTATCTTACGATGACGCCTGCCGCTTATCAGTTCAATTCGTAGCTGACCACCGCTTCATTAGTGCTTTTGTCGGGTCAATTTCTTCTCCAGTTACTACCTAGCATTTTCAGCACTTCCAGCTGTGGACGTCGCCATGTTACGTGCTGGACACGTCTTCTTTCGGTCATGTCGCTTGGTGACATCCAGAAAATCAGTCAATAATCAAGTTAGTCTTTCATAGCCGTTGATTCAAGAAAATACTGCAATAGTTTCCCAGATTTCTCTCGCGAGAACTTCATCGTCTGTAACAGCCACGGAACCCAGAGCCGTGACACCTATACCGTCAGTAGGTGTTACGCCAGTAGGGATGTAAGTGTTGCGAATATATTACCAACCTTTAATTCCCATATACTCTCACAATTCAGTATTAAAAATCGCAAGCATCACCTTCTCATCAATAGCCGTGAAGAACTGAAAAAAGCGCAAAGAATTGTAGTGAAACTAGGTAGCGCCGTCATTACTCGAGAAGATGAGTGTGGATTGGCTCTTGGACGACTTGCTTCCATTGTTGAGCAGGTAAAGCCACTCGGATACATTCAACTATAAAAACTTTCAGTTTTGTAGAAGGCCATTCACGAACGCTAACGCATCATCGTAAATCCCCCTGACCGGTTTTGTGAAGTTTTCCATAATTGTTCTATGAAAAATGCGCATCTAGACGATTTTAGAGCGTTTGCAAAGTTTTGAGAAGAGTCTAGGCTGTGGGATTTAGAACTGATCAGGTTCGTAGTGTGAGTTATGAAATGGGGGGGGGGGGCTTATAATGATGTGATGTTATGCTTTTCGCACAATCTATACTGCCCATGTCCAAGTAGTTCATATCATGCCAAGCATTTGGTCAAAGAAAAACTCTAGATGTCGACCACAAACTTTACAGGTGGCTGAACTACAGCAATCCGGTCGTCAAATGCTAATAGTATCGTCAGGAGCTGTAGCATTTGGTAGACAAAAGCTACGTCAAGAGCTTGTCATGAGTATGAGCATGCGACAAACACTCAGGTTTCCAATCTTTTACGAACGCAAAAAGAAATCCAAACCGATATTTTAGAGGCCCATCAGGAATGACAGCAGATAAAAGAGCTTGTGCAGCATCTGGAATGCCCGGATTAATGTCATTATATGAGCAACTATTCCAGCAGTACGGCATCACTGTGGCCCAGGTTAGAGCCAATCCTAGTTACTGTTTGCCTATTAGTGCAAATTCATGTCCTTTAAATGAACTTTATTGTCAAGCTCGTTGCCTTTCAACTCGAGTTTTAGAGTACATAGATAAGCCGGCTATTTTTTGACCGTTATTGTGTCCCAATCTTCTCGCAGTTTTTAAGGTCCTTCTTACAAAGCCCGACATAGACGACCCACAAAGAAGGAAAAATCTACAAGCTACAATTGAGAGTTTGCTTGCTCTCAACATCATCCCCATAGTCAACGCGAACGATGCTGTGGCTCCAGATCCAAAGCTGAATATGGTAGGTTCACAGCAAGGGAACTCACAAGGTTTCCGCTATATCAGCAGTGTTTCGACTACTTTTGAAGATGGGTAAATACCAATGAACTCAAAGTGCAGCAGGAAGACAAAAAATCAACGCAACATCACTATGAATTTTGTTCACCCGAATGTCTGTAATGTAAGCATTCAGCACATCAAATAACATTAGTATGAAGCAATCAGCTTATTTACTAACCATGCCTTCATGCGTTTGTATTCTCAATATAGTATTCTCGCCATTAGAATTAATTGAAGGTACAAACGCAGAGCTCCGGCATGAAACGACGTAATAGCCATGCAAAGAAAATGATTCTCAAATGCCATACTGCAATAAAAAGTATGATACAAAATGTCGTGATATAAGAAGAGCTAGACCTCATTGAAAGAGAATGACTCTTCGCTTTGAATGATCCACTGGGATATGCGGAACCAAGTATGGCTCATTATTTCAAATTTCAAAGATGAGAAATCAAATTGATAGCTATAATTTCGGTAAAATTTTCCGCTATCTCCCCGTATCTTAAATCTTTCCTTTTCTTGTCCCTGTAGTGGAAAGCTGATCTTGCAGTCTACAGCTGTAGATGAAATGGAAGCCTGCAGGACTACTATTCTTGATAAAAGTTTTTGTAGAAGTCACGGTGATGATGAATCATACAAATATAGGCAGGGGTGGAACTTTCACGGAAACCAAATTATGTGGAATAAGAAGATCCAGAATGATATGGTTTCTATAGTGCTTCAAAAGTGCGAAGTACGAAAAAGATTGACAATTTTGCAGCATATTTCGGACAACGACTCGTTAGCCGCTCGTTTATCGGCTGAGATAGAAGCAGAGTTAATGATTATCCTCTCTAATGTTAATGGCGTCTACACAGGTGGAATTTACAAATTATTGCAGCAAGTGAAAGCCATATGTCAGGCAAGTATTTTGTTAAGGTCCTCCGGACATGGAAGGGTCTCGTCTGCTACACACTTTCGTTCCAACAGAGGATGCAGCCGTTGTATTCGGAGCCAACAGTAAATTTGGTACCGGTGGAATGGAGAGCAAGGTATCTTACTGCTTCGCATGCTTTTCGTTGCTCAATGCCCTGATTCGAGGTGAACGCCTGCGTAACCGCTCTTGAAAATGGTGTCACCACCATAATCACCAACGGTTTGGCGCAAAATGCTATCACTGACGCGTTTTCCGGAAAGAAGATTGGAACTATGTTCTGTAGGACACATTTGCACGAAGGTCCACCAATTGAAGAAGTGGCTAGCAAATGTGCGTTCAACATAGACGACACTCGTACAAAGTCTGAAAGCAAAGAGAGCTAGAGTTAAGGTCGCGACTCCGGCAGGCAACTTGCCTCTCTGAGTAATGCAGAAAGAGCGGCCATGGTACGTCATCTCGCTGGGCTGCTCGTAGCTCGCGAAAAGGACATCATGGATGCGAATCGTCTGGATATGAATAATGCCAAAAACAGTGGTGAGTTAGTGACATGCTTCAAATCTTCGCCAGCTTATGCCAATGGGTTATACCAAAGCAAAGTCATCTAGGACTTGAACCTCAGCTGCTGAATAGACTGAAGATGACCAAGGCGAAGATCATGGATTTACACAATGGCCTGAATATGATAGCAGATTCAGCAGAAACACTGATCGGTCGCTGTCTAAAGAAGGTGCTTTTCCTGATCAAAACATGTTCACACCGTAGTTAGGAAAGATTAGGAAAGTTCTGTTAGAAGAAACCTAAACTCACTATCTTCAAATGCCAAGGAGAGAAACATTGGCACACTTTGAGTTTAGCTCCTTTTTCGCAAGGACCAGAAACCTATTTGATTTACCTTGGCAAGGTTTCAGCCAGGATTGTTTCAGTCCTGCCCTAGTGAATGCTTCTCTATCTTCTAATCCAAAACTTACAGTCATCAAAACACTTCATTAGCATCACCACTATTTTTATTCACAGTTGTTGTAGAAAGCTGCTATGCCAATTTATGCTAAAATGGAAATGCAACTGAAATGAGGGACAATATATAGAAGATTCTATTTAGATCAAAGTGAGTGACAACCTGATGTTGGAGCAAGTTACGGTACCTATAGGATCCCTCATGGTCATCTTTGAATCTCGCCCCGATTGCCTCCCTCAGGTACGTGCATCTGATCTATTTCTTTGGAACTTTTGGGGGCGTGCCTTGACTACTTGCTTCTCCATCCCCCAAGGAGATGTTTGTGCAAGAAGTTTTTCTGGGAGTTTACAGATCTTCTCAAGTGAGCAAAACTCTATGGTATATCCAGGTTGCATCCCTAGCCGTGGCGTCAGGGAACTCGCTCCTTCTCAAAGGCGGAAAAGAGGCCGATGAAAGCAATCGTATGTTGCACAGCATTGTTCAGGTATTTTTACTCGATGCCCCGTGATCTTGCATCAAGGACCCCTGTTCAGGAGGCACTCGGCACTCACGGCTATGAGATGCGCGATGCGGTGACACTGGTCCGAAGTCGTGAAGACGTCGCTGAATTACTCCAACTTAAGGTTAGCATGTTAGAAAAAAAAACACGGAGCCGAATTTGGCTTCGTGCTGATGGAGTGATATTTCGCTCCGCTGAGCATTGAATCAACCTCCCCCTACTCGATGAGCTAACGGCACTTTGAACAAAACTGTTTGTAACAAAGTAACTTCTGCGGGAAGATTATGCAAGTTGAGGGCCAAGTGGAGCCGCTGAAGGTAACGTATTAGATTTAACTTGCAGGATCTCATTGACCTTGTTATACCACGCGGATCGTCCGAGCTGGTTCGAGCTATGCAGGAAAAGAGCAAGGGTATCCCAGTTTTGGGACATGCTGAGGGAATTTGTCACGTTTACCTCGACAAGGAGTTGGACGAGCAGGTCCGATTTACAGATCCTTTACTTCCTTTCTGGCCGATCAAATATACTTGATATATCAGTGGGGCCTTTCCCCTACTGATATATCAATACAAGCTACTTACGAAGTAAAAATGAACCATGCATAACATGTTACAAAAACCCGTTGGCTAGCCAATGATAGTGCAATGCAGATTTGCCAAGTCACTTGCAAACGTTGTTAGAATTTATTGTGGTGAGCTAAATAATGTTAATGAAGCCACGACAAGCAAGGTTATGACCGTGTAGAGTTCATTATGGTGCACTTACTTACTCGCATATGTCATTTGGTAAGCCAATACAACTATTCTAGAGCAAAAATTGTCGTTAAGATGGCGATCAACATCGTCAGAGACTCAAAATGCGACTATCCATCGGCTTGCAATGCAGCGGAGACAATTTTAATCCACAAAGATCTCATCAACACGGCGTTCTTTGATCAGCTTTGCGGCATGTTCAAGGTACAATGCTTTGAGAGTAGACAACGCCACAAAGAAGAAGGGTTTTAGGCCGAAGGAGTGAAGTTACATGCTGGTCCAAAGATGCAAACGATGCTGAAGTTCGGTCCCCCTCCAGCAGAAAGCCTCAAATTTGAATATGGGGGTTTGGAGTGCACACTGGAGGTGCACATATTTACTGTTTGTTTCTAGAAAATTGTAAGCAAAGTGCAGCATCGTTAAGGTGGTTGATAATGTGGACGAAGCGATCGCTCACATCATCCGCTACGGATCTGGGCACACGGAAACTGTCGTGACAAGCAATGGTAAGCAATTGAGAAACGGATGTCGAGTTTTGATTAGAATTCAGTTCGACTTGGTCGAGAACAGTGACGTAGAGTATCTATTGTACTTCACAGGCTTAAGCAAGTGGTAATCCGTGGTGTCGTAGCCATAGTACTCACTTATGTCACTAGATACGGATTAATCTCTTGCGCCTCTCGAACTAGCTCAATGAGCGAAGTAAGACGCTACTTCAGGGTGTCCTTCAAGTCAATTGTTCCGTGTTGCAAACTGCTCTCTAAGGTCCTGTACTTTGCAGATGTCGTCGCCGAACATTTCATCAAGCACGTGGATAGCGCGTGCACCTTCCACAACGCCTCAACGCGTTTCGCAGACGGTTATCGCTTTGGCCTCGGTAGGTAAACAAAAACAATGTACCCGTTAAGTTTTCACTCGTTACAGGAGCCGAAGTTGGCATCTCCACTGGGAGAATTCACGCACGCGGTCCTGTTGGGGTAGAGGGACTTCTGACTACGAAGTGGGTCTTGCGGGGTGACGGCCATACCGTACAGGATTTCAAACCAGTAAGGATTTTATTTTGATAAGTTACGACGCATTGGAGTAATTTTCTTTAAGAATGGGCGCTACCAGTATCAACACGAAGTCATGAATCCAACGGAAGTTTATAGAGCTGTTGAGCAGATTCAGAAGTCGGCTTAATTTGTCAGTCATTATACGCATTGGCATAATTTATTCACATACTGTAAAGGCCAAGCCTTATAGGATATCACCATATATATACTTGTATCTTATCACTTGTCTTTTTTGTATGCTCTCCTACAAAGACTGAACTTACACCACCATGCTTTTTATGAAATACCAAGCCCCACCTCACATGCCCAACGAATCGAACCTATTTACAGAGCTCCCATGAAATTCCGGAGAGTCAAAAGTAAGGAATTACTAGTCAAGTCAGTTGCTAACTTCGCGAATCAGTATCCACATTTCGCACTTCTGCAGTCAATGTATAGTTGTTCTAATGTGTAATGATATTGTCAATAACAAAATCATCTTATCAACTAGCCGAGCATGAATTAAAACTTAACTCCAAAACATCTTTGAAAGATTTGATGGTCCATTTGTTCAATGAGCGATCAGTGCATCACCAGGGAACTCTCTTTGTGAGAAGAAGGACAGTGGAAATTGTGCGGCTCAGTGTACTAAAAATTTACTTATTGCTTATACAAGGGCAAGCGAGTTCGCCCTCGAGTACGCGTATCTACTCATTGTCAGGAACCCAGCGCAAATTCCGCAGGACGAGAAAGATCCACGGTGCACAGGAATTTACTATGGCAGAATTTTGAGTTTCAATGGGAACTTTCGCAGGAAATTGATACCAGACTTACTGAAAACGTGAACATCCTCAGCACTTTCCATAAGGGCTGCGTTTCCGTATGTCCAGTGGAACTTCATTTGATTGTCTCAGCAGAAGATCTTTTTATTACTCTTTTTATTTAATATTATCTTAGATACTGAGATGCGTCTTCAAGTGACGTGCGCGCGCCAGCACAGAAGTTTCCATTTGTTCCTGTCCCTCGCTTCGACATCCACGATCTCCTTGGTCGTCGTCGGTGGCTACGTCCAAGAGTTTCAGGGGCGAAAGTCGTATCCAGCTGATTTCTCAGCTGGTCCATCCGTACCACGTTCTGCCCATCTCGTTGGAGGTCTTTCTCGGAGACGTTTGGCTTCGCGAGGAATCCACTCAGATGTTCTTCGTGTCCATCTGTCGTCTGTTCTTCTCATGATGTGATTGGCCCATCGATGCTTCGCTTCCGCAACGTACTCCGCTGGGTCACAAAAACGGTACTTTCTTCTCAAGTTCGTAATGCGCAGTCCGACAAGATGTCGTTTGCATCGGATCATCTTCAAAAGACTGCGCTCAAGAGCGCTGTGGGTGGCCCTTAGAGCTGCTGATGTTGCTACAGTGTCGATTCAAGTCTCATCTGCTAAACAGAGCGCCGGGAAAACGGTTAAGTTGAACAGGTGGGCACGAAGTTCCGTGTCAGTCAGTTGGTCGGTAGCTTCCTTCAGAGGCCAGAAGGCGGCCCATTCTGCTTTTCTTCTCCTGCTAAGTTCTTCCCTCAAGTCATTCTCCATGTTAAATAATAGGGGTGCCTTTCAATTCCATTTCTGCATCTTCGCAAAGGGCTGTCTTCAAGGACTGAGTCTTCATCCAAATTATTCGCAACCCAATCTTCTTCCCTGCTTCGTTTGGTTCCTTCAGTACCGTCTCTGCTTCAGTGATGCTGCTCGAAAAGAGAACGATGTCGTCCGCAAACGAAAGTTCGACAGAAATCTCCCATCAACCCATATGCCTCTCTCGTCTCACAAGGAAAGGAAGGTTAATCGAAGTTGCCTTTCAATATGAGATGGGTACTGACTGCCTTGAAGTGTATGAAACAGCGATTCAAACTATACCTTCTTCATCTGCTGCGAGTTCCTGAGCGAGGAGTTACGAAGGCTTTCATAAGCAAAAAAATTGCATTGCAGCTAGGATAAAATCTGTCGTAACATTTTTTCTAAAGCTCGAATGATTTTTAGGAACGAATATTCATAACTTAAACATATCCACTAAACTTTGGCACTTTGGAACGTTAGGAAAAGTCAGCGATGGATTTTACACTGATCATGCATTGAATTTTTTGCCCATATAAACCTTCAAAACTCCTTGTTCAGAAACGCTTTGGAATCAGCGTTTCGTACTCTTCAATTCAGTATCTCGGACAGAAAGGCCACTTCGGCTAAACTTCCTTCCCTTGCCAGTCCAATGACTTCATCACCCGCTGCAAGGCCGCGGTGAACAGCTTTGGAGAGATTGTGTCGCCTTGTTCCTTCTAAACTGTGATGGTCAGAGTGCGATGCACCGTCGTTGTACATCCTTGTAGCAGTCGGCTAATGTCCTCACGTAAGCTGGGCCCACCCCTCGATCGACTAGCGCTGACAAATTGACGTTGTTGTCGACGCTGTCAAGACTTTCTCGTAGTCGATGAGATTTAGGATGAGAGGCAGTCGGTGTTCGCGGCAGACTTCTATGACCCTCGAAACCGTGTGGATGTAATACATGCATAATTACTATGTATTATTACTATGTATTACATGCATGTAATACATGTAATATATAGTAATAATACTGTAATACTTCTCGTTGCGTACGACCTCCTGTCTTCGCAGAAAGCATCTAGTACTGAATCGTCAGCTGCTTATGTTGTTGTAGTGTAGCAGTTGATGATGTTGGTAGTCTTCTGACGTGGAGGTTGTAGTCGCACGGCTGGTCGAGGTGATAGGATCTCTAATGGACGACAGATGGGTGGACGACAAAGCCAACGCCTCCAACGTTTCGTGAAGAACCTTCTCACCACGAATGATGAGGGTCCCATCACTCATCTGTAGCACATCCTTCTTCCTAGACTTCGTTCCCCACAGAGCGATTGTGGCACTTGATGTGCTCTGCAGTGTCGAGAAGAGCGTGGAGGTCGGCGTTTGTGGAGACTAAACTGGCGTTGTACGTGTAGAGCATGAGGCAGTCTCCATGGAGTGTCCGGGCAGACATGCCATTTTTGTCCGATCCAAAAGGCGCTAAGGATCCTTGCCGTTCTTGCTACCACCCGGCGCCGGAGGCGGGTCTGATGTGCAGGGCTTCTTTCTATTCTTCTAGCTGGCTGATTAATAAGAATGTTTTCCCTACAAGAGCAGACTTACTAGGCCTACTCTTGATTTCCACGGGGCGCAATTGACCCTGATTGTGGAGCAGGGGGGGGACTTTTCATACGATCGGGGACTTCGCACCTAGCCTTCGCACCTACCTCACACCTACATCGCACCTCTCCATCCACGTAATGAGTAAGGTTCTCCACTACGCCTAGGTGAGGGGGGGGGGAGGGGGACTTTTCATACGAACGCTTCCCGATCACTTTGACCTTCTAGCGTATGCTAGGGTGCTGATAATACGTCCAGTTATTGATTACAATGGACTAAAATGATTATCAAAAATGCGTAAACTAAAGAATATCTTGATTTTATCTGTTGTATAAAGCTTATCGGGTTGAAAAAGCGTATCATAGTAAAGATTGTAAGGCCACAGCGAATTCATTTTCGCAAACAACTGGCATGATTGTGGTAATGAATAGTTCCCTTTACCGAGTCGCATGCCCTCCAGTGGGTGTAGATATGTCAAGAGGCGCGATTCCTATTGCCAGACGGGCAGCATATAGCACATATTTAGTATTTTATGAAGTCCTAGAATTACTTGAGATTTCGAAAGAGATATATTAGGGAATTTAGGGATTGTTCAATGTCATCATCTTGAAAATTGATTTCAAACAAAATTGTTAAAGATCAAAAACGCAAGTAAATGCAGTTAACAGCAATACGTAAATATTTCTGTCAGTTTTCTAGCAAAAGTCGTCAAACTTATCAAGTGGTTACTTCAAACAGCTAGTAAGCCAGTGAACTTTGTCCGGCACTTTTTTGAATTTTCCCATAGCATGAAACTGGAGTTTTAAGTTGATGATACCCAGAAAAATCGCGCCTCTTGGCCGTCTTCCTCCTCCAATATCCCCTATGGGAAGAACGACTTTCAGGTCATGCTGAAAGGTCGGAGAGGCATGTGACAATACTCAAATCAGTTCAAAACGTTTTCAAAAGAGACCGCATTATGTCGACTTGAATACTAAAAAATTCGTAAGTTTGGAATGGAGCCAGCAGGCCCAAACCTGGCATGGTGCCAGTTTTCACTGGATCTTTGCCAAAAGATGATGTGGAGGCATTCGTATGAAAAGTCCCCCTCCCCCCCCTCTCTCTCTACAGTATACTAGACACGGAGGTGCGAGACTTGACACTTAGCCGTAGGTGTTCACACCTCGCACCTCGGAATTGCTCATCGTATGAAAAGTCACTCACCCGTGGAGCAGGGAGGACAGCCTAGCGACCGGAAAGCGGCGGGGGATCTGGCGCGGTCGGCTCTTAGCTAAGCCTCCGGCCGAAACCGGAAACGTCGAACTCCTACGCAGCTTGAAAGGGCCCTATATACACTCAGCTGTGCATGGCAGCTCGCCACCTACTAGTGTCACCCCCACGCCACGATGAGGCGTCCGACCGTCTTTTTATTACAAACCAAAAATGAAAATTTCGTATGATAAACAAAGCCATGTTTCCGAAACTTCGGCAACTATATAAGTGACCAACAGCAAATTTCAGGAACATGATTTGAAATATGTCTGAAACGTATGCCTCCTTATGTCCACATGTTTCTATGATAAGGCAAAAAAGCGAAAGAACTTCCGGATCAGACTTGCGAGTTTGGCAGACGCTAAACAATCTAAATATTTATCTGTCAAAATAAACTCCATACATGCTCTTTGATGCAAGATAAATGTTAATGATTTCAACTGAATATGAGGCAAGCTGTGGCGTACGAAGAGGAGATACTGTGTAATCTGAACCGTAAATTGCGATGACAAGAAATGCGGTTTTGATCGGAAAAAAAGAAATTTCCTTTGGATCATATGCAGGCAGATGACGACATGAAAAATTAGTGTGATTGTATTGACGGAGCATTCTTCACTAGACATCCGTAATCGATGAGATTTCCACTTTTGCTTGCCCGGTAGTCTACCTTGGAGCCGTACTTGGTATAGAATGTCACTTGACATTTTGTTTTCTTTCCGGTTCTCTGAAACTCAAAACATTTATCCAGCGATTTGAGAACCATTTGGTTTTCACCTCATCAAACGCGTTACAAGTTTCGTAGGCTGGAATATACAGATGCATGGAGACGGCGGAATCAGAGTGGCTGGGATTTTCCATTCGATGAAGGCCTAGCTTATCTGAAAACCACTTTCTTACACTAAATCAAGCAATGATTTCAGTTTAAGATCAACCACAGCGAAAGAATCTACAATACCCATTCTGTAATAGATGATTGAAATTTCCAGCAAGCTGTTCTATAGGTCAGAGTTTCTATGAAACGCGGGTGATTTCGCCGAAAACTGCGCAGGAACTCAAAACAATATGATCGCGACTGGAATGTAAGAAAAAATGCACTACTCAACGCTCTCGGAAGGTTTGTGTTGAGCAAAATTGTTCTTAGAAAAGGAACGAAATTGTGCCCTTTGATGTCTTCAACCCTAAAGTACTATTGTAATGAGGAATCGATTACCGTTCATATAAGATACTCCATTTACTTCATAGCGATTCATACTGATCTTTTTCAAAGGAGCTTCCTTATCATCTTCGTTGGGCCAATCATATCTCGTTTCCAAAAGAGTTCCATCCAGCATTTTGACGAAACAGTGTGAATCCGTATGGTCATGGATGCTGAATGTTAGCACGTTTTATCAAATTAAATCGAGATATGATAGCGTTGACTCTTCACCTGCTTCCCATTCCGGGTCCCCAGCACAAGAGCATCAAGTTATATTTGCCATTACCAACGTCCACAAGATTTCTCGTATATCTGAACGTATAGGCTATGGTAAAAAATACCACCAGAGCAAGAATAGACTTACTTATGCTCATCAAAAGCAGCAAAACGCCTCCATTCGTCCTCATTGCTCTTGTACGACTCCATAGTTTTGATCACCTCGTCGACGTCCACGTTTTCATCGGCAAAAATCTCTCGCAACTTGGCGATGAGTTCGGTGAGAGTCACCATATCTGAACAAGACTTTATTGGACGTAGGTTAGAACCAGTACGATAAGCGCGACGGTGCCGTGATACAGTCGTACGGTAAAGAGTGAATCAAGTAGTCCAATGATTGTTGTGGGCAGAGGGCTGGTATGGGTGGTGGGTGGTGACGGTGTCATCACGTGTGGGATGTGAACGTTCACGACATGACGCCGTTAGCGGATGTCGTTGAAAATTCGAAACTGTCATAGTGTATTACTTGGACTATCGTGGGTCACCCCAATGATAACGAGGACTCGTACAGGCCGATGATCGAGCTATTTTGGACGTATCACTAAGTGAAAGTGTGGTAAAGATAATCTGTTCTATAATTTGTTATCGTGGAAGGCTCGTTTGAGACAATAGAGCTGTACTGCTAGTCTTGCCTTGAGGAAGATTGTCTTCAGAGGATAGATAGCATTAGATGAAAGCGGCTGCAAAACTAGTTACGATGACAAAACTTCCGCATTCTTAGTGCACGTTTTCCACCTTTACATGATGGCTGGATGTCAATCACCCTGACCAGGACCTGCTTATTTCGGATTTTAATCAAATTTTTTGTTTGTATCAGTGCGATAATGTCTCATAAGTGTTAGAAAGTTCTTTGAGTGTAGCAGCAGGATTGCCTGAATCTCAAATGTAAAAGATTCGTTTTGTATTTGCACAAATGATTGCAAGAACTCGGCAGGATCATGCTCAGAGTGCCAGTCGAATGACGATAGGAACATCTGACTAGGGAGATCACGAGTTGGTGACTTACAAGGGAGGTCGAATCAGTCGAAGTGGCCTTTCCAAATGGGTCATATACCATTTTGAAGAGCGTTGAACGCTGATTCCGAATCTGCCTTCATTATCTGCCGAGCGCTTCTGGACGTCGAGTTATAAAATTTTTTTGGAGCGAAAAATGAACTCAGAATTCAAGTAAAATTAACTATTACGGACTTTTCAGCGCCTAAATAGAGCAACATGTAGTATGAGTGTTTTGGACAGAAGGTATCCTTTGTAATGGAGTGCTCTGATAACCAACTTCGGACCATTTGAGCAATTCTGACGAATTTTGCTCTAATTACGCATTAAATTTTTTAACCAAAGGAACGCTCATAACTCGGCGTCCAGAGGCGCTCGGCAGATAACGAAGACAGATTCGGAATCAGCGTTGCATGCTCTATAAAATAGTAAGCATTTCATATGGAAACGCCACTTCGACCAAGTATCCTTCCCTTGTTAGGCCCAATTTTTGCTTCATGATTCAAGCTGTAAAATAGCTGGAGATCTTATTCGCTGTATTTTGCTACAGCTCAATTGAACTCATGCTGTTCGACGGAAACCGATGACGACATGCGTGAGAGGCGTTTGTTGGGCGCGAACATGCTATGCTGCCTACCGACGACATATACGATAAAGATAGAACCAGTCTAGGACTCATGTCAACGAAATCGCTTCGTGCATTATCAGAAGATACGTGTATTTTGTAAAGTTTTTTCCCAATGTTGTTCACTTGCGAGACAGGCGACCTTGAGTATAAAGTATAGGAAGAAGTGCATGTAGGAAGAAGTGATTGACTGCACTTGCAGAATGGGTAAAAATCCATAGAGAAAAGACCATCGAGATTTAGCAAGAATTCTTGACGGACTTGAGCTAAAATTTGAACTCCGAAGCTGAATGACTATATGATGCTCACCATTATTAGGTTGGCAAGAAAGTTTTGGAACGTATTTGAGCTCAGTTCGTCATCACGGTATGGGACGAATCACCCATCGCTCCTCATTACCGAGGGCTTACGGCTGAAACTTTGAAGAAGTAAGCCATCAACGGCTATGTTTTTTCAGAATGGATATTCAACAAACGAGCTTTATCACTAGGCTGCTCAATCGATGAATAGAAAAAGCACTTGACCGTAAGGCTTTTTTCATTAGTTATTTCATAAGTTATACCGGATGAACCGCAACAACGTTTTTTCAGTATTGAAAATGTGAAGAGTAAGAAGTCTTTTATTGAAATCAGCATGTTTGAAAACACTGCTCTACTACTACCCAGATTTTACTTGGAACTTTCTTTTCAAACGTCTTTTTCACAATGACACAGCATGCAGGGCTCTTTTTTTCATTCCTACCGTGATTTTACAGTAATCGAGATTGATCGATGATTCAAAACATAGTGTAAATCAGAGATGAGCTAGCTCTACTGAATGGTACCTGAAGATAAGTAATAGACTTTGTTAACTATTAAAGAAAGAGAGATGTTAACTATTAAAAAGTGTATAATTACTTTTCGGACACCACTCCATAAATGTTTATGTGAAGAGAGTACGTTGTTCTACCTCATGTATCTTGTTTTGAGATCGATTCTCATAAACTGTGTGTATGCATGTATGTATCTTAACGTCTACAATATGTCGGAACATGAGAAATGTTTTCAGCAACCACGTACGGTGAGAATCTGTGTGCAGAACTTCTATGTTGGTATCTCTTGGCTCCTATCTCCACAAGAATTCATTGACTGCAACGTTTATTACCGTCTTGTAGGACTTACTTTACTCTGTCGAACGATGTGAAGCATGGCCGCTTAGTGCCAGCGGCCCTCCCAAGAGGCGGGGCGAGGGGGAGGGCCTCCGAGAATGGGTCGCGGAATTTTTGAAAGTTGCTTACATGTGCTATAAAAATGTGCAAGCGACTTGCTTTTACTTGTATATAATCAAAATAACTTTTACAATTTCACAAATACAAATCAGCTATGTAGATGGAATTTTTTGAGGGCGCGGCTGCCGCCACTTCCCTTTTCCTGAAATTTCGGGGTTGTAGGCTCGCAAAAATTTTTTGGAAGCATCCCAAAAAATTTCGACGTGTGTGGGTAACGCCACCCAGCTTCATACGGAAAAAAATTTGTCTCCCCCCCCCTAACGGAAAGCTGGGTACGTCACTGCTCAGTGCTTATCTTATTTACGTTACATCTAATTTTCATATCCGACAAATCTTGCCCTCTCAATGTATACTGAAAGGGCAAGATTTGTCAATGTGTACTGTATACTATAAAATCTGAAATGTTCAGCAACTCAGTTGCTGAACATTTCAGATTATCACCAAACATTCACACTCATATTGTGAAGCCGATGCTCTTACAGCAGTGCACACTGTTAAACACAACTCTCATTCTTTTGCTACGGGTTGACGTGAACAACTATCATGGTATTCGCTCGCGGACTCATGGTAAATAGGCATAATCTTGAATATTATTTCTTTGTCGCATAAATTTATGTGGTCAGCATGTGTACGAAGCAATACGCACCATCGATGCGATCTCTAATCGTCGTGTCCTACCTCTCTACCTTAGTAGCAGCACAGGTAAGTAAAATCAAAGATATGAGCGTTTACCTATATGTGATGACACCCATTTTTACAGTTCGGAGACAGCTTTCTTGGACAGTCAAGTGAGTCGTTTCTCTCTTTTTCGGATCAAATCTTCATGTCAAACTACGTCTAGGTGGCTGCCGCCAATGCAGCACAACTATTGCTGGCGATGGGATAGAAGCTACTCAGCAAGTTTCCTCCATCCCATTCGCGGCTGAATTCCGCACATCTCCGCTCCTTATTTCAGTGTAGTCCTGAAGTCTGGCGATGACGGATGCCATCGGGTTGTCCTCAGTTGCCGGAACATGACAAATGCAACGATAACGGCTCAGCTCATTGATGGAGGCAACGCGGTAGTATTTTAAAGTAAAGAAATCACATTTCACTTTCCGTGAAAATAGCCTTCAAACAATGCTTTTCTTTCGACTGATCGTACGTGCGTACGAATTACGTGTCAGTTTCTGCCACCACTGTGACACAAAGAGAAAAATAGATATCTCAAGAAAGTCAAGATCCTTCCAGTCAGATACAATAAGTTTGTACTTTAGGATCTTGCGCAAGGAACAGCAGCAGAAAAGTTGCTTAAATGTCAAAACGGGAGGTCAGGTACCTTTCTCTAATGCGTTTCTACGCAGGTGATTGGGAAAAGTACCTAATCATTTAGGTGGACAGGCAGAGAAATGACCACTCGTAGAGAACTAACTATCAATCGTGCATTCTGCAAGCGTTGTAAGCTTATATTATCTACAAAGCAAATAACAATCAGTCGATATTTTAGATGAGCTGGATGAGCATGGCTGTGTGGGGTCCGCGTCACAGTCAGGAAGGTCTCAGACCCAAGGAGACACAACTTATTGTTCTCCTGGTGACACTGAATGCGAGAGAAAGAAAAAACAGTCGCAGTGCGATGTGATGTTCGCTCCGACTTTTATATACATGAAGGATATGAAGCTGGGTGATGCAAAGGATCTAGAAGATATAGTGGGTGTAAGTATGACCGTTTTCAGTAACTGCTTGATTTCTTGAAGGTGAAGCTTGCGAACGACAACAACCAAATCTCCAAGTTTGATATGGGCCAATTTGGAAACATTCTGGGCACATTACTGCCCAATGTTCATCCGTCCAGCACTTCCAGCACATCCAACACTCAGCCAACTTTACCTCCACTTCCGCGTCATTGAACACAAATCGGCCACCACGGTTCTAAACGCCATGATGATATTCGTTGATCGTTGTGTTTCGTACATATTTTCATTGTATACTTTATTATTCGCATTCATATTAGTAAAACTACTATATTCGGCCTGTAACAGATGAGAAAGTAAGGGTTCAAAGTTTCATGTGCTAACAAGTCAAGAAATTATTAATTTTTCCGAAGCTACTGTTCAGAGTGCTGGTTTGGTGAACAAAGACGAATGATAACGCCCCGAGCTGCGGAACTTACCACACGGATAATTTTAATATTAAGCAATAAAATAAGCAGACAATCAACTCTTATGCTTATTGAAGAACATTCAAAATGCGCAAAATGAACCATAACTTCCAGTGTCGGAAATCCTTCCACGTTCTCAGAATACCGATATGATACAGACCATTCCCTGTGACAAGTGAGTGTTCAATCAGGTGTTGATCAACTTAGTCTGAAAACTAATTTTGTTCATATCACGGCGCTATTCCAGTATCCGGGCCCCAAAATTTTTTTGTCGTGAATTTTGTTGAAACTTGGCCCAGGGGGTTATTCGGCCCGCTGATGCCGAATATCATATTGGTTTTGTGTGGTAGCGTCATTTTCTCGGTACGGTGGGTATACAGTAGGGGGTCAAAATACAGAATTCGCTGAAACTTGGCCCAGGGCATATTGGTTTTTTACGGTAGCGTCATTTTCTCGGGTTACGGTGGGTATACAGTAGGGGGTCAAAATCTCAAAATAGGGTGCAACTTAGCACAGAGGTTAATCGACATGCTGATTAGAAATGTCACACTTTCTTCGCACGAAAACGTCTCCCTGCATGGTTGCGGTAGGTTTATGGTAGGGGTCAAAATCACAAATCGGCAAATGTTCCCCTGTGCTTTGCTTAGGCAAAAGCCGCAGCAGGGTGTGTAGCGCGCGGCGGTGGTCGTGTGTGCAAAGCTTCATGATTGTCCGAATCGCCGTACACCCGTTTCAGGCAAAACTAATTTTTACACCCGTTACCGTGTACTGCCGTAATTCGAGAAAATGATGCTATGGTTCAAAACCAATGTGGCATCAGCGGGTCGAATAACCCCCCTGGGCCAAGTTTCAACAAAATCCACCACAAAAAAATTTTGGGGCCCGGCAGTGGCGTACCCAGGATTTCGGCTCGGGGGGGGGGGGGGACAAAAAAATTTTTCTAATGAAGGTGCGTGGCGTTAGCAACGCACTCCGAAAAATTTTTTGGGGTGCTTCTCGAAACTTTTGCGGGTCCCCACCCCTAAAATCTGGAAAAAGGGGGCGTGGCGTTAGCCACGCCCCGAAAAAAATTTTTTTACAAGGCTAATTTGAATTTTTAAAAATTTTTAAAAATTATTTTAATTATTTACAGAAATAAACAAGTCACTTGCACATTTTTATAGCCCATATAAGTAACTTTTGAAAATTTCGCGACCCATTCTCATGCCCCAGTGGCGCGCTATTCCAGTATCCTGGCCCCAGTGGCGTACCGAGGGGGTGGGGGCGTGCGCCCCCACTCCCTCGGTAACGCCACTGGGGCCAGGATACTGGAATAGCGCCCATATCACTTACTTCTGTAGTCATCACAAACCATTTTAAGCAAACTAACGAAAGATCTATCGCGCCACGTCTTTCATCCTTCCTTTCGCAAAGGATTGCTCATCTCAGGCCGTTATCGTCTTCTGTGTTATGAAATACACAACAATTATCGCCTACAAAAGTAGGACGCACCAAATCTTCTCCATTTCACTTTCTCTCAAACTCTAAAGTCTAGGTGCGGACGAAGGCAAAGGTTAATTGTAGCAAAGAGAAGGGTTTGGAATGATAGAACCACTACCATGTGTTAGGCATCCACTATGCCTCAAGCGATTTCCACAGATCGCGGCATGCGATCAGGTCATTAGCGGGATGCCTAGAAATGCACCGTGGGCAGGTTCGCAAAATTTATGGTTACAGTCTGTCCCAATCGAGATCAGGCCAAAACGATGGCATGAGCGAGCTCGCAGCGCTAGGCTGTGCGCTACACTTGCGCACTGTCGAGAGAGCGAAGAGATTAAGGAGAGGGCAGACCAGCAAGCTGTAGGAGAAAAGCTAGCGACGCGGACTCCCGCCATGCCAATTTTGCCCTGATTGGAATTGGGACAGACAGTAGCTTCTATGCCATAAGCCTCGAGCATAGTCCACGCGTTTTCATTACCTCGCGACTTTCCCTGCAAGCCAGTCCATTGCATGCCGACCCTCCTGCATTTTGGTCGTGTTAGTTTCCCGACACGACTAATCTTGACTATAACAACCGAAATACAAGCTGATCGACTTGCAATGGACTCGTAACAGTTGTTTGTCGAGAAGATCGCGGGGCGACAAAATCGCGTAAACATGCCTGAGGCCTTAGGCCCGGCGCTTACTTCGCGCTAGTCGCGACGTGGTTTAGCAGTGCGAATTGTCCATAACTCACGTAAACGCGTCCGCGATATACAGAAGACAGGGTAATCTATCACTTCACGAAAGCTATACACGCTATGCATTTGCACCATGCCAGTCTTAGATTTGAAGATGGCAACTGACAAATCGCGTAGCCATTGAAATCACGTGAAGTAGGGAGAAACGTCACACTTCCTTCTACTTCCTTCGTGGAGTATGCCCGAGCACACTTCACAACTCCTTTTAGACACGTCAAGTTCAGCACAAGCTTCATAGTTTGGCGGATTCCAGCTACAATCTGGCCGATACTCTCGTTCGGAATTCTTGGAGGTTTCTGTAGTGCGATTTTCTTCACCTCTAAGCAGGGATGTAACCGTCTATCCTATCGTCTTTCGCTAGTTATAGACAGAAACATATAGTCTATCGCTGCGAAGCTGGCGCAAATGCTGCGGATCGAGCATCTACCATCACTGGAGCGCATAGATGCAGACAATAGAGTCCAGTAATCGCAAAAAAAAGAGGCGCAGACAGGTATGAATCGCTAATACGATTTGCCCCTCATCATGGTTTTTATTCATTTCGTTTTGATCATTTACAAGTACATATGGAGTTGAAGGTCGCGATCGGTGTGAAAACAAACGCACTCATTGTCAGTTGCAATTCTCATCAACAAATACCACTACTAAATACGATAATACACATCAAATGACCCAAGATCTGCGGTTTCTGGGGAAGTATACAGAAAACTGGACATCTCACAACCAATGTTTAGCTGTGTTTTTTTCTTTGGTGTGTAAATCATATTACAGACGATCGAAAACACGTAAGTTCTTCTCAACAAAACTTCTGGAATACGATTAGAAATTGCTTCAATGTTTCAAGCTGCAACTTTGTTGAATTACTTTCATTACATGTTTAGTGAAATACCCAACTATTGCCATAGAAGCCTAATAAGGAAGGCAGCGAAGTAGGAGCCCATCCTGTATGGGGGAGTACGACCATCCCATTGCGACTTTCAAACAACTGAAAAAGAGAGGTGTGCAAATTTTACCCTCAATGCATAAACTGCTGAAGGCATCACAATGCAGAAGCTCAGACACATTTAAGGAAGCACTGACAGGTGCGTGATGGTGGTGGTCTTGCACGGATTGCTCGAGCGCGGTAATTGCGGCGCTCAAAAACGCTACCTGCTATAAAGCTTTATTGTAGCTGTCTTTTGGAAATATTCGAGCGTTGATTTAGTGAAAGGGAAGACTACGTGTAGGGCTTATATAGCGGTTAAGTAGCGAAGGAACGATTTAACGGTACAGCACTTTTTCTAGTGGGAAAAACTCTATTTTTACCACAACATTAACTGGAATTACGATTTTTTTGTTTTTGTAAGGTTCTCAAATATATGTTCAAGAGCTAGGGTGCGGCTTCGAAGTATCCTGCTATAAAGTGGTTATGAGTCATTTGCGTTCATTGTTGCCATGACTCACTTCATATACGCCCGCCTTTTCCGAACAACTAGTTCACGAACTTCTGTCTAGTCGCGTGTTCATTAGGTCTTTTATTTTTATACCTATCCATGAATTTTGTACAGTTTCTATCCCCTTCTCTTTTTTTTATATAGCTTGAGAGCATCGCCTCTCCCATCTGTGATGTAACGCCTTGCTCGTGTTCAGTCTGTATGTCGACTATTTAAGATGCTGCGGTTTTTACTCCAGAAATCTAGTCCTGAGGTGCATGAAGATGTAGTAGCAGATTATCTCGACTATCGCCAGGTATTGGATCTTTTTTGCTGTTGTAGTGTAAAAGAGTTTGATTACATGGTACAAATCACCATCCTAATCACCTTGCTTAGGCTTGTTCTCGTGCTCTTGCTTCCACAATTTCAGTTTTAGACAGTACGCCACGGTTTTCCATCGCGGGTCTCATGTTTCGCCTACGATGACGTCCTCAGTTTGCTAGCCATTGGTAATCTTGATGGAGACATTAATATGTGAGTTTTGTTTCTTTTAGTTTTTGCAAAGTCTCTTCCTAAGCTCATTACAGTGCCTAACATACAGGCATGATTATCTTACAGATATGGGGGAAATGGATTTATCTGGAGTGCCGAAATTCCTGGAAAAAAAGGAATCGCCAAAAGCGCAGCACATATGTATTTTGCATGCGGCCTTGGAGTACTGATAGTCCTGTGTCGAGATTCTACGTTTGTCCGATTTTCTATAGAAGGTGACCTCACTGACTAGTGTTATGAATAATATGATGGGCACGGTTCTTTTCTGCACCCTAATTTTAAAGGGTTAATTCTGCACAAATCTATGCGATTTGAATCTTGTTTTTAGGAGCAGAAATCAAAGCTCATTCGGTAGTGCATGAAGCAAGATTGAAAAAGATTACCAGCTGCTGTATGCTACAAAAGGCAAATCTTCGGGAAGCTTTACTGCTTATTGGTGAGTTGAAAAAGTTTTGCTTTATATGGACTTTACTCAAGCTCACTTATGCTATGAACTTTACTCAAGCTCACTTATGCTTATGTATAAGCGCTGCTCTTTGTACTCAGTCTTACACAGGTAGATTGAATGTGAATCATTTATGTCTGTAGCTTGGAGTCCTACATGTTATTAGCACAAGTATCGCTCCCACCATATCTGGGCTGAATGACAAGAGTTTTCTTGAAGCCGCATTTTGCATGTTTTTTTCGACAGTAGCATGCGGTCCTTCAGCTACATGAATGTTTGCTATGTTTGCATGTGTCATATTGCAATCTCAGGGTAAAAAGAGTATAGTTTATAACGAGCATCTTTCGTCACAGCTGTGCATTTCTTTTCCTACATGCCCCTGTAGTCTCAGATGACATTTTCTTACCACCAACCAAGTTGGGCCCGACTTGCGCAGAGCTACCTGGGATATTCGAAAACTTTTGCTGCAGCTACAGTTCAGCTTGTTCCTCTCAGTGTCACGACAGCATGATTAGATTTCAATCCGACCAATTGGGAAACAGATAGACCACTTTGTTGATTTTGTGATCATGAAACTGAGTTATAAGCTAACAGCAAATGCACAGCTTTTCCATGACTGTGGGTCGCTGCGAGGTAGGTATATCTTCGAACATGTGTAACTTTTTCTACTTCTTTTCAAACTGTTTGGTATTACCGTTGCTAATTTTTGTTTTTACAGGCACAGTCTCTGGAAATGTGTTTGCTTTGGACATCACTAGCTTAGAATTGTCAGAATACATAGTGTTCGAGGATTCAATTCTACAAAGGTCAAGATTTTGAAATATTTTATCGCATCTAAATGAAATTTATGTGCAGAATCCCTGATACAGCAAAAAGGGAAAAGTACCCAGTCGATTTACTCTCCGTTTGCCCAACGAATCCAAGGCTTACGCTAATGGTATTCGATCATATGGTCCTCTTATCGTATGATTCTTCAACAAATGAGGTGCTCGGCACCAGTGTGTTTGATGTGCAGTGCAAGGTAAGTGCTCTAGCATCTAGTTTTTTTTTCTGGGCTGCAGTGTCTGCAGATGCACTCGTTTGTTGACATTGTAATTGTGTAATGATTGCTGTACTCAGCCGCAGTTCTAACTGGTTATTTTTCAATTTTTTGCGCCATTCATGCGTGCACCGTTTGTGTTTGAATAGTGAGCGAGCAAGGCTGATGTGTCATCGTGGAGGTCGCTTTGTTGGAGATAGATTTTATGGGGACTTGGACATCAAGCTTCATTCAAATACAGTTGTATCAGAAGCATTGTACCGTTCAGATATTGAATAGTGAATACGTTTTTGTTAGTTTACGTGTGTATGGGAGCCGAAAGTTCTATGAAAATAATTTTAAGACAGATGGGGTACAATTCATTTTTGATATTAATCTTAAGAGATCAATTATAGAATATAACCTGGACTCGCGATGGAAGTGAATGTGTTATTGCTCTTCATGATGGCTCATATGCTTCGTGTGATCCGGCAAGAGCCACAGTAATCGAACGACCTGCTCAGGTTTTTGGACCCTTTCCCTGCATTCCAACCAAAAAGGCTTGTTTTGCACAGACATCTAGGTAACGAGCATACCTGCTTCCTTTATAATCGGTCAATTGCACCGTTTTAGTGAAAGCGAGAAGATAGTTTTGTTCTCTGGTGGAATGCCACATGCTTCATATGGGGACCGATTTGTCGTCACTGCCAGACAGGGCGACCGTACCTGTGTATTCGACTTTGCTAGCCCAGTCATAGATTTCCTCCTGACCCGAGGTGGTAAGTACCAAGGTTATCTATGTTCCGATTTTCTCCTTCAATGTTGTTGATTTTCTTCTCATCTCACTGCATTCTTTCCATTGTAGCTGACGGATATCACACTTGCGTCCTAGTCCTCACTGAAAACGAACTTGTATGTATCGATTTGACGGATCGCTGCTGGAAAGTTATACCTACTGAACAAATGTTTCCATTGCATGCTAGTCAGGTAATTTTTGAAGTCTTCTTAAGAATATTTTGCAAATAATTTTAGTGCAGATTACGACCTCCGCTCACTGTTCTCATGTGGATGAGCATGTATGGAATAAGATGAATAAGGTGTGTTAGGCTTAGTGCTACGATCTCCTGTGTGGTGCATCAGTGTTTGCAGATCTCAAGTGACTCCTTGCGCAATAATAGGAAATACTCTTCAGCTGCCTGGCCGCTGCATGCTAATGTTCCGTTATTAGACGAAGGTCGCGTGCTCAAAGAGGCAACCAAAAGACAGCTATATCTTACTGGGTTTGTTTACATTTTAGTTTATGAGGTAGTAGTCTTTGTTTTGACTTGTGCGCTAGCATACTTGGCTATACAACCAGTTCGTTTTTTTGCAGACATGAAAATGGTACTGTGCGAGTATGGTCTGCAGGTCATGCTGTTATGAGTTTATTGTTTGTCATCGACACTCGCAATGAATTTGCCGGCTTTTTGGACGAGGTAAATATGCTAATCTTCATTGATCTTTCTCAAGCCCTTCAATATTTGTCCCTGTCTCTCACAAACATGAACAGGGATTTTTTTTTTTGCATTGTCCTTCACATGTGCAAGGTGTACCCTGATTACATCTAAGTGAGGACGTCAGTGGCTTCCGCATAAGTCCAGGTGGATGGAGATCCCTACTAACAGCAAACGGATTGTCGGCTTTAGCAGCCAGTCGTATCAGCTTTCAACTTTGAAAAGCTGTCAAGCACATCTTCGGGTCGTACTAAGTTGTTCGAAAGTGGTAGGAAACAAATCGAACATTTCCGAATTCACTGCCTCTGATCAACGGGTTGTCGTGAACAGCGCTTCCAAAGCCGTTTTTGAAACGATGCTACTGGGTCCTGAGTAATGATGGCGAACCTTGTATGATTAGATCAGACTGTAGTTCTTTAGGAGAGGAACACACCTGAAGAAGAGCAAGCACTTGACACGGACACATCCGATGATGAGTTTCAGATCACTGGTGACTGGCCCCCATTCAAAAAGGTATGATTCCCTTGCGCTATCTACGTAAGTATTAGGTTGTCAAGAAAATAATGTCCGTTTTTATTTGCTGGCTTCAACAAAGCAAACAGACTCAACCCAACAAAGGGTAAGGGGTAATGTTCGATAGAGCAAAGCAAGCTCTACAAGATGGCACTCATGTCTTTGCGCCATACTCGATCCACGGAGAGTTCGAACTCAAAATCTAAAGATTTCCAAATGCCCAAAAAATCGAAAAAAATCAGATCTTCGTCCAAATAATTTCTACGGACCTCCCACTCGCTCACATCAATACTATCGATATCTGATATCCATATGTGCGATTCCGTATTTTTTCCTTGACTAGAAACCGAGAAAACGAAAATTTCCCTGATTTTCTCAAAGCAAAGCTGAGCCGTTTTTGCATATGTAATTCTATACTACAAGCCTAGGTAAGCATAACTGTAGGTTTTCAGCCTATTTCGAGCGGTACTTTTCGAGAAATTTCGATTTTAGCACTGAAACTGAAACGAAAAAATCTGAATTCGTTATTTTTCGAAAACTACCGCTTGGAATGGGCTGAAAATCTACAGTTATACTCCTAGGCTTGTAGTATAGAACTACATATGCAAAGACGGCTCAGCATTGCTTTGAGAAAATCAGGGAAATTTTCGTTTTCTCAGTTTCTAGTCAAGGAAAAAATACGGAATCGCACATATGGATATCAGATATCGATAGTATTGATGTGAGCGAGTGGGAGGTCCGTAGAAATTATTTGGACGAAGATCTGATTTTTTTCGATTTTTTGGGCATTTGGAAATCTTTAGATTTTGAGTTCGAACTCTCCGCGGATCGAGTATGGCGCAAAGACATGAGTGCCATCTTGTAGAGCTTGCTTTGCTCTATCGAACATTACCCCTTACCCTTTGTTGGGTTGAGTCTGTTTGCTTTGTTGAAGCCAGCAAATAAAAACGGACATTATTTTGTTGACAACCTAATATTATGTTCTCAGGTTGGTGATTACGATCCTTTTTGCGACGACTCCGGGTTGTCCATACAGAGGTTGGCATTCGATGAGAAATCTGGTCACATAGTTGTGGGAGGTCGCGCAGGGCATGTGCTACTATATACCTTAGAAGAAGCGACACGAGTATGCTTCATGCTGTTGGCTTCCTTCATTCACATATTATATGGAATTTATAGGAAATGACACCGCAAGTGCTGAAAATTGAATTATGTGAAGCATCGAAATTGTCCGTGCCTGCAAGAAATAGTAAACCATTGCCCGTCCGTACGAAATCCCTCAAATATGCGGCGGGATATCAACCTTGCCCGTTATCTGTTCAGAATAAGTGGTGCGTTGTTTATTCATATTGTGAGTCTGTCTTTCTGAGTTAGTGGTCGTTTTAGTATGCTTGTTCAACTTCAACCTCCTCAGCCAGTATCTGCTGTCGCTGTTCTTTCCGCTCGTAATTTGGTAGCTGCTTCGAACGAATATGGATTTGCTATGATTGACATACAGAGACAGTCGATACTCCTGCAAAATACCTTAGTCAATCAGGCAGGTTAGTACTGCTCCGCTCCTGTGTTTTATTTCTGCTGAAGGTCTTCACTCAAGCAGAAAGTCATTCCTCTTTATCTTGTTTGGCTTGATTAAGTGGCGAATATATATCAGTTGTAGTTTGGATGGGTTTTTGATTGCTTTTCAAATGTTGTCGATGATTTGCACCTTTTTTGGAAGGTTTTAAAGGTTTTATTAGGAGTTTGCGAATTTTTGCGTCATCTTGGGTCTAGTCAAGAAATGTGTGTTAAAGAACATCAACACTTCTACAAGAATCTAACCGGAATAATCCAGAAGTGGCTGATCGTGAAATGTCTATCTAAATTTTAACATCAAATAGCACATTCTGCATATCTTGGAAGCTTCGAGTGGCCGTACACATGTCATTGTACTGAACTAGGCATGCGCTATAATCCAGGATTCAGATATGCAACATGTGGGAGCATTCGACGACGCGCTGTCACGCTTTAAAAGCATGAAAAAGTCCATTCGACAGACTTTTCGAAGGAAGAAGAAAACGCCGGTGACGTCGTTGGATAACACCTTGGTTAGTCATAGCGATGACTCTACTATCCAGACTACCAGCTGTTTTATTCGATGATTTCTGTACTATGCAGGCAACGCACGGCGATTCTCCAAGCAAGGACAACAGTAAATTCAATGTGTCCAGAGTATTCAGTGATAACGAAGATGATGAGGTTGAAGTCACAAAACCGGTTGAACGTCTCATTGAAGAACGAGGCATGTCCCCATGTAAGTTGCTCATTTGTTGTTCAAAAATAATATTCTATAAAACAACGCATAATAGCTTTATGTTAACACAGATAATATCATCTTGTTATTTTAGTGGAATCTCCCACATGGTTTATTCGCTGTCTGAGGTTTCTGAGTGTGCCAGTGATGGGAATAGCTGGGGTAAGTAGAATTCGCTGCATAAGTTCGTCCTCTTTTCTAGCATTTTGGCTTATGTCATCTTGCAAGCATCATAGCTCAGGTCCAATCTGATTTCACAGTATCGCTTTCTTGCTGGGAAATTTCTTAAAGGCAGCGTCCGGGCAGATAGGAAAATGTAGAGTTCGGAGTACAGGGGCGCTCAACCTGGTAAGGCTCTTGCCCAGCTGGCAATGCACCAATTTGCTTTTGAAGCGAGAAATCCGCTTCAGAAGTGGCGACTGGGAAGATGTTAAAGGCCTTACAAGGGAAGGATACCAACATTAGTTGGCAACTGAAGATGAGATGTATATCATTAGATGCGCCTTTGAACGCTGATTCCAAATCTGCTTTCCTTTTCTGCGGAATAAATTTCCGAAAGGAGTTCTGAGCGTTTGAACGTCCAAATTTGCCAGGCCTAAAATCAGCGAAAAAGCTCTAAAACAACACCCATTGGATTTCCACCGGCTTTGTTCCTTCCTTGCAAGCAATATACTCGATACAAAAATGATATTCCACTTTCCGGTGTTTTCGTACAGCTTTTCGCCAATTTTAGGTCACCTAAACCTTGAAAAATTTGGACATTCATACGCTCATAACTTCTTTCGGAAACTTATTCCGCAGAAAAGAAAAGCAGATTTGGAATCAGCTTTCAAAGGCGCGTTTACTGACCTGCATCTCATCTTCAGTCGCCAACTAATGCTGGTATCCTTCCCTTGTTAGTTCGTTAAAGGCAGCGTCCAGGCAGATGTGGACACATGGGGATTTTACGTGGAAAGTACTTTTGGGGCCCTAACCAAGGCACTGCCCAAGCGGCAGCGCAGATAGTGCTCTAAAGGCTGAGATATTCCCCTCGAAACTGGACCCCGCGATCGTATTCGCATGGATTCATGGCAGTTTCGCGCCAGGATCCACGCTTTGCGCTATGAATCCATGCGGAATACGATCGCGGGGTCCAGTTTCGAGGGGAATATCTCAGCCGTTAGAGCACTACTTGAGCTGCCGGTTGGGCAGTGGCTTAGTTGGGGCCCCAAGATTACTATCCACGTGAGATTGCCATGTGTCCAGACTTGCCTGGACGCTGCCTTTAAGCCAAAGTGCGCATACCGCACACAGTAGGGTCCGACAAAGGGGACGGTCAAGAGGCGCGATTTATCGGCTGTCAAAACTCCAATTTAGTGTTGTGCGAGTCTTCAAAAAGTACCAGATAAAGTACAATGGCTTTCTATTTGTGTGAGGTTACCACTTACTGAGTCTGTTGGCGTTTGTTGGAAAACGAACCGAAATATTTACAAATCTGTTTTTACTCGCATTTTCATGGGTTTTGACCTTCAAGTTTGCTGTTTTGACTCCAAGATAGCAAGAGTAAGCAACTCAAGCAACTATCTAACACATATATCCCCGTCTGAAATTCAAATACTTTTAGAATGTCATAAAACTCTGATTATGTGCTATTTGGTGTCCATCTGACAATTAAAACTTGACTTGCACCCCTACAAAGACTCTGCGTCTTAACCTTGGCGACAGGCACAAAATTCAATCAAGAGCTTCTGGAAAAGCCTGTTTTCGGTGTTTTCGTGCCCTCCAAGCTGCATTTTCGGAATCAACGGGAGGAATAAGCCCAGGTAAGCGAAGGAAATTCCATTCTAAATTTTGCCCGGACGCTGCCTTTAAAGGCAGTGGCTCGGCAAATTCTCGACCTGAAGTTTTTTCGCTTACCTGGGGTAATTCGACGCGCTGATTTCGAAAATACACTTTTAAGAGCACGAAAATGTCGAGAACCAGCATTTTTCAAAGGTACTCATTTTGAATTTGGACGAGTGGACCACTCCCTGCCATTAGAGACGTGGAGTCGTTGCGGTACCCTCACATTTATAGCATTGCGGCTGCCGCCTCTGACGGAGGGAGGGGCGCAAGCTCGTCCGACCGCGTGTGAGAATGGCCTACGTTGGGTCGTGTCGTGCGCACGGGTTTAGGGGCAGTTTTTTAGGCAGGGCAGCATGTAGGGCGCTCGGACCTGCTTTGTTCTAATAATTGGGATGCAGGCAACCTTCCATATCAAAATTTTGAGATGTTTGGTTTTGCCGAACCACTGCCTTTAATATTCGAGCACAGAGGCATATTCAGTACGTTCGTAGACCGAATTTTTTGAATTCACCGCAAATATCCATTCTCGGAAGGTGCTTTCTTTTGCAAGAGTGTGATAATCTTTCTCACTCGAACCCTGAAGGTGATGTAGCTGGATTTATATAGGGTAGTTTCTAAGGAAGAATCTGGGATTACGAAGTTGGTATGTGATAGAGAAATTTATCTATGCGTATGTCTTAGCACATAGTATACAGCCTGGCTACGCTTAGTTAGAATCTGTTGGCACCCCTGAAAAGTTGAATAAATAATAATTAGCAAATCAGTGATGTTTGTTTTGACGAATCCATTTAAATTCATCAAACTTCAGAGTGAATGTACACTATACACCTCGTTTTCATTCTTTGGAAAATTCTCCTTATTACATTATCCAGCTTCTTTGGACTTTCGACTGACTTTCTCAAACTGCTCAAACAAGTTATTGCGGTTTATCTTGTAAAATGGATATTTTCCCTATTTTTGTTCGCAAGTTTTATACATCTCTCTTCTAAAAGTTGTTGATTAGCATAAGCAAAAACAATTGAAGTCTGTCGAAGTAAGCATAGATGTTACAACATGTTCAATACCCCTGCAAGGAACTTTTGTGCATTTGAAGGACTGAACATAAATATACAACACATTCGCTTTTCTGTGGTACAGCTAGTATAAGCACGCTTTGTGTTGCTCCTTTAAGATCAGTTTATAGGTGAGCGATGTGTTCGTTGTCGGTACGAATGGAGGAAAATTGATAATATATACAATTTCGGACCAGCCTAGGGCTGAGGATGTGTGCAAACTGGTATTCATTATGACGCCATTCAAAAGATGTTCTGAGAATTGGTATTCTTTTGCAGTTGAAAACTCTCGCTCTCCGCCATGCAGCGCCGATCATTCATGTCGATGTAATAATGGAGCCGGGAACAAGAGTAAGTGCTCAACTATTGCATCAGGCTATTCCAAATCTTGCATGTGATTTAGCAGGCGTCCTCAGCTCGCTTGATAATCTTCACTGAGGAGCAGGTCCGCAGTCTGTATCTGCCTAGTCTGAAACCTACACGGTATAAACTAAAACTCACCAGCACTGAAGGACTGCGGATTCGGAAAGCAGCAATCGTCACATTGCATAATTCAACCGGTAGGAAGTTTCGAGCAAAATATTTCTTAACCATGAGGTCGAAGTATCTTACTAACTTTACAGATCTCTCAAATTGCGAAAGTTTCGCGGCTATCGTGAACAACCATGGAGAAGTAGCTGTGTATTCATTATTAAATCCGAGGAAAAGTGGGAAATTCCAGGTAGTCAAGGTATGTTTAGTAAATGGCAAGCTCACACTAGTTCGGACATAAATCACATCAGAAGAACTACTTTCAATATCCTGTTGCAGAGCACTGATATCGCCGGTATATCGTCGATGTTGATCACGCCATACGGTGAATTGCTGTTTCTGAGACAAGGAGGTTCTGAATTACAACGAGCAACCATTTCCGAACATTCGTTGCCATGGACCGTGCCTTGCCAAGGAAAAACGTGGCCTGAACCTGTTACCTCACGTTCGGAATCCCTCACCTAAGGTAAAAAAAATTGTGTTCAGTGCACCTCATCAGAGTGAACCTTAACACTTTATGAGCTGAGTCTCTGTGCCTTTATGTGAAATTATGTTCCCTCCAGATGTCTAGTTTGGCGTTTGACAGAGCTTTTGTTTTCCGCAGCTGAAGTTGAGCATTAGCACTAAAATTCGTTGTTCCGTTGAAGGGAGTCAGAGTGAGTTGTCTAAGGTTGTAGCGATAGGGCGGCGCTTTGATATCTTTCTGCGAAAGACTTTTGCCCAAGCTTACACCTCCACAGCTCTTGAAAAAACTCTGGCTCACTACTTGCATCCTTATCCCTCTTCTGCCCGGTTTCCACATGTGGCTGTAAAACAGCGGTACTTTCTTTATTGCATGTGCAGTTCACTTCTCATAGGAGTATAACCATTGTTGACTATGTATGATTATGATTGTTACGATATGTATCAGTTTGTTAAATGGCGATTATTTCCATTGCTTTTAATGGCAGGTTCAAAAATATCTCCGCATACTATGGGCACTATTGTCACATTTCACTCGAGTTGGTTGCAATTCCTGGCTTTATCCCGCTTTTTCTCTCTTTTCATCTTTTTTTCGTCGTTTGCCTGTCCGCTATGCATTTATGTAGCAGTGTCCGCATCTGCTGCATGTCTCCAACACTTATTCAAGCATCCTCTCACTTTTAAGTACCCTCTGTTATTGCTGTGAAATATGTGATATATCTCTTACAATGAAATTGTGATATACGACCAAGGCCAAATTCATAAAATAAACAGTAAGATGAGTAGAATTTGACGCAAGGAAAGTTCGGCAACATAATTCACTGTCATTGAGATGAGCCGGGTGAAAGCTCTGGGAGAAATCACATCATGGCGAGTCGAAGCGAGCAGGACGTGGGGCTACCGCTGCGACTTTTTGTCCCATGTAGCGTTCAAGAAATTCCGAGTGTTTTTTGAGCACTGTTCGCACGCTTTCGTTTCTAAATAGCAATGTAATTGGTAAAATACCACATCTGGAAGTAGTAATAAACCAGAAGATATGAGGATCAAGAAGACAAGCTTTATATTCGGAAAAAGAAGGTCATAATATCATTTATGACAGGCGTATGTATGCAACGTGATGCAGCATCGAGACGTTGGCAGAAACGAAAACAGATTTTCATGCAAGCTCTGAACGATTCGTTCTGCAGGTAACCATTTTATGCTATGGTCTTTGCTTGGCTGTTGAGTGAATCCCAAAGTAGTGATCTCATTCTATCATCTCAAACTTGCCGCTCACACTCAAACTCACACACTTTGGTTATCAATGGTTGGAAGAGACTCACTGTGCAGGAACGCCTTTTTCGACCTGAGTGAGTGCAAAGTCCTGCTCGAGATTAGTAGGTCGCTCAAACTGTCCCTGAAAAGTCCCACAAGGAAGGTACATTATTATTTCTACCGCTCTCGTAATAGGCAAATATAGAGTGTCATTTCAAAACGTAACAGCAGTGGAAATGTGAGCACCTACATTTTCTGCTGCTGGCCTGACCTTCACTGTAGACATATGATTCCGAAGATTTTCCATCTCGACACACTCCTCCATCAGAGTGATCTCAAGCTCTTGCAGCTGCAGAGTACTATTCGGAATAAGAAAATTCAGCAAAGTAGCCAAACCTGTCGCATCTTGGTTTCATAGCGGGTTTTCAACTCATCGACCTGCCTTTCGGCGGCCAACACATTTTGTGCCCTTCGCTGCAGTTCGCCCGCTTCTTCCTTGAGTCTCCTAACATCTATGGAGCGTTTCCTGAAATTTAAGAATGAACATCAGCCATTTGGTATTGAATACTCTCACCCATGAAATTCATTCCGTTCCTGCTCAAGGAGTTGACGTTCGGTGCTAACCCTTACTAGCAGATCATGTTGCTCTTGAAGGAACGCCGTCTGAACTTGTTCATCACACATTAAACTTAGTTTTCAAGACATTATCGAATCCATTTGTCATGATTAACCTCGAGGACTTTTACCGATGGAACCAAAAGAAATGTTTTTTCGAATAAAAGTTTACTCCCACATTTTTTCACAGATAACTGTTTACCTCTACAGGTTTCCATCGAAAATTTTCAGCAGATTATATTACTGAACTATGTTAGCACAAATCCATTTACCGATTTCTTTCAAGTGCTGTAAATTGCTCCGAACTCAATCTGCTTATCAATAATGCTAACGCGATTGAGTTTAGAATTTTCTTCTAGTAACTAACCCACTTTCGCCTAACCCTTACATACGATCTAATGGGTGTTAAAGTGCAAATATGGTGAGAGTTATATTGACAAGTTTTGGGTAGAGCGGGATTTGGGTATACACCTTGGATTTGTCAAGAGCCGCTTTTTGTTTCTCAATATTTTCCAAGATGAACCGCTGGTCCTCCTTGAACACGGCTTTTTCAGCATTGAGACGATTCCACTCTTCGCGTACTCGATACTTATCCTAAAAAAATAACCGTAATCGGTTAGGACCTAAAATGGATGAACGGTACAATTTTTTTACCTGCTCCATGACACTCTCTTGTCCTTTGCATAGCTCATTCAGCTTGGCATTTAATTCGTAAACCTTGTTGCGTTCGTCCTCGAACTGTGCCTTATCTCGCAACAGGCTGCAACTCGAACTTTGTTTCTGCACACATTTATTCCCTTCTAAATCATAGCCTTTTTTCCTTGGAACTAACCTTTGCTCCGTGTTTTCTAGTCTCTGCTCCTTCATTCTCAATTCGGTTTCTTTTTCGAGCAGGGCACGTTCTGTTGCGGTAGTGACATTGTTCGCCAGTTGGTTTATAGTGGTGGAAAGGCTATCGACTTTATCCACTACAGAGCTCACGTCTCTGTAAGGTAATTCAGCATCTTAACGCTAGATGATGTTTCCACCTCTTGAATAATATCTTGAGTAAAAGCGATTACTCGTGGCTTGGAGGGAAGGATCGAGAAGATTAGTCAAAAGAAAATGCTATTTACTTCCACTGGCTAGCTGACTGCTGTATCGTTTCTAGTTGACGTTCATAGGTCATTCTGAGGCGGTCAATCTCTTCAGTATGTTCGTTCTCCAATTTGGCAAGTTGCTTCCTGAACCAAACTCTTTTGACGTCATCAATAGAAAAAATCTCAGGAGGGGAAACTAGCACTCCTTGCATCTCTAAATAAAAACGCTGTGAGCAAGAGTCGGTCAGTTCTGGTGTTACTCACTGTTGCGCTGTTTCTAAATCCTTTATCTCATCCTGATGCTCCCGATCCCTCTTTGCTAATTTCTCCTTCCACAGCTTCTCAATGTCTTGCTCATCATCCTTCTTACGTCGTTTCAGATCTTCAATCTCTCTATTCAGGCGCTCAACTTCATTCTCCAACCTGCAGAGAATAAAGCAGTTTTTAAAAAATACTCAGTTCTGCTTACCTTTTTGTCCTTAATGCATCTTCTGGGGCAACTACTGCACTGATCTGTGCAGCTTGAACTGGAGCAGCTTGCTCTATAGGAGGACCTGGCTTCGTTTCTTTGTCACGGCGGGTAGGACCTAGAAGGTTACCTAGCGATGTCGAACCGCTTTGCAGTCGAGAAGGTTTACTGCAAATGTCGTAATTTCCTTCCATTTTTTTTGTCCCGTACATACGTTACTGCTTGCGTGGTGCTTGCACTTGCAGCTACTGATTTTTGGTCCGATGAAGTATCAGCGAAAAGTTCGTCCAGCGTACTTTTCGTTGGAGGCTGAAAAGCGCAAGCTAGCAATATTTGAAAAATCGTTCAAGTCCATTTTCAGCATCAAGTTGGGTGACCTCTCTCCCCAAATTTGGAGCAAACGCTCGATTTGATAATATTTTTACGGTATATAGAATGTAGATGGTCAATATCTATATAACGTTCAACTGATTCCAATATGCAAATGCTGTAACGATCAGATCTTGAATTCCGAAGTCTAGTATGATGGGAGTGCAGTATATACACCGAACGCTCCTCTGCTGACCATCGCACGAGCTTTCATATTTTCGGCTTTATCACAATACAGAACTGATATGTTTGGATTGCAGCCTAAGTCAGGAAAGCAGGAAGTCGGAATGAATGTTCGGCGGAGGTTTAGTTTGTAACTCAAGAGTGGTCTTTTTACTTGCTGTAACAATGAAATGATTTCTAGCCATACGACGTATTGAAATGTTTCATGATTAGGTTACAAATCTGACATGCGCAAGAATTCAAAACTTTTCATGGCAAAGTGTATTCCGCAATATACAATGACGCGTCAAATGCATTCACGATCCATTGTTCAGGAAATCTAACAGACGGAGATATAAAGCACTCAACCACTATCCAATGTAGACGTACACCCATAGCCGATACTTTTGAAAGACCTTATTGCTGGAAGACTTGGTTTACGCAATTTAGGGAGAAGAGAGGATAAGAAAGCGGTTGCTGTCGTGTTTATTTGTTTATAAATTTATCACAATTATGGATCAGCTGATATGATGCAATAGAAGAGGAGTGAAAAATAAGAACTGAGAATGGTGCATAAACGAGGATTTGAAGCTTTTGCGATCATTTTGCTAAAGTGGCTGCCAAAAGCATCTGTGGGGCTTGAACAGCAGTACTACAAGTACGAACAACCAAAGAATTCAAACGGAAAATTTCATTTTGCTCATGAATCTTCACATTGCTTTCCATTTGTGTGCGAAATAAGATTAGATGGCGCGAAAGTTCACATTCGCAAACCATGCGAACTAGGTAAAGTATATTGAACGGTTTTGAAAGCCACTTCTCTTTTTTGTTCAAGCTATGTTCCTGAGATGATTTCTTGATGTTCGCTCAGATATCGCCAAGAGTTTTGTTCACTTGCCTAGCTTTCAGTTTGAAACATCATTATGGCAGATATGCAAAGGAGGATAACCGAGAGCAGACTTGCGATGCATCACTTTTCTTCACCTTTTGAGCTTCCCTAAGATTTAAAGATTAATTTTTTTGGATTGACCAGGTTTAACAGCTTTAACCAAAACTCGCAGAACATTAATTGTTCAGTAACGGCAAATTCTTTTTTTCTAACAGCTGCGTTAGCGATCTCTGCAGATGTCCCGCAAGGTTGTTGCTTTCTCAATTCTAGGAATACAATGGTAGTATGCGATTCGTTCTGCTATGTCTGCTGTCTGATAATGAATGATAAGAGAATTAGGCTCAAATCCTTGCAAGGTTTCAAATGCCACAATGACGTCAAAGCTTGCCGCAATCCGCACACGGCATGCATCACCTGAGGCCCACGAAAGTATTATAATAGACTAGCTGGCTTACCCGGCTCCGCCGTATCCGGACCAAACTTGGCACACATACACTTCGGGCCCCGGCGGGTGTCACAGTCCACTTTTCGTTATCGATCGATGTCGATTTTACCGATTTTTATCGATTTTTTTGCAGAGTTCACCTACAGGGCTAGGAGTTGGCACAGGGGGGGAAGTGAGCATGGGGATTCCGAATACAATATTAGTTTTCAGAATCATCGATTACTTTTATTGATTTTATCGATTTTTTTGCAAAGTTTGACATGCGAGGCTGGGATTTTGCACAGGGGGGAATCGAGCATGCTGATTACGAACGCAATATTAGTTTTCAGGATCGTCCATTACTTTTATCGATTTTACCGATTTTTTTTGTAAAGTTTGAGCTACGGGGCTGGGATTTTGCACAGGGGGGTAATCGAGCATGCTGATTACGAACACAATATTAGTTTTCAGGATCGTCCATTACTTTTATCGATTTTATCGATTTTTTGAAAATTTGAGCTAGGGGGCTGGAATTTGGCACAGGGGCGTAATCGAGCATGCTGATCACCCCCCTTGGGGATGATCAGCATGCTCGATTACCCCCCTGTGCCAACTCCCAGCCCCCTAGCTCAAACTTTGCAAAAAAATCGATAAAATCGATAAAAGTAATCGATAATCCCGAAAACCAATATAGTATTCGGAATCCCCATGCTCGATTACCCCCCTGTGCCAACTCCCAGCCCCCTAGCTCAAACTTTGCAAAAAAATCGATAAAATCGATAAAAGTAATCGATAATCCCGAAAACCAATATTGTATTCGGAATCCCCATGCTCGATTACCCCCCTGTGCCAACTCCCAGCCCCGTAGCTCAAACTTTGCAAAAAAATCGATAAAATCGATAAAAGTAATCGATAATCCTGAAAACCAATATTGTATTCGGAATCCCCATGCTCGATTACCCCTCTGTGCAAACTCCCAGCCCCGTAGGTGAACACAGCAAAAAAATCGATAAAAATCGATAAAATCGATATCGATCGATGACGAAAAGTAGCCTATGACACCCGCCGGGGCCCGAAATGTATGTGTGCCAAGTTTGGTCCGGATCGGTTCAGAAATGGAATTTTCTATTCGGAACATACGTACACACAGACATACATACAGACAGACAGACAGACAGACAGACATACAGACAAACAGACATTCAGCTTTATATATAAGATTTGCAGCATTTGCTCTCTAACATTGAGTAGGGAACCCTGATTACTAGATCTGATGACTTTCTGGACTCACGTGAGATGCACCGGAGGCACTGGTAGTAGGGGTGTCCAAAAAAGAGACCGATGACTTTTTTGCCGTTGTCTACAACATATGATTGAATGGTGCTTTAGTGTAGACCAAATAATTACCTTCTTTGTCTCTCCGAAAAGTGAATCAAGATTTCCTAGTGATGGCTTCGTCTTGGGTCCAGTGGATCTGCCAAAAAGCGCGTTGTCCAGATCGTCCATATCCTCAAAATCACACAAATCTTCCATTAGCAGTTTCTCAACTTTCATGCAGAGAACGAAAAGATATTTCTCCGAACAAGCTTCTTGTGAATGTCTCGGTATGCAAAGTCACTGATGTAACTCGAAAATTTCCAGGTTTCTGTCCAACAGAAATAAATCGATAAATACTTATAGCGCAGGCGTTCTCTAACTGTAAGTCCATATCCATGTCTCGAATGTATCAGAACAACAGCGCATCTAAGCATTATAAATAAAGTATTTACTGCCTTCCTCACAGAAGGCATGATTTCTTTGCTATTCCTTCAAGTTTATCATCAATAGGCTCAGATGAAATCACCCTTCCACGCCTTTTTTTGATTATTTGCTATTTTTGTGGCTATCATCCACAAAATCTCTTTTTTATAGCATGAATGCGCGGAGTACTGAGGCATAACCTCCGTAGCAGTGGCTTCGTCCACTCTTCACTATTTTGTTCATGCATAAAAGCTGACTCAAAGCAATCTCGTTTGAGATAAAGTTAAAACTTCACTGAATGCAACACAATCTATTCTGCATCCGCATAATCTATTATTTGTTGATTTTCAATATTTACGGAACAAACTTCGACTACAATACCGACGCAGTGGAGTTTGAAGATAGAATATCAGCTTAGCCAAGTTATCTGATTATGATTTTTATAACTAGGTTTAGGTTATTTGCGGAGCATAGTCTTGTTGAATAATGCGTAAACCCTCATCTAAGGGTTGAATTCAAGTCCTAAACTCATCGCCCAAGCTTCTACTTACATAATACTTCGAGAAAATGCATTCTTCTACAAGGGTGCTTTCAAAGCTGCATAACAAAACGTGCGTGCCCACGCACTACCCTCATCCATGATGCAAACCTTGCAGAGAGCTCTTCGCATTTTCTTCTAGCTGAACTGGTTCAGCGCACAAGCTATTCGAAAAACAAATTTGGTCAAGGGAGTTAATGTAGGGAAAAAAACTGAGTTTGAGAACTCACTCCCAAAAGATCTCCCAAGCTGTCATCCGCCATCACGTCATCTTTCTGTAACAATGCAGTTGTAGAGAAGGAGTTGAAGCAAGCCTAAAAATACTAACCTGATAGCTTGGTCTCACTTGTCCTCGAGCAAATCTGTATTAATTACTAATTGAACAATGTTCGCCAGCCAGATTGTGAGACTGCTTGGTGACCATGGCAACGCGTCAGCCGTTGTGGTGCAGCTACGATTATCCATATTTAAGCTGACTGAAGGCAAACTTATAAGAATAATTTTTTCAGATATCAATGCAGTAAGTCCTTTACTTTATGAAACTGCAAGGATAAATCCTATCGTAAGAGCACAATCATTTTTATACATTAGCATGACTTTTGATGTCGCGTTGAGGAAATCATGAATTTCACACTGTGATCAACCCAGATCTTCTTGTTCCGAACTCTAAGGAGAATTAGGATTGCGCTGAAAATAGGAGAAACCAGATCCGCTGTATCTTTTGTAAATGAAGTTAGTGAAGAGACTCAATGTTTTTGTGAAAATCCGTACCAAAATGAACGAATCCGCTCTTCGGTTATTAATGAAATTCAAGCTTGCAATTCAAGCTTTTCCATTTTGTCCTTCGGAGATTGAATCACATATCAGTTGGCCACTGCGTATGCAATGAATCGAGAACTGACATCTATGCAAATCGACGATTTTCATGGCTTCATTTTCTTTATTAACCAGTACTTTTACAATAACTTTTCTTATTCACTCCATCGACGGTCTGAGCAAAGGTCAAAGGACGATTATTCCCGAGAACGTCTCCGGTCATATTCCCTTTGCTGAAACTGACTAGGTGTGGAGGAATGGGAGAAATGTTTGAGGACGAGTTTTCGCCCGTCTTTTCCCAGCAATGCGCATGCTCGGCTTGCGGATGTCAGCCAGTTGCGAGGCAGTGTTGAGTGCGTGGAGAGTGCGCACGCTTACTGGGTGAGAATACAGTGGGATGAGATGCAGTTTGGAGTGATTTCGATAAATTTTTTAGCCGTCGGCGTTCTGCTATGATCAGGCGGCAGACATAGAAAGTTTTTGTTTCCAAGAATTTCGAACATATCTTCTTCACTTTGTTCAGGACATTTTTAGAAGTAAATACACTGGTATGAATAACGAGAGCCTCATCCAAGAGTTTGTAACAACATTTCTTTTTGGTTATTAGTTATTAGTTAGTTAGTACATAGTTATTCAATACTTTTCAAAACCCCAATGTTCTCTTACGTTCTTAGTGAAACATTTGCGTTTTGTGCAGTCCCAACATGTCTTGCATAAACTTGCCTTTCGTTTCTAACTTCAACACGCAATATTCTGGCATTTCTTCTATGTTCTCGGATCCGCAGTTGACTCATAATTTCCTTTCTCGTCTGCTATGAACTAGGGCGATCTATTTGGCGATGACCATGCTATAGGTAAAGAGTCAAGACATTTTATTTGGCTTCAAAGCCTAGGAAATATTCTGTATTTGAGATATTGTGCAGACAAACGGTCTAGTCTGTATTCAAAAAACTAAACTGGGCTCTGGTTATTGTTATAGCTACGCTACCATTTCTATTTGTTTAATTTTTACGTGTGTGAGTTTGGTCGTCTGCAGTAAGCATAAATATCCTGCTTTACTTTAGAGGAACGTTCGAATTCTTTGTCACCCACTGCGGTATGTACATGACATTCGCGCTCAAGAGGGAAGAAAGAGAGAATGGAGGGAATGGCGAGCGAGGAGGAACATTTGCGCTTCAGCCTCATCTGCATTGATTTTTGAAACTCGGTTTTTCGGGATACCGCATTGATTCGTCGCGACGTCTGGCGACACTCTCTCGCCGTCGGCTCACCGGCTGCGCATCTCAAGCCAGCGCTTTGCCGTCGTCCGCGTTTTTCATCCTCGTCATGCTCCGTCTTCTAAGTGCTCTCTATGCTCGTCAGCTATCTTTCTTCATCGTTGCAGTTCATATTAGCTGGCCACGGTTTAGTTTGTAGCTTCTACTCGTGCTTCGTTGTTTCTCATGCTGATCCGATCAAGTTTATACAGCCGCCCCCCGATCTCAGTGAGAGAGGCGGTGATTTCGATGGTCCAGAGCTGCCATCTGCTCTGCCAAGCACAAAGGGAGATTGTCTGATTATACAAATTCGGCTCAGCCTTGCAAATTCATCTACATCAAGCTAATTGTTTGAATATATAAAGAATGCAGAGAGTTATCCTTCTTCATGTTATGAAGGACTTAACCTAAAACTGTAGCTCTTAACTCCTTGCAAGTTTGTGCGATTTATGCAGTCTTCAAAGGTTCCGATTTTAGTTGACGAGTATTTATATATTGATGTAGTAACAAATTACATAGTTGCGTGATTGACCAAATAACCTAAGACTTGGAATTTGAGTCGTTTCGCAGTTTTACAGGCAATGAATGCATCAGCGCCCTCGTTTAGCCTCAACTTTTGAAGATACCTCAGCAGCTGTGGCGCTGGCAGCGAATGCCGCCTTTTTCCCCTCACGCGAGACTTCACTCGTCCGGCCTTTTCATATTCCAGTGTGTCTCACTTCCTATGCTTCTGCCCATGTCCTCATTCTTCTTTGTTCGGCTAAAAGTCCTCTTATTTTCAAAAACTCTTCTTCTTATCGCTTAAAATCTCACTACTGCATTAGTTTTCCTTGCTACAAAGATCTATCGGAGCTTCCCCTTCCCTTTATACATCTGAGCGTTTTTATGCAATCAAAATTTCCAGCAGATATTCACGCAAATTAGAAAAACTACGATGAAATTTTTTTTTGCGTACCCAGTAGTTTAGGCGGAGGGGGGGGGGGGAGGGTGGAATTGATTCCGTTCTCCCTGTTTTTTTTGTTTCCCTGTTGCCTCTCCAGAAATCAGCCCTAAGATTCACACCTGAAGGGAAGCCAATTATCATGCATAACAAGTTGTGCTTCTCCATAGTCTAGAGCGTCAAGCGCTAGTAGAAATTCACAGAAGCCTTAAGCCGCTTAGTCAGTCAAATATTAGCAGGAAGGTTCACACGCCGACGGTCCATGCTGCTTGTGTTTGCTTGTTTGCCATAATGGAGTTCGCGCTCCTGCAAATCATAGAAGTCGTGCGCTTCATAGAACTTGCATGTAATGTCAAGTTTTAAATTCAGCATTTGATTGATGACTGGTCTGCAGAGTGGCAGCAGATGAGTTGTCAGGCGTCCCTGTTAGCTTGCTTGAGCAAGTCAATTTCTCGTCCACCGAAGGTAATTTTTCTATGCTTCGTATAACAGCGACGCTAAATGTCTAATACTTGTCTTAATATATTATCTGGACTTCCTAGCTGATATCACTAGCGATGTTCGCTACTCTGGCATTGAGATATCTACTGTAACCTACAGATATGAAAAAGTGGGAAAGTATGATGTGGAGAGTTACTTGACCCTTTTCGTTTATAGAATTAGTTGCAGAAGTCCTTCAGGCTCAGAATACGGCTGGGTGAGGAGGACCTCAACCATCTTGTTCAACGCTAGGTCTTAAAGCTTTGTTGCAGTTTCTGAGGATTGGAAGTGTCATACTGGTGTAGATTATTGTGCCTCAATTATTTTCTCAGGATCAAATCATGCTTTCAAGTGTTACGACTATTGTGTAAGCTCTAGGATAAGGATAAATTTTGCCTTCCGCGTAGATAGGATGACTAGATGGTTTCTTCACTTTTTGGGGATGATAATTCAAACATTGAACGTAATTATTCATCTATTGGCAGCATGTACTAGAATCTTTGCCTCTTTGGAAAACTTCCCTTGACGGTCTCTACTCCCCCTACAGAGCATCTATAAAGATGATGCTGCTTATGACCAACTCACACTTCCTCTAGGTACTTGCTCTAGGAAAGTATTCTGCATCTTCGTTGTTTTCCCATCTTTCTTCAACAGATCACATTTCAGGGGTTGAAGTCTGCATATTTCAGTTCTCAAGAGCAATTTCTCACGAATAAAAAATAAACTAATCATTTGCACTGCCCGCTTAGTCATGCATGAGATCGTGAGGCCCATACAAATGAACGCGGGCGGGCGGGTTTGGATGAAAAGACCCCAGGCATCGTACATGCCTGACGTCTATGACTGGCGCTGCTATGCATGGCCTGTCTAACTATAGATTACTATGATGATGTCTTTGTTTTTGTTGTCGCCAAATCGAAGCCAAATCGCCGCATGTAGCCGTAAATAGCTGTCAACGTTATTAGGCTAAGCACGATTATCGGAATTCTTTTTAGCCGTTCGCACAGCTGGCGCATTTTCGTAAATTTCTAGTTGATTTTACAGATCCGTTCGCAGTCTAAATAGTCTACTTCTTTCAATTTCTGAAATGCAAACCTTATATTTTTGGGGTTGCGTGTTGCTTTCACAAGAGTGGCTGTCTCATAGCCAAAAGCAAAAAGAAAAAGCGTTTTCATAACCCTTGGTGACTGCTACATCCTCCGATTTGCCCGCATAGATGAATAGCATCTTCTCAACTCACTTGCATGCAAACATTGAAATTTCTTTCTCTTTTCCAACGGCAAGCTGCTTTCTAAAATGGCCAGCATGGTCTTCAAGAAGATCTCATTTGTTGCAATTTCAGACTTCGCTCTATAGCAGGCCATACATTGCATTCCTATGGAAGTAGTACAAAAACTCGTAAAATACTTTTCAGTGCCTGAAGCCACTGAAGCAGTAAATGCGCAGATTTTGAATAATCAATTCTTGCGTCATCAGTCTCGACATCCGCCAGACGACAAAGTTTGCCTTATGAGGGATCGTCTCAGATTTCCGTTGTTTTGCCGTGCTCTATAGAACATGCGGCGAGAATGAGGGGAGCTGCTGAATGCACGACAACGAGCCATTTAATCGTGCCACCCTCACTCGTAATTCGTATTCCATATAGCTTTTATTATCCTAGTGCCAAGTCCCATTAGCTGTGTAGACTGCATTTTGCAACGCCCGCTCTGTCTGTGTCCTTATTCCAGATGTACTGAGTGCTGAACATTGTTTTTGAGCATCCATTTGTTCGTAGAAGTTTCTTCCTCTTGAAAGTCGAAGACTTCCGCAACTCTTTGCCTATATGGTTGCGAATATCCATTGACGGACTTCCCAAAGGTGCAATCGTGCTTTTGACAAAGCATCTCAGCTGACCTCCGGTACATGCAAAGGATCTTATAGATATATGCTAAATGATGCTCTAATTCGCTTAATGTCAATATTGCATTAAAGATTTGTGCCTTTTTCGGTAATTAGTTGCTTGCTCCGCTCTGCTCACACTAAGAGTTTGCATGACAATGCTTTACGAACCATCTGGCCCCTCTTCTTGATTTGCGTGACAAGTTTTTTCATGCCCAATCGAGCGACGCTCTTTGTGCATCCACTAGAGCAAAAATAGCAGATACAGCTTTTTTGCTCTAGTTCCCTGCTCTTCGTACATCATAATCGCTTATCCACACTGATGCGATAAATGCGAATAACTGACGAATGAAAAAGATGCCTATGGAAAATTTCTTCGATGCTGAGCGCCCCAGTCGCACAAAGCACAGTTCGCTTGTACTTTCTTGGAACAGTTCCCGGAAACGACTTGCAGATGCATTGAAGAAGCGCATTTTAGAAGGTTTTTGTCCATCTCTTTGCATATTAAAACTGCAGGCAACGCAAGTTTAGATTCTATCTTGTACGATGTGTGAAAATTTATCAAAAGCTCAGCTAAAACAAGGATAAGTTCTTGAGATTCATTCTTTTTTTCCACTGTAATAGCATTCTACCGTTCCGCACTTCTGACGCAGCTAGGGACGAATGGCATGCCGTAGTCTCTACCATTATGTGGGTGTTGATGACATACATCTTCTGAACGAACACTGATTCGTGTCCAACGTAACTTATTTAAGGTGAAATTGTGTTACACTCCATGATCGTGAATACCTCTCTCGCATACTTTTGGCTGACTACAGTCGAGTAGATTTAGCGGTAAATATAGTGTGCTTGCACAGAAGGTGAAATGAGGTGAAATTTGCGCGTGAACAAGTAGCCACGCCAGCACTGCGGGTACCTTGCGCGCGCAACTGGCCGGCGTCACAGTCGAAGCTATTTCTTCACGTGCAGATTTTACCGCATTTCACCTTCTGTGCAAGCACACTATATTTACCGCTAAATCTACTCGACTGTATAGGTATTATTCTTTGAGCTGACTTCAACTCAAACTAACAGCATAGAAACGATTAAACCCGTCGATCCTTGTTTCTGCGGGATTATGGTGGAAAGTCTACTCGCTGGAAGAACCTCGATTGTTTCTGGGAAAATTGTTATTCTAAGTTCCATTAACTTCAGATCAGGATCGTATCTCTCCCTTACTGTTGTCTTATCAGCTTGAAGTGCTCATTTGAGGCATCTTTTTCTGCGCAAATACGCTCACTGAGAAGTCGTGCGAGAGTAGCTTGATGAGAGCAGAGATCGTTGTTCACAAACAGAACATATCCGTGGCAGCTACGTAGAGCTCAACGCTTACGCAGTTTACCCACGTGACTGCCCTGCGCATCTCAGCGAATGTGTCTCTTGTGAAAGCGAAACGCTCGCGAGACGTCTGGCGCCTCCAGCCATGTTGGACTGCGGGAGTGATCAGCATCCTGAGCACTCGGCAAAAACAGCGAGCGCAGGCCTGCTCAGGTGCCGGCTACGAAGACCTGCAGCTGCCACAACAGCTCGTCCTTTCACTTTGCTCTGTCAGAGGCTCTTCGCCGGAAGTGTGAGCTCTTAGATGGTGCATCAACGGTGCAGTCGACGCTGATGTGCAAATATGACAAAGAAATGAGCGGCTGCTTTTCGCCGACGTCAAGAACTTCGATCTCTGAAAATTACGCCTTTGCTTCTGATATCACATCACTAGCTCTTGTAATGTAGATGAATTGCTTCTACCCATTTTTCCATGATGTAGTGAAAAACACGTTGATGTTGTTATATGGTAAAGAGCTCGATTTCTTCAGAGCAGATTTGATACATTGGCTGTCAGGCAACGATAGTGTCTGTACAATATGTATTATATCACGTTCACAATCCGCAGTGCTTTTTTCGCAGTTTCATAGTTTGATTTCGCCCGAATTCAATCGTAAGATGATATATAATAATTCGCAGTATGTACAGCCTATCTTAACTCAACAAAGCAAATCAATGCAAACTATGCTTTAGGTTATATCAACAACACAAAATCTCTTTAAATGGCCTTTTTTAAATCACTTGTTTTGCATGCAATTGAAGGCCATCAATTACTGCCGTACTGACATAAGTCGTGTAGAATAATGAAGCAAGTGCTCGGATGAGCAACTGTGTGTATACTAGTTGAAAACACGGAATTGACGTCATCGTCATAAGCATGAGTTCGATCTATGTTTTGCGGCTCTGACAAATATAAGAGTTTTTTTTTGCTTGAGAAATACGCTCGATACGTAATTATCGCGAATCTATTAGGATGATGCAAAATTCATGCACCAACATTTTTGAAATTCTGTTACTTTCTCCAGCATCAATGGAATCTTCTGATTTGCAAGATAATAGAAATAGTAAGCCTTGCGCTTTCACTTGAGCTAAAATTACTCAAAGGCATATAGCAGCGATATAAGCTGATCAACAGAAATACTCAAAAAGTGATTTTTCGAATTTTGGTTGCTAAAATTGCTACGTCCACTAAAATGTGAAAATATTTTTGGTCTTAGTTTCATGACTTACTCTTTTTGACTAAGAATAGTTGGTAGTGATTGAATGTCTCTAGGAAAAGTTATGAATTTCGATTTTCTAAAATTAACTTATTAATTTTGTTTCATATTGATTTTTATACTACGAAATACTACTTCTGGTACACATAACAATGAGCATATCGTATAAATTGATTATTACGGTTGAGCATTTTTAAAATAATTTTTTCTAACTTTTGGTGCAAGAAATGTGCATTAACCTTACATGCGCTATTAGAGAATTTTAACCAAATTAATCCTTTCATTCCCAAATCTCTCTTCCTAATGAACAAGAAGTAATGTCGTGATAAAGTTGGCAATTATTATTAATTCCAACGGCTCGAGCAAGAAATTGTGAAAATTTTCAATAGTTTATTTCTGAATGGGATCAGTGGTGTCACGCATTCTTGTTGCTTCGCCAGTTAGTCTGCGTAACTCGCAACCTAATAATTTCACTCGGAAACAGTTTCTCACATGGTTGCAGTCATAACCATCTGCAGATTTATTCATTCGTCCCTAGTGGTACCCTAGCAATGACGTTCTTCCTGAATGAAATCAGTTTATTCCTCACCCATCAAGAAGAATGATCTGAAGAATCATTGCTTGCGATTGTTCATGGGCTAGAAGCGAAGAATGATAGTATGAGAAAGTATCCACCATCAGATGGTATGCGGATACGAGCTCAATTCAGCCAAGCCTTCGGCTAGAAAGGTTGCGGTGTGTTTTCTTTTCTGCCAAGATGTTCTATATGTGATGAAGGATAAGAAAACTGGCTTGGTTCCATGGTTTCATTCTACCAAGTTTGTCTTTTAAGCATCCTGCACCTTTCTTGCTAAATTCTTGACCTACTTCATCTATCGCGGTATTCTAACAAATCGTCACAATTCAATGTCTTACTATGAAATCGAAATAGAACTATTTTCCCTCAGTTGTGAATGGTCTAGTGTGGTAGTTGAGGAATCAAATAAAGAAGCTCTGCGCTAACATGAGGCAACGGTCTGGGGCTCAGCTGTCGTAACTACAGTGACATAGTATACAAAAAAACAATAGACTTCAGCGCAGTGCCCAGCTGGTTGCTCTCTGTTTTAAGTGATTTACAAGCCTGAGACTTCTGATTTTCTATTTCTCTGTACCCCTTTTCTAGCGCATATAAAACTTTCCGCGATCTGTGGTTTTTCGCTGCTTGCTGCTCCCGAATGGACGCTCTGATTTCGAGCTTTCTCAAGCATGTTCTTGAAGCTCTCACGTAGATGTGAAATCTTTAGAAGTTGTGCAGTCTGCGATACGTCAGGACTAGTTGTAGAGAGCCGAAAGACAATGAAGCTTTGAAGAGAGCTGAAGAAAGTGACGTTGTGTGTTGTAATACAGCAACTGCCGCACCCTCGCAATCCTCATTTCCTTTAACGATTATCCGCGTGCTTGTTCGTATGATTTTCTTATGCTCACAGTTTGAAAGTCGTTTCTTTTGGCAAATACGCCGTTTGTGCGCAAGAAATTGTGGTCTTCTGTTACTTCTCAGTAGGCACATCCCTTGTGCTTTCGCTTTCCATTCATTGCTCTTGTTATTGGCTTTAAGAGATAATGTATTACAGAAAGCATATCTTGTTGCCTACTGTCTATTCGTAATTATAGAGTAACATCTGCATTTCCGTTAGATTCACTCAACATCTGGATCATATGACTTGAACTCTTTTGTCCAGTATCCAGTAAAGGGCCAACTTAGTGCGTATATGTCGCCACTGCTTTATGAAATTTAGAAAAGAACTTATTTTTTGCGCAAAAGTGGAAGGCATAGTATGTGGCCCCGACCTGAGAATTTTTGCAAAAGACCGATTCTAGTGAAAACAAAAGGATACATCTTTTTACTGTGGGGACAATTTTTTGGTAAAAAACCAACTGACTTTCGCTTTTTCCATAGTTTGCATAACTTCGTTAGATGCGAGACGTTGTCTAGATGAAGAGTGAAGGGCTGGCCTACACCACAATGTCACTGCTTTGCGGTCCTCTAAATCCATGCTATGATGTATTCATGCAATTTTTATAGGACAGCATGTCGCCGTAAAAACACAAATGCGCCCAAGGAGTCGGCCATAAATACCCGTCTTGTCCATTCCATGCCGTTAAGTGCTAACTTATAACCAGGTCTCATCTGTTGCTGTCGCTCAAATTCCATTAAATGCGCGAATTCGAACGGAGTTCGTTCAAGCTCGAATATGTGTATGAATTCCACACATCGCAATTGTGTAACTCGCTGACTAGCAGGTCTCGATGCATTACGCGGCTGTCAGTTGTCCGTAAGTCGCCCTAACACGTATAAGCAATGGCCTACTCGAGTTCTCTCTTTCGGAAGTCGTCTCAGCGCGTCGGAACCACGCGCTTGCACTTCAAGATCTTCCATAAAGAATTAGCCGAAACTCTGAAGCCTATGCAATTACCAACGGTAAAGCGACTAAATGGTGATTGCCTTTGCTAATAGTGCGTCACACAATATCTCATTCGTGCAGTCTTAACCTGAGAGACACAAAGTGTTTGCGTAAAACTAGCCTTACAAGCACTAGTTACACCGTCCTAACACAAGTTTAAGAGGAGCTTGGAAGTTGACACTTACGATAAAGCTCTCTTTAAATTGCATTCAAGCTCTTTTTGCAATTTAACGCTTGATTGTTATACCACGGACTATTGTCAAAAAATTCTTGCATCATTGTGATGTCATGTCCAATACCTCTCGAAGGCAAAAGCTCTCATTAAAGAGTCTCTTTTATCAGAACTTTGGAAGCACTGAGCTGGAATGCAATGTCTATTTTGTCCGGCTCCATGAACATTGCTGAGGAAGGACGTTAGACATGGCCTACTATTATAAACCTTCTTCATTTTTTACATTCATTCTCGCCCTCTAGTAGTGCCCAATACCAACACTATCACTTGAAGCTCTTATCTGCAGATTTATTTCCTTGTGCCAATAGGCTTTCAAAATTGGTTATTTACTTCTGGTCCTTTTTCATAATCCACTTCTGCCAATCTCAGTATTGGTTGTGCCTGTGTATGAACGCTAATGAATGGCATTTTTGTTGTTAGCAACAACCTGCTTTCACGCTAACATGACGTGACATCCATGTGGCTTGTGCACTTTTGAACTCGCTGTGATGGATGGTTTCCCATGTGAGATGTACGTTTTATAAGAGGCTAGTATTCGTTTGCAAAATCCAATTAAGCCGCTAAACGATGTGGACCAGTCGCTAATGGTGTATAGGACATTTGAAAAATCGTGACGATGGCGCGACCGCCCGCGACGCGCACGCACCTCTAACCGTATTTTCTTGGTTTTCACCTCTACTTGAATGATTTTTCTGCTTACGTATGACAGTATTTAGACATTGGAAGCGGCGAGCTGAGAATTGAGGCGATGCCTTTTTGTATGAGTTATCTGTTCCTGTAGGCGCAAAGACAGGAGTTCAATCCGTCGTTACGATTCTATAAACGACCTATACCTACTGTTTTTCTGACAACACAATGTACTGAGAACCGGCTTTACTAGTATTCATCAATGTTAAATGCGGTATTTTAGCCGTTTTGTTTGTCTTCTGAGAGTGATTAAGTTGGAAATGTGTGACACATGAAACAGCCCAATTTTTCTTTTTCTTTATTACCATCTTCTCCTTTCCCTTCCAAATCCAAACATATTTTTGATATAGCAGAGTGCACGAGATATCGCATATTTTTATTACAACACGCTAGAAATGTTTGTAAAACCTGCCTATGGCTGTTTGGAGTTCACTTTACCAGACACTTGATCCACCTACTTTGTTGTCTTTTACATGCTCGTGAAGCATACTCGACCTCACTTGTCATTTTCCGGTCTTATGACGCCATGACGATAAACAAATAAAACATGTGATTCATAGAGCGCCCATCTCGCCCACACAAATCACACTATCATGCCCCTCAGACTGCGCGCTTACTCGTCCGAGCTCCGCGCAGAAGCCGGTCGACGGCAAGCCGTCACCTGGCCGAGATCATGCCAATTGCGGGCAGAGACACCCATAGACATTAGCTGGCTCGCTCGCTCACTCAGTCAGTCACTAGCACACCCCTCGCAGTCAAATTGTTTGCAATGGTAATCAATGCGGATGTAGAACCTCAACGGCCAGTGCTGGCCACTGCCGCCGTCTCGGTCATGCAGCCCAACTACAGTACCTTCACAACGCCCGGTAGGTGACGTGCGATGTCGTCAGCGCTCGTGTGTACGGTGATCTGTGCCGACTTTGCAATGTTACTCGCCCATGCAGCTACCATGCCTTCGGATAGTCTCAGGATATGTACATTTAAAATCACTTACAGCTATGCCAGCCGGCCCACCAGAGCTGCTCGATATCCCTGGTAAACGTGCTACCTTTACATCTGGAAGTGAGGAAGAGATACGCCTTGGATCTCGAGTCACTTTCAATGATCAATCTGTGAACATCGAGGGCATCGACTTCCAAATGAACGAGGTTCGTCGGTGTATATCATGCACAACTATAGCTCTGAATGAGGAGAGGAAGCATTTGCGAATCTGCTCCTCCAGGGCTCGGCACGAGGTGGCTTTTGGAAAATGCAAAAATTGAAGTCCCGCACGATCACGAATTTTTACGAAGTCCCCTTTGACCCTAAACTTCATATGTAAAGAAACCTTCTAAAAACGAAATGTCGACTAAAAACTCCGCAATTTTTTGTGCCTTTTCGACCTCAAAAACGATACCCTTCCTTGTCCCAAAAACGATATCCAACTTGCATAAAAGCCACATGTGCCGAGCCCTGATCTACTCAGCTTACTTCTCCGAGCCCAAGATTCGTAACTCATTCCCTTGCTCATGGCTCTCACCTACGAATGAGAGCGTATGTAAAAAGTTGTGAACAGAAGAAAATTTTTTGTTCTGGACAATGACAAAGTGCTTTCTCACTTCAGCTTGAAATGCGGTCACTAGTACTTTAAGAATAGGGTAATGCCACCTTGTCACTTCGCTTCCTTGTTTGTTACAATTCTGCTAACATTGTTCCAAGAACCAGTGACTGATTTTGTTTCAATAAGCATTAAATGAGGTTTGATAATTCTCATCATTTAGGGAGCAGCACTAAAAAACAAGATTTCAGAACTTCTATTATTTTTCGTTTCTAGAACTTTCTTTGCATCACTGTGGTTTTTTGATTCGTATCTGATACACTTATGCATATTGAAATATTCAAAGGGGCACATCTGACGCCGTGTAGGTGTCCAGTGGCGAAACTAGAATGTGCAGTACATATTTCGGAACCACAGTGCTAACGACTTTTGTCTTAATTGCGTTCAAACGAGAACTTTCTGCAAAAATACACGGCCTAACCCAAAGAACCTTAATATTGTTTCGAGTGTTCCACAAACTCAATGCGAGTCACTATCGAGTTTCACTTCGCAGGATGAATCACCAGCAAAATTCATAGGATAAATTATAACTATGACTGATTAGAGAAGCTAGCTTGAGTTGCACTTTGTCTCCGACAAAAGGAGGTGTTATATAAAGAAGATGCGCCTCTGATTCGTGGGAGAATTTTAACACTGCTATCTTAAGTGTTACATTCATTTTCTGAATAACTAGAATCCTTGCAAGCTGGTAGAACCTTCTCACGGAGTCTGAGGTAGAAGGATGTTTTGAGGAGTATTTAACATTATTCTTGCTTATATTAGCAATAAGCTCTCATCTGTACTTCTCAGCTTTATTTTGGAAGTTTTTAGGCAAACAATTACATGGTCACCTTTCACGAAGATGAGCATGCCCAAAAGCGAGAGCAATGGGACAACAAGGTGAGTTCTCTCCTCTTCTCCCCTTGCAAATCTAATTTCACCTACCTTTCAGACGCAGTTTTATATGGGCGTTATTAGCTACGCGGTTGGCCTCGGTAACGTATGGCGGTTTCCATACTTATGTCAGAAAAATGGTGGAGGTAGGTTTTGCATATTCATAGTGCGAAAACTTGAGAATGGAGATGCACTTGCTTTCAGGGGCTTTCCTTATTCCCTACGTGATTATGATGATATTGCTTGGTTTACCTCTATTTTTGATTGAACTTGGCATCGGGCAGCGATTACGAACTGGACCAATGGGAGTATGGAATGCCATACATCCGTATTTGGGAGGTGATTGATGACGAAGGCGCACTTACGATAAGCTTTTTTGGCTAAGCATACTAAATCTGCAGGGGCTTGCCCATAGTCTACCACATTCACAACTTTTGATTATAATCCTATATCAGTTGAGCCCTAAGGATACACTGCTCATAGAACCATCATCCACATGAAGATTAAGCACATCACCATCAAAAACTGCGCGCAACTTTGTTTTTCGTTGCTTGGCTTGGCCAGAGTTAGCATACCCATGTTTTTTACACATCACAATCTTCAAACAGTTGTCACATCTGATGATTTGATTATGATTTCAGGTCTCGGTGTATCAGCGGCTGTAGTTTCGTATCTAGTTGCACTTTACTACAATGTTATTATAACATGGTGCTTGTACTACCTCAAGGAATCATTCACGTTGAATCTACCATGGGGAGTGAGTGTACAGTTTTTTCTGTGATTATGCTTTTTACTTCTTTTCTTGGTGGGTCTGACTCCTCTCTAATGTTGCAACAGAAAAGAGAAAAAAATTCACTTGTAGTATGTTACTGCTCCAGATTACTGTTTACAGGTGAAGGTAGCATGTGCTAGTATGACCTCATCTAACAAAATTGCGCAGCCGATAGTTGCGATTTTAGAGTTTACATGAGTTTTAAAACATTAAGGCATCGTTTATAGATCTCCGTCTTATAGGGCTTAAGAAAGTAGCGACGGGTTGAGGTAGGCATGGGGACTCACACGAAGTGATTGATTCATATGGCAAATCGAACAACAATCCCTTAGGATTCAAAGTAGTGGGGATTACGTGGACATTTGCTGTAAAGAGGGAAGCTTCAGTAGTTCAGAAAAATCAAGTATCTTGAGGAACAGTTTATTTGCCGTAAATGACGGGATAGGACGTTTGATGTGCTCTGATCCGTTATACCTATGTATCCAACTATTGTTCAAAATTCGTTCATGTCATAAACAAACAATCTCCCTTTGAGTAAGGTTTCTAAAAATAAGTCTAATGATGCATAAGCTTTGAAAACGTCATGGTAGCCTACTAATGTTCGAAAGTGTTTATCAAATTTTCACCAGCTAGTTGTGTTTTTCATTTTTGTGACGGAGCACCCTATATACACAGGATCTTATTACTGAAATCAAACATAAGTCAATTCAAGGCTTGTCCTCGTGACGATAATGGAACGATAGATATAGAATGTCAGATGTCGTCATCGACTACAATGTACTTCTGGAATCGTGAGGCACTGGATACTACAGGGTCTGTAAAACTTATTCGGCTCTACCTTAATTTTCATAGCAGAATTTTTAGAAGCATTGGCGAACTGGACAGCTTCAATCCGCACATCACGATTTCACTCATTGTCGCATGGACTTTGATTTATTTATGTGTAATGAAGGGAATTAAAAGTAGCGGAAAGGTAAGCCTTTTTTCTCAACTTTTTTGTGGGAGATTCGCTTGAAGTGCGAACCTCAGGAGTACATTTCAAAACTCGCGAGCTTTGCTAGATCTGTCCGTATGCATGAAGAATTTTGCTATAAATTTCTTGAGTCAAAACTTCATGATACCTTGCTTAAAATTTCTCCTCTCCACGATACCTCCGTTACATTTTTGCATAAAGACGCTCAATATAGATTTCCCGTGACTACTGTTTACCGTATGTGTACGGTAACCCATAATGCCCAATTATTTCGATATCTTGTCCTTTCTCTCCTATCATATTCGATTCTCACTTTGATATCTCATACAGGAACCCGCATCTGCTTTTCCACTAATTAATCTATTCAAAAAAACGTGTTAGGGAGCGAAGTCTCATTCTAGTTCTGAGTTTGGGTGAGTTCTACAATGGAGGAAAAATCTAGCAAAAGTTGGAGAGAGAAGAACGGAAATCCTTCATGCATTACCCCACAGCTAACAAGCAGGGACCCGAGGTCATCGAGCCGTTTCGTATGATGTACATATAGAAATATTCGCCCTATGTTTGCTATCTGCAAAGCGATTTTCTGGAGGAATGATCGAATTTGTCAATGAATTTTGTGTGGTACTAGATAGGCATAACTGTAAGTACTAGCCAGTTTGCCTGCTTTATGCTACTGGCAACATCAGTGTCCAAACACCACTATGTTCAGCACATATTTTTCTGAATATTGAATGGAAAAGTGGAAAATCCCGCAATGTTCATTTTGACCCTTGCAACAATAAAATTGTCAATGAAAAATATTCATAGTTTTTTTCAGAAAATCGCTTTGCAGATAGCGAAGAAAGATCTGAAATTAGCGTTTTGAAATGAGCATTTTCATAAACAATTCATATGAAGAAACCTCGGTGACCTCGGACAATTCCCTTCTAAGGAGGATTTGAAGCAAATTTAGGAAGGAAGTGATCTATTCTATGTCAGCTTTCCATACACCAAAATCTCAGGATATGGTAACTTTTACAAGACAGCATCTTGTTGAATAAGCGTCGGAAAAATAATTTTTCACGTTTGCGAGATTTTCAATGAAGAATGCGGAGGAGGTTTGTCGATGGGGAACAGGAAAAATTTGCGAGAATGGTGTGAAGTTACTGCGCTGTGCTTCTGTTCGGGAATGGGAATCCTTTGAGAAAATTTCGAAAAATTCTGGTACTCCACCTACGTTGCTCTATGACCGCCCCAAGTCGGGAACGTAAACCCGCCGAGACGTATTATCTATCTTGGCTCTTCCCTCCGAAGTCATGGAGCCGTTATTTCCTTGTGATGGGAAGGTAGTAGTTACTGTGTCTCCCAATATGTTCAAAGCACCATTCTCGGTCACATCTTGGCTTATATGGAAACCAGTAATGATGCCTGCAGCGATTCAAAGCCCTATTTTTTTATCTACGTTGTTTCAGGTTATGTATGCCACAGCAACTTTTCCTTACGTCGTCACAACAATTTTTCTGATACGATCCGTCACCCTTGACGGAGCAATGAAGGGTCTTTGGCATATGATCAATCCTGATGTGAGTGGCGAGAGCTCTTTCGGGTTCAAATCGCTTGCAAGTGGTTTAGTAGAGACTAAATTCTGGCTGTTTTCAGCTCCACAAACTCTACAGCCCTACCGTATGGCTTGAAGCTGCGACACAAATCTTTTACAGCATGGGATTGGGATTCGGAGGTAAGCACTTAATACCCTCTCAACCAGTGCAGACGGCGCATATTCTAATCCTACTTACCAAGATTAACTGCGGTTGTTTTTTGTTGGAGAAAGAACAGTTTTAGGACTCATTGCTTTCGGGTCCTACAATCCGCTGAAAAATGACTGCAAAAAGGACGCAAAGTGGTTGGCACTCTGCAATGTGGTCACATCTTTGTATACAGCTGTCGTCATCTTTTGTGTGCTTGGTTACATGGGACACAATACAATGAATAACTGTATTGAAAAGTAAGTCGGTACAAGAGCTTTCAGAGGTGCAGTTCATCTGTTCATAAATGATGTTATTTGGCAATTTCTTTTGCTTCTGCAGAGATATGGTGGTCATGCAAACCATTTTCCCCAACAAATTCCCATCTGTTGAGGATGTGCGAAGGACGTTTACTCGGGAACAGTATATCGAGGTAAATCTCTGTTTATTGTGGTTGTTTTCTTGTTGAATGATTCGGAAACTGCAGTATTAAGTGCATAAGTATGTGGCGGTTGCAGTAGTTTTCTTACAAATCAAAAATTTGTCCTGGCCCTTTTGCACGAGTTCCATGGTTGAGAATCTAGTTATCTCAGGCTACATAGCAGACCAACAAAAGAAAAGGTCTATGAGGTCAAGTAAGTTTCAGCGAAGGGTCTCTAGGCTTGAACAACGATTTTTGTGCTGATAGTACATTTCTAGCAGATTATATGTAAATAAATGTCGTGTAAAGCAAAAAGTTAGCGGCGCTTCAAATGTGATTTATTTCATCACCGCTATAGTTGGCCGTTTGGTCGTTTTAAAGGCAGTGTCCGGGCAAAAACTCGATTTTGAGATTTTGTGCTTATACGGGCCTATTCGCTATGCTGAATCCGAAAATCCACATTGGAAAGCACGAAAACGGCGAAAAAGGGCTTTAAAGAGGAGGGAAAACAGGAGGTGGGCGGGGTCTTCCCCACTGTGAATTCACGCTCCAAGCTTCTGGAGCGATTTTCTCTATTTCGCTAGCCGCCCTGACATCTCCACCGGCCAAGTACGAACGTTTGACTTGAAATCGGCACCAAGAAGATCGATCCGGAAGTTGGGAGCGTGGTTTCACAGTAGGGAGGACCCCGCCCACCTGCTCATTTCCCTCCTGTGTTAGGGCCCTTTTTCGCCGTTTTCGCGCTTTCCAATGTGGATTTTCGGATTCAGCATGGCGAATAGGCCCGTATAAGCACAAAATCTCAAAATCGAGTTTTTGCCCGGACACTGCCTTTAACCACAGCTACGGAGCAGGCCCGGCACGAGTCGGTTTCTTGGGTTTGTAAGAACGAAGCCCTCTCCGACTTTTGAAAACCTTACGAAGTCCCTTTTGACACTTATCGAAAACCTGTTGCCTTAGAATAAGATAAAATAAAGACGATCACTAGTCTGAAAGGAAAAACATGAAATAAGAGTGAACTTTGGAAAGGAGCTAGATACTACGCATGCACAAGAGTATGGCATTGGAGCGCGATATTTAACAATATGATTTTCGAAGAGATCAAGGCAAGAAAAACAAAGGAAAGGCAAATATGAAAATGTGTTCATGCTTAGGGACAGATTCCTCAGGGAATCCGTCTATGATAGAAAAATCCGAAACTTATGTGAACTCACAAAAATATGTGCTCCATACGATCTCAGATCGTATGGTGGCCGTTTGGAAACGGACTATTCTTGGGAAAGGCATTACTCTACATAAGTTTTTTAGAACTTTTTCCATACTTCCTTAAATAATATTTTATGTTAAAAATCCAAATTTGGTGTCATACGCTTGTCCTCTCGCTGTAACCAAGCAATTTGTGAATTTTGGCTTATTTCAAGTCACACGCGCTCTTCGCAAGTCACGACGGAACACGTCCATTGTGTAATAACGCCTTCGAAGTTTGTGCTTGACTGAATGCTCCTTTTCAGTACAGGAAGTGTGCTAAATTGCCTTGCACACTGTGTGTGTAGTTTTACTCCACATAGCTTGCTGGTGATGAAAGCAAGGATTCTCTGCTTACATCGGCGGCTGTAAATAGCCACCTAAAAACCGCTCCAGTGTGTTTTCGTAGATCTCTTTGTCTGACATAATATGCATAAATGAAAGTCACAATACAAAGCAGGTATCTGTGCATCTCTGCAAGTACCTTCCTTTCGCGTATGAGGTTTTACACATAGCTATCTGTATTTTGCGAAGTTAGAACTGTACTCTTCCAGTTGATGGATCACAAATTTGCTGGCGAATTCAATGCGATGGCTGAGCGATCTCAAATGTGCAACTATGCCACCATCATCTCTGAGGTATGTCATGCTCATTTTAGCTGAGTCGTGCTTATTAACATCGCGTTAATTTTCTAGTGTAAGTAGCAATCTTGACATGGCTTGTTTAGGCCGCTGAAGGTACTGGTCTGGCATTTGTTGTCTTCACAGAGGCAATTTTGAGATTTCCATTCCCACCGGCATGGTCTATACTCTTCTTCTTGATGCTTCTTTCGCTTGGCCTCGGGAGCATGTTCGGTTGGTTCCGAAGCAAATGTGTTCTAAACGCATATAATCAAAAGAGCATTTCAGGCACACTTGAAGGTGTAATCACCTCGCTCAATGATTCGCATCTCATTACGGTGACCAAGCCAGTGCTGACGGGTCTGCTTTGTGCTTCAGCCTGTCTCATTGGATTGCTCTTTTCCACTAGAGCTGGACAAGTACTGTTCACTCAATCCTCTCCCCTTGAAACAGCGAAATGTTTACGTTTATAGTATTGGGTCGCTTTATTCGATTCATTCGCCGGCTCCTACGCGCTTATGTGCGTTGCGTTCTTTGAAGTGATTGCGGTGGTGTACGTCTACGGATACAGGCGGTAAGTCTTATGTCATTTTTGCGTTCAGATCTGATTTACGACGTTCCAGCTTCTCCCGAGACATTGAGTTTATGACCGGCTCCATCCCCGGTCAATATTGGCTGATCACTTGGCGTTTTGTCGCTCCAATCATTATGGCTGTACTGTTTACCTGCAGCGTTGTTCAATGCTTCTCCAAGGCTACCACCTACTACGCGTACAATAAGGAAACGGTACTTCGGCTTCCACAGTTCTCCTATTGAACCATAGATCTGCTACAATCTTGCACGAGGGTGAAGTGTGAAGGAGCGCTTAACCTTAAGGTTGGGGGGGGGGGGGGGGAAGGATTGCAGAGGTGTCTATTTACCTCATAAAGGCGACAAGTCCACGTTTGTGTGTGAAATACAGACAAACCTTCATAATTGCGGATTTGATGTTGCGCGAGAAAGGCCTATTGGTATGACGGTTGTCCATGGAAAAAGATCAGTTGTTAGAAGTCAGAACCTTCTCACTCCTCTTTCTCTGATTTGCTCGGGTTCGGAACAACGACATGGGATTGGGCAGAAAGAGTGGTCCTGTAAAATAGTGTGCCTATCATCACTTATAACTATTTCTTCATTGCAGTCACTTTAGGTTTCCTACCACATTGTATAGGCTATAAGTATGACATTGTAAACAAAATTTTCTTGGTGAGGGGCTCAGCTATCAATGTTTTAGACCAAGCAAGACGAGACTGAGTATCCAATTTGGGCAATGTTCATCGCTCTACTCATGGTACTCCTCGCTATCATGCCCACGTTCAGTGTATGGTTCTTGCGCTACTTCAAGATTTGGAAGCTTGAAGCGGACATTCCGGCTGTAAGTAACTTCTTTGCTAGCTTGTTGAGCAAATATGTTCACATCTCTGAAACGAAGGCTCAAACTACGTTTGAAACTTAAACCAATCTTCACAATAGTTTTCGAGGAACGCGCATCCCACTAGCGCTTTTTGCAAAATTCGTTATTCCTTTCCTACAGAAACGCTCCAGTTTATATTGAAATTATTAGAATGATAAGATAACTCACTGCACATCTAAATTTTCTATTCTAGGCGTCAAAGTGTCTGGGCACAACGCAGAGCACCACCTACATGCTCAAGAGTGAGCAGAGTTTCAACCGTATGACGGAATCAAACGTATCTGTGGCAGAGATGGAGCCAGTTCCTATAGTACGCTCCTAAAACATCAGTGTTCATCTAGCAAGTTGTTTGCCTATTCTTCTCTGGATCCCATGTACATAGAAATCTCTACGGTTGTTGTTGTTGTATGCATATATATATAGTAGGAGGTCAAGCATCTTTGCAGTTCTATTTGCGCAAAGATGTGCTCTATCTGTAGTTGAGGCACTTTTTGTGTCCTTCGCATACACAGTATCTCATGGTCTTGCTCACTGCGCTGCCTTTGGCTGCGACGACGTTGAGCCAGCCAGCCAGTACTGGCCATGCGGATACTGTACTGTTTGCACTCACTACACAGGTACTGTCGTGGCATGTGATTGGGTAGTGTCCGATGGTAGGACCACGCCCACTGTCGAACGCGCAATACATTCAGCACTGGTAGTCTTTGTTAGCATTAGATGATAATATGTTATAACTTTAATCCATGTGATTTTGGCATTATGTCGTATTGTATGTTCAAATCATTTGATCTGACGGCTATCCTGGAGATTACTGATCCAGTTATGAAATCACAGCGCTTCATTCACTCGTGATTGAGTTTTACTTTATTATCAAGAAATCCCATCAATCCCATACAACTCACTCGCCCTCATTCTCGTCAACTATCGCAATATGGTCTTCCCTATGCACTGTCAGAGTTTTTTTCTAGTACCCGGTGCATTTTGTGCTTTAGCTGCAGACGGTATGCAAATCCCTAGCCCTTTACATTCTCCCTTTTGTCTATCCCGGCTATTTTTCGACCCCGGTAGAATTATGGTTTTTTAAACTTTGTGTCAGTATCTTCATGGTCAATTATTCTAGTTGTGCTCACGTTGAGATCGGTCATTTCAGTGAGTTTTGTTGAAAAATTTGTGCTCAAACAGATGAGATCCCAATATTACCGTCCTATTGAATTGTGCAATGTATAAGTGAAATCATAAAGATTGAATCATGCCAAGTGTAGGTGAATTTCTTATTTTGTACACTTCTCCCAAATAGCGATGAAGGGGATCACGAGTTCACGAAACCCATCCTGTCAGACGTTGGTCCAGATTCAGCTTCAAGTTCTTGGCCGAATATTCCCGCAAGTCGTCGAAGAATTCAAGTATACCCTGCAACAATGTCATCAGGCCGTTTTCATTAACTCACGATAGCACGGTTGTACAAGGAAGAGCCTACCTTGGGCACGAAGCTATCCACTATTCCTGCAGGTAAGCCCATCAGGTGGAGCTCTGCTTGAATGATAGACGTCACTTTGGTGTCATTGCCACTGCAAAGAAATTTTTGCCATTTTGTATCATTTTGTATCATTTTTTTCACCTTGGTGAAATGAGCAATAAGGACGGGTGAGTGTGCACACGGACTATGCCTTCTCTCAGTGGCGCTGAAGGATGCGTAACGCTCACCATAACCACGGAGCGGGTACCTAAAGAGCGGGTCTGCAGCGCATCTTGCTGTTAAAGATACTGACCGTCTTCTGGATCCGTAGCAAATCGACACAGATCTACTGCTTCTCTGGCCGCTACCAAACCCATGAGACGCGCTTTAGAGTCGTGTCTTATGATACAAGTATCCTAGAACATTCCTTGTTGAGCTTCACACAACCTCGCTGTTGATTTCCATATCAGCACAAACACACCTCTCTGATTCGCGCTATCAAAGGTGTACCACCGGACTGACTGTCCCATTTGTTTCGGTGTTCTCCTTCAGGGTGAACCATGATGGCAACCTTGAAGCAGGGCTATTGGTTGAATAGGAGTATCACTCAAGTGCGGATGAATTCACCTCAACAGGGGTCCTATTTCGTATGTATCCTTCATAACGAAACATGTTGTTCTCGGTCACGCTGCATCTCATTTTCCACACAGTGCCAGATCTCTTAAAATCAACACCTTCAGAAGACCTACTAGCCGGGGGTTATCCGCAACGCTAAATCCGAAAATCCACATTAGAAGGCGCGAAAACGGCGAGAACATGTGTTTTCCAAAGCCTTACACTTTGAAATTCGACGGTCCTCGCCAAGGCTGAGACGCAGGGTCGAGGGACCTACGACTTTGACTTTGGCGGCGTGCGTACTCTGCCGTTTAGCAGGAATCAAACAGGTCGGAGAACTTCGCTCCAAAATAATTTTCTTTTTATAGGCAGTGTTCGGGCAAGATGGGGGTTTTGGGATTTCAGTGTCATGCGAAAGTGGTCCTCCTCAGAGACAGCATCGCGCAGGTACGAGGTTATGACGTTCGACCTAAGCAAGAAAAACGATCCGGAAGTGGGGAACGCCGCCCTACTCCTAGGGGCGGGGTCCTCCGACCTGTTTGAATTTTTGCAAAGCAGCAGAGTACGCATGCCGCCACAGTCAGTATCGTAGGGCCCTGCAGCGACTCTGCGTCTCTGCCTTGGCGGGGACCGTCGAATTTCAAATTGAGGCTTTGAAAGACGTATGTTCTCGCCGTTTTCGCGCCTTCTAATGTGGACCGTCAGATTCAGCGTGAAGGATCATCCCCGGTAGTGGATTTCCTAAAAATCGAGTCCTTGCCCAGACACTGCCTTTAAAGGCAGTGGCTCGGGAAAATTGCAAGTGAGGGATTTCTACGACTACATGGGTCTTCTGGACCAGCTGAGTCAGGTACTATGCTTGAAAAGTCAAAAAAGTGCTTTTTTGGCGCTTCCCGACCTTGGAGATTGCTGGAGAGGCGAATCGAGGGATTACCGTCAGCTGTATCGCATTGATTGCCTGGGCTGATCAGCCAATTGCCACCAAAATAAGTGAAGTTACGGTATCCTGCAGTGACTTGCTGATTATGGCGGAAATCCCTCGCTCCGCCTCTCCAGCAAGCTGCAAGGCCGGTAAACTCCAAAAAAGCATTTTTTTGACATTTCAAGCACAGTACCTGACTCAGCTGGTCCAGAAGGCCATGTAGTTGTGAACCCCCCCCCCCCCCCGGCCGCGATTTTCCCGAGCCACTGCCTCTAAGTCGACAAAAGCTTGACATGAGGCTATGCTGAATTAATTCTGCGCACTTATTCATGACACCTAGTTTTACGCAGATATAAAACTTAGACAACAAGCCAACAATTCACACTAATCACCTCGTCATGAAATTCGAGAAACAAGGTCTGAATCAATGTACCAAACGGTATTTCACTGTTCTTTGTTATGTCAAATGAACAATATCGTCTTGGGAATGCAGAACTCACCTTTTCCGTATGGTGGTGCCATTCGGAAGAGTGTAGTAAGTGGAAAACTCTTCTTTCAGCGCTTTGCATGCAAATTTCATATTCTGTCAGTGTGTCCGATGAAACATCCATTCTAGGAAAATAAGAATAACTTTCAGTAGGCTCCGCGCGCTAAACAATAATAGCAGTTTTATTAACGATAATGGATAGACACAGCTAAATGTGTTTTGAGGGGAGCATGATTTTGACGTCCGTCAGGCTGAACAGGCGTACCCTAATATCGCAGATATAATCGCAGATCGTGTCGTGGGTGCGATTCTTGTAGATAAGCGTCAGCAACGAAACGTTTCGAGGAATTTGCACTTGTAGATACCTAGCGACTAACTCCCATAGCTTCAATGAACCTTTCAACACTGTAGAGGAAAAAATGCTATTTGATATGGATTAGAACTGTAGTACTTCTTTCCTTTGGAATAATGGGGCCCATTGATAATCCATAGCGTCACCTATAAGGATCATAGGTTACTTTGGGATTAAAGGGAAAATCTGGTCTATCAATACTTTTGAAGCTTTGAAGCTTGGTTTTCAATAGCGTTTCCTGCAGAAACTCAAACTTCTGCGCCTTTGCATATCGATCAGCTTTCCCGATATAAACTATAATAGAACGCAGCTCTAGTTCACAATACTTTTTATACGCAAACAAGAACCTGAAAACATACACTTTTCCTCTATTCTATGAAAAAAAAACACATGGAAGAACATTCTGCGAGAAAGCTCCGAAGCGAGGACAGCGAAAGTACGAAAGATATCGAATTCATGAAAGGCCCTCGGTTTTCTATGTCCTGCTGATTCAATCCAATTTAGCGCCATTTCGCGTATGCAAATACAAAATCACAGAAACTTTTGCATCTTCCAGGGAAAGAGAGTGGACACAGTGATAAGATATAGAATAAGATTGATGTTTGCTCGCTCTTACACTTTCTCTGATTTATATGTAAAAAACTTCTCTGTGGGGCAATTTTGAAGTGCGAGAATGTGCCGTCGCGAAGTTGTGAAATGTGTCAAGTTCGCAGTGGCCACGTCTACGCTGCAATACTTTCTTCACAAAATCCTGGGTCAATCGTAATCACAACATACTCGATAAAGTTCTCCGATTTTCCAACTGTCAACAGCTGTTTGCAATAGATGCATTTTCGCTTATCAGTGATATTCTTATATAAAAAAACTGAACGGTCATGTGCAGGTGTGTCTATGTGTTTGTACGTATATTCTTAAGGGCAGTGTTCGTGCAAAAACTTGATTTTGCGATTTTGTGCTTATACGGGTATATGCCCGTATAAGCACAAAATACGCTATATTGCCATACTAAATCTGAAAATCCACACTGGAAAGCGCTAAAACGGCAAAAGATTCTAGCACAGAAGGGAAACAGCAAGTGAGCGGGGTCCTTCCCACTGTGAATTCACGCTCCCATCTTCCGGAGCGGTGTTCTCGATTCTGCAGCGTCCTCATCGCTACTGACCAAGTGCGAATGATTGACTTAAAACTGGAAGCGAGAAGATCGCTCCGGAAGCTGGGAGCGTGAATTCACAGCGGAGAGGACTTCTCCCACCTGCTGAATTCCCTCCTGTGTTAGAGCCCTTTTACGCCGATCTCGCGCTCTCCAGTATGCATTTTCGGATTCAGCGTATCAAATAGGCCCGGGTAAGCACAAAATCTCAAAGTCGCTTTTTTTGCCCGGACACTGCCTTTAAAAGGATTTTAATTCTAAACCATCTAGACCAAATCGTGCACGTAACAATCCGGGACGGGTACGGGTTCGCAGACTACATGTCATCGATCAATTCCGATTTAAAAAATTTTTTTGCAAACCTTGAGCTACGATGGAGTTGGCGAAGGGGGTACCTTTGATTCAACGGGATTGGCGGCTGGAAGGCGACCGCTCGTACCCGCGAAGCAGTCTGCATCTCTCTCGCGATCGTGCTCTGTGATCATTCACAAGCCTTGATTAGGCCTCGAAGCCCCTCCTTTCAGCCGCCAATCCCGATCAATCAAAGGGGAAGTGAACATGATGATTACTAACCCTCACCTGTGTAAGCACATGGATGCTACCACTTTCAAACTGTGTCCCAGGATGCTACGCACTCCGAAAAGTTCTATTGGGATGCTTCCCAAAATTTTTGCGAGCTCATGATCGCGAAAATTTAGAAGAAAAGTCTATACTTTCGAAAATTTTTGATTTTCCACACCTTGTCCTGAGGTTTGAGGAACATTGTTGAAAACATAATAAGAAGTGTCACTACTTCGATTAAGAACACTTCACACTGAAAGAGTGATATTCGACTATCTCAAAAATCAACTACTCCTGACTAGCAAGGCTAGCAGCTGTTCGTGATTTTCGATCTTTCAAATTCAGATTATTGATGCTTATGATAGGAAAGTCAAATTAACACATTCACAACAATGCCAATTTTTCGATTACTGCCGTTTCGGACCAGAGCCTTTTTCTCTATGCTAAACTTACAACCTACCCGCAGGTCATATTGTCCGAAATGGTAGTTTTTTGGAAAAATTCAAAACATATCTCCAAAATTTTCCCAACAAGGGTCATTGAAGGCGCTCATTATCAAAATATGATTTATTTCAGTTTTTGGCGTTATACGGTAAGGTTACGGTGCTCATTTTTTACGAACCCAACATCAGATTTTCATGAAAAATTGTATTTTGAAATTATTGAACGTGCTACTCACGATTATAGTGTCCACTTTACTCACCACTTTCCCGCGTGGGACTACGGTAGCAGTACGGTAGTAATGTCGTGAAAAACAAGAAACTGATGTAAGAACGCGGTACTAGAACTTGAGACTATCATTTTCGTAATCAGTGCTGCAAAACCTATACATGTAAGTTTTGAGCTTCCTGGGATGACAATGTAAAAAACCAATTAAACCAATAAAATTTTTTGATGGACTGACATCAGCCTCGTGTCCTCCTTCCCCGAAAATTTGAGCTAAAGTCTGTGCCTTGTCTCTATCTACGGTATACCTACCGTAACGTTACATTACAGTATCCCGAACCCGGACCACACTGGTTGGAGCTCCGCCAAAATGTCCCCAACCATGTGCCAGAACCCCGTAAAATAAAATTCAATCTTAAAATGGCAAACCTAGAGCTTTAGGAATCTTACAACTCACCAGTGGGTCGTATTGTCCCAAAACGGTAGAACATGCACGACCCACCGCTGGGTCGTATTGTTGTGAATGTGTTAACAACCACAGTGTACAAGTGGACACCTTTGCGCGCATTGTAAATTTGGAGAACTAAGATTTTCCATGGAAGATGTAACGACGAAATTCTGATAGTTTAAGAAAGCGATGATTCAGGAGTCTTAGATTTAATGTACGCACTTCTACGTGTTTATCATGAGAAACATACTTAACTGCACTTGCCGTAGACAGAGAATTTCGCGATCTCAAACAATCTCGTAACTGGCAGGCAGAATATCTAAATCAGCATTGGAATGCTGAGAACATTTTAGAAAACAAATGTTGATTCACTCATCGCAACGACTCTGCCTCAGCTACAATTCACAGTTCAAATTGTTGTAGTAATATGATGGGAAAGCGACTATGAGAAATACATAACTTCGCAATGTATTGTGGTTAAAGGCAGCGCCCCAGCAGAAACTCGTTTCCTCGTTTTGCACATATTCGATGCCTTCTCGCCATGAGGAACCCTTATCTGGCCTTTCCAGCGCATGAAAATTGCGAAAATGAGTCTTTTCCGAAGCTTTCCCGGTCCGCATTTAGCAAAAAAATGCTGGAAGTGCTCCGCTCCGCTCCCTCGTTCCGGACCCCGTCCACTTACACGTATTTTCCACTGAATGCGGGCTTGGAAGACTTCGGAAGACCTCCTTTTCGCCATTTTCAAGAAAAGCCCAAATATGGATTCCTCATGGCGAGAAGGCTCCGCAAAGGTAAAAAAAAAGTGGAAAACGAGATTTCGGAACAGTGCCTTTAACTTTGAGTAACGATGATTACGAACTAAGCGAAACTAAACTTGCCTATCGTTTCAAAATCCCAGGCTTTTGGGGAGTCTAAAGAGAGAAATCTTCATTTTATAGCCACCGTATAGTGTAATTATGCATGATATATTCATTATATTATAACACTACAAAAGAAAGACATCGCGATCACCAGTCGGAGCCTACGTTACCAATGTAGACATTTAATTGAGAACTTGACGTCGCAGTCTCAAGTGTTGGAGCAGTATTCTGAAATAAGACCACAGTTTGGAGCTTGCTATCGTGCTGCAGCGAAATTGGACCTCACCTGATTGAGCGCATTATATACACACTGCATAATCTGTGCCCATTTTTCACGTGTAAATAGATTACGGTACTCGGGCTGTTGTGAGATGTCGTCTAGTTCTTGGACACTCGTGCTCATCAACAATTGTCGTCTGAACATGGTGTCCCGTATCAGGAGTTGGCGCCAACGACCTGTAAGTTTGAATCTGAGGGCCCAGACTTCCTACTCAACTGGGACAGTTCTGTAAGCGGCACCGATAGCTTAAGTGAGTGTAAGTTATGTGATGATGCACGGATAGGGCGCTACAGGGAACATTGAGGTGTTACATAAAGACTTAACTCTTGGCGAACTCTTTTATAGGAATAAAAGGGCTCAGCTGACTCACATGTGCATAGAAACAGATGCACAATAACATACCAAGTTCCTGCTCTGTCAGTTTTCTAGCGCCAAATCCACGAATAGGTAGAACGCACTTCTCCAGCACCTCCACCGAAGGAACATCGCGGTGTTCAACCAGAAGTTCTCCTGAAGCACTTTCCTTGAAAGTATGTCTTCAGGAAAGCAATGCTATTCACCCTTGTGAGTCTCTTCCGGTTTACCCTGCTCTGCAGTTTCAGCAGCATGATATATTTCTGTTATAGATCTATATGAGGATATTCCAGAATCCTCAGGACGACCAGCCTCCTCTTCGAGCGAAGTCACCTTTAGGCTACCTGCTCTGTTCATTGACGACCCAGCAATAAGGCAGTGACGCCATTCCGAGTAGCTCTTTGGCAGTATCTGCTATAAAGTTGTACTACATCTAACTCATCACTTCGCAAAGGGTATTGTCTGTTTACCTGCCCACTGGTCTCCGCGCCAATGTCCACTCCACGTTCGCTAAACAAGTCCGGCTCGTTAAACTCCAAACGAGACGCATACTGGCTACGCTGGCTGTTGCGCTGAGAATGAGCTCGCTGCACGTATTCTTCCAAATTTGACCTGCAGTGGAAAAGCTGACTTTGTTCTAGAGCCAAGACACTTTCTGCCACGTAATGCGGTAACGTTCTTAATTCAAGTCAGTCTATGAATGCACCTCAAGTTCATCCCGTTGTTATTGGTCTTTTCCGACGTACTCAAATAGTCGGCGCGAGTTGAACTCGGCTGCCGGCTTGGAACATCAGCCTCAAATTGTTTTCTTCCATAAAATCCTGACGCAGCATAGTGCGATGTATTCTTAATCAAAAAATCAAAATGCGAAATAAGAGTGGGAGCATAATGTGCACACGTACACTGCCATCTCTAGATGCTCCATACATGTCTCGCATAGAAGGTGTGGCATCCTCTCTGTAAATAATGATTTCCATTACTTTGACATAATCCAGATCGCTACTACCTGTCAATGTTTCTACCAGAATTTTTCTTGAATATTCCCCGCGGCTTGGCAGATGGCGCAGAAGATGCGCTGCGTGTTGCCTGTGCTGTTGATGAAGTTTCTTGTGAGTCAGAAGGTGAAATGGCAGCAGAATTGGAGTGTCCCCTAGGAAAGATTATATTTACAGGCTTTTGCACAATCTTGTGTTTTTTCGTACTCTGGATAATCAACTCGATCACCCCGGCTACCATCTCTGCCACCCCACCATAGATGATGAGCGTTGTTTTTCGCTGCATTGGGTCCTGAAAGAAAAAACTCAATGAAACGTTTCTGCGTTTGGTCAGCTCTGGATTTGATAAGTAGCGATGCAGAAAAGAAGATACTGACAAATTTAGGCTAACGCACAAGTTCTGAACGTAACTTTTTGTGAGATTGTGACAGTACCCGAACAAAACGTGAAGCCTTTCTATTGAATTACCTTGCTCCTACATTACCAATACGTGCTAAAATAAAAATAGCCGACCTCCAGGGATACCAACAAGCAGACGTGATCGGTTCTGCTTTGCCTCATGCCTCCTTTTCAGGCATACATAGAGGCAACAGAGGATGCACAAAGCGAGCAGTACTGCTCCAAGAAGTAATGGTAATAACCAGACAGAAAGATTACCCGCACGGCTACGCTGCTGCGCTCCAGCATTGTTCCTAAAAGACTCGTTTGAGATACAATGTTTGAGAAAGTCACCCAGACCTGCACTGGCCCTACCCGTCAACAGTCGCAGTATCAGTCTTCGCGGGCTGCTCCACGGCGTGACTGCCTACTTGTGTGTCGCTAATATCGTTGATATTCCTTGTTCCTTCGCTGCTTCCTGTCCTATCCGTGATGCGTGAAGGCAACTGAGGGACAATTGAATTAGGGCCGGGATTTCGGCCATCTAATATATCTGTCAACTGATTCGCATGTACTGAAAGGAATTTTGATGCTCAAAAGTTGCTGGTCAGGATAAAAGGAATGAAAACAGCCGAGGGGACTCACCACCTTGATGTCCATTAGCATTATTGAGATTTTGTCTCCTGAGCAGTTCCTCTAACTGGGTACCGATACTGGCCACATCGACACTGACGTGCTTGTCGGGATCCTCAACAATTATTATGATTATAATTTGTTTACCAGACAGTAAGTGACTCTCATGTTTTGGTATCGAACAGTATCTCACTTATATAGTGAACTAGCTGGCTTACCCGGCTCCGCCGTATCCGGACCAAACTTGGCGCACATACCTTCGGGCCCCGGCGGGTGTCACAGTCCACTTTTCGTTATCGATCGATGTCGATTTTACCGATTTTTATCGATTTTTTTGCAGAGTTCACCTACAGGGCTAGGAGTTGGCACAGGGGGGGAAGTGAGCATGGGGATTCCGAATACAACATTAGTTTTCAGGATGTCCATTACTTTTATCGATTTTATCGATTTTTTTTGCAAAGTTTGAGCTACGGGGCTGGGAGTTGGCACAGGGGGGTAATCGAGCATGGGGATTCCGAATACAATATTGGTTTTCAGGATCGTCCATTACTTTTATCGATTTTATCGATTTTTTTTGTAAAGTTTGACCTGCGGGGCTGGGAGTTTGCACAGGGGGGTAATCGAGCATGCAGATTACGAACACAATATTAGTTTTCAGGATCGTCCATTACTTTTTCGATTTTATCGATTTTTTGAAAATTTGAGCTAGGGGGCTGGAATTTGACACAGGAGTGTAATCGAGCATGCTGACCACCCCCCTTGGGGGTGATCAGCATGCTCGATTACCCCCCTGTGCCAACTCCCAGCCCCCTAGCTCAAACTTTGCAAAAAAAATCGATAAAATCGATAAAAGTAATCGATAATCCCGAAAACCAATATTGTATTCGGAATCCCCATGCTCGATTACCCCCCTGTGCCAACTCCCAGCCCCGTAGCTCAAACTTTGCAAAAAAAATCGATAAAATCGATAAAAGTAATCGATAATCCCGAAAACCAATATTGTATTCGGAATCCCCATGCTCGATTACCCCCCTGTGCCAACTCCCAGCCCCGTAGCTCAAACTTTGCAAAAAAATCGATAAAATCGATAAAATCGATATCGATCGATGACGAAAAGTAGCCTATGACACCCGCCGGGGCCCGAAGTGTATGTGTGCCAAGTTTGGTCCGGATCGGTTCAGAAATGGAATTTTCTATTCGGAACATACGTACACACATACAGACAGACAGACAGACATACAAACAGACATTCAACTTTATATATAAGATAACAGACATTTAACTTTTTTGCGAAAGAAAGCAAACAAGGCAACCATGTGCTTTGCTCGTTCTTCAGATCAAAGGAAAGCATGCCTTTTTGAATAATCTTTAGTGCAAGACAGTGGCGTACCGAGGGGGGCGGGGGGCCCCCCCCCCGAGAATAGGTCGCGAAATTTTTGAAAGTTACTTATATGGGTTATAAATATGTGCAAGTGATTTGTTTATACTTGTAAATAAATAAAATAATGTTTAAAAATTTTTAAAAATTCAAATTAGCCTTGTAAAAAAAATTTTTTCGGGGGCGTGGCGTTAGCCGCTAACGCCACGCCCCCGTTTTTCAGATTTTAGGGGTAGGGGACCCGCAAAAATTTTGAGAAGCACCCCTATTTTTCGGAGTGCGCGGCCAACGCTACGCACCTTCACTCGAAAAAAATTTTTGTCCTTTCTGCACCTATCTCTTTAAAAAAAATTCTAATGTTGATTTTCGGGGAAAATCAAATAAAGCCAGCACTGACTAGCAATCTAACTTCCGCCAAATGTGTTTTTAGAGCACTCTACAATACCGCTCACATTTTTTGAAAAGAAGACGCGAATGTCGCATCATGTGTGAACATCACCGTCGCGTGGCCATATCTCGCTTCAGAGTGGACGAATTCTGCATCTAAAGCCACCATTCGACTCAGCTCGGCGCGGCTCATCTTCTGATGTATGAAAGTGTCCACTTGGACACGTAGGAGGTCAGGATTCCACGAACTGTTTCAGATTTTTGCTTACGATAGGTTACCCAGTGTGTTTATTCATTGCCCTCGACCTACCAGGCAATCTGGAATGATTCGTAATATCTGACCTCCTATTGTGTTCCAGTAGAACTTCTATATATCAGAAGGTGCGCCGCGCAAGCTGAGTCGAATGGTGGCTTTAGATGCAGAATTCGTCCACTCTGAAGCGAGATATGGCCACGCGACGGTGATGTTCACACATGATGCGACATTCGCGTTTTTTTTTTCAAAAAATGTGAGCGGTATTGTATTATTTGAATACTTTACCCACCAATTCTAGCTCGCAAAACAGATTGGCGAACCTGTGTACTCTCCGAGATTTCTAAGGCCCCGGAGCCTGCTCGTCCAGTGACGGAAGGATGTGGTTGGAGTTGAGGTTGCGGTAGCGTGCCAGTGATGGTGTGAGATGTCGGAATGATGGCACCAGAAGGAAGACCGACGGATGTGGTTGCTCCGCTGTGATAGAGACGCACATCGCATTCATTCAAGGTTATGAGCAAAGTATCACTGTAGCTTTTAGATACCTTTCAATATTGAAATTCGGGCTGACGATCGGTAGTGGTAGCGTTTCCACCTCAGGCAGTCCGTAGACGCATTTTACAGTGAGCGTCTGATCACCTTGTAGAATTACTGCAGGATTTTGTCCTATACGAATTCTGTTCTGGAACACGCCTGGAGCCGGCTGAAAGGCATGCATATGACAGCTGTGTGTGAAGACTTCGTCGAAGAGAAAAAATCGGAAGACAAACCATCTGCGTGAGGCATGGGTCATTGAATACAGCAATTTCAATCACGTACTGTGTTTCGCCGTTTCCTCGAAGGCGACATTCTGGTCGGCCTTAAAAGTAACTCTGCTACGGCAGTAACCAATACAACTAGTTAAAGTGTGTAGTCACCCATACCAAAACAAAAGGACTACAACTGTGAGTCTACCTGAAACACCAACTACAATCCAGTCCGTGAATTTTCCATCTGCGTAGTAATTGGGATTGAATTTCACTTCTATTGTAATCAGCTGTGAGCCACATCGGGGAGTGACTGAAAGTTCAGCTGTAATGGCATACGCATTCCAAAACTGGGGGAAATCAAATAGAACATAAAGGGTTTCTTCACTATGAGAAAGATTTGCTAGTATCTGTGTTCTGTTACTCATGCAAATGCTTGCTTGCAATATTTGCAATGCTTTGTCTTCAGTTGATGCTTCTCTAACTTTTTGTCAACAATCACTCCATGATATATTTTGCGCGTTGTAACGACCCGTAGCCACTTTCATTATAAACAATTACGACGCAGCTCTGACGAATGCATACTCATTTTTTCTAATGCGCGGGCACATCATCATTGTTTCTTTCTTCTTAAAAGACACGAAACTGTGTATGGGGGGAGGGGTAAAAATCGTGATTGCAATCGTAAGCCACATTCGAAACAGACCGACCTCGGCGCGGCACGCGCCAAATTTCCAGGTTTTTACGTCGTTAATGTTAGCATCGCGATAAATCGAGTCTATGCCCAAACCATGAAAGTCGCAATCTACGTAGAGGAGACGCTTCTGAAACAACGAGGGAGCGTCATGACCATAACAAACCGCAGGGGGCTATATCAGTACTAACGTCACAATTTGCATGCCTGGAGTTCGTCCACAAGAGAGGAAACCCTAATAGCCCTAGTAGTGCCCACGTCGGCCATAAACCAAAACTAATTATAATTATCGATCGGTACACTACGATCGTTACTGTCCGCTCAGGGAGGCCGGTACTCACTATAATTTGCACTCGTGCGACGGTAATTGGCCCTCCTATGCGCAGCGTGGCTGTTCCAACGGACGCATGTTGGAGTCGAGAAAGTTTGAAAAAGGCGAGATCGGATGTACGGATTAGGTTTTATATCGGAATTCAAGGTGATACTAGTTATGATGGAGCCCGTACTACTTATAAGCCTCTTCATAGACCGCGTATTATAGAACGAATTCGAGAAAAAATGTCATTGATCAAGCCACAAACCTTGGACTCGAGGTGGTATTGAAAACTGAGATCTAACGAGATCGAAGCACAGTATAGAAAATATTAGTCGTATCATCGCTTAGATCGATGCTCCAACATAATGTGCGTAAAAGTTATAGAGTTTTATGAGCAAATCTTCTGAAATAAAGTAAAGAAGAGATGGCATGCTAGGGAGTGAAACCGGAACGAAATGAATGGTCGAGAAAAGTATAGCGATAGATAGCATAACGCAAAAGCAGCGAAAGTAATAGTCTATTTCAAAACTATAGCAGAATCGGAAACAAAAAAAACCTCATTTTCACAATTAGAAAAAATGAAATGAATGTAAAAAATAAGGCACAAAGAGGGCATGAGTATGTGTACGGAAGCTCGCGATTGATGTGAGTGAGAGTGAGTAGACTAGCAATAATGTTCACAAGGGCCAGAGTGCTACAACGAAAACTGAGCCATTTTTCATCTAAATCCTAGCTTAGGAGCACATGTTACAAACAGTACAGGCTGAAAAAGTTTCAAAATTGACACCGTTACGTAGACGAATGAGAGGGTCCACTGGGAAATTCATTATAGACCACAGCTAGTGTGCTCGTCTTCTCTATTCAGCCAAGAACAATACAGAATAGACGACAATCTCGTACAGCGCAGAAGAAGTTTTATAGGTGTTAGTGCGTCGTCCGGAAGTAGTGTGGAAAGCCGCCAAGTTGGGCGGGGTGTACGACAAGCCCGCTGGCAGCAGCGAATCACGTTCCAAGGTCGGCGATGTATCGTAGACAACAAAGGCAGGGATGGGATGCCAACGAATTCACAGCGAATCAAATCTGCGACAAAAACATGAACTATCCGAAGTGAAGAGACCTGATCCTATTCGCAGAGGATATAGCTGCAAAATCCAGCTTCACTCGTCGCAGATACAATTCCGGATTGATGTGGTTGCACGTGAGGCTCTGCTGCCGATATTCATCCTGTCCACGGCAGAGGTTGTGCACAAGTAAGCGCCTGTGCTTTCCGAGAATACGCAGCACAATCCATTTTTGGACATCACCAAATATATCGTGGTGATTTGCGTGTGTTCAGCATGACTAATCGACAATGATTAACAACGATCAGCTGCACAGCAAACGTCCTAATCCGATGCAGATATCGGGGACAGGATTTTTTCAGGCTGTACAGACTCACAGTGGACAAAATACAAACCCAGCAATACTACAGTATGACGTCGAGAGAAACAAAAACATATGTACGCAGGGACAGCAAGGAAACCTCATCCTTCCTGAATTTGAGCAATGGGAAAAACGCGTCAAGGGAAAGTTGTGGAAAAATTCGTCGCGATTTGCCTAAATTCTGTCTGTCCTTTTCACCAAACCTATCAATGAGAAACTGCTGTGGTTAGCGCTTCTGGTGTAGTCTGTCATTCAAGCACAATAGGACGAGAACAGCGCTCGTAACGTGGCTTCCAAAAAGGAGACCGGAATATTACACAAGACGTGCAGATATGGGTCAGGACAGCAAACAGCGTTGCACTTCTTCGAAAACGTACAAGAAAAGTAGAGAAGCGAGAATCTGAATTATCTACAGTGAAGTGGATATGGCAGTTCCAATGACTAGCAGTGCACAGCAAATAGCAATTTCTATAAATACGTTTTAAGAATCTTGAAGTCATTGCATGAAAAAAAAAGTATGCCCGCTGTTCCATTGTTCAGTCGTTCTTGATAAATAGATAGTTGGCATGAAGAGTAGGAGATTGGGAAAACAATTGAGTTTATTTCTTGAATCAGTCTCTTTGTAGCACTCACCATGCGAATCAGCCCAGCAAACCTGCTCAAATTACGCTCATCCATTTCAGTGGATAAAAACTAAGCAACCAGCTTACACTAGTCACTCGTATAGCAGGGTAAGTTGAGCAATAAAAAGAAATGCAGTTCAAGATGCTCTCTGCGTTGCTGATTCCAGAGAACAAGTTATCAAGCAATCGGCTAAATCAGGAAACCAGTTGCAGTTGGGTCCTGATGAGCTGATTATACAAACCAGCTATTCCATGGAAGATTACTGGAGCCAATTGCTTATAGGAACTTATAAGGGCGGCTAATTACCAGAGCTAGGCGCAGCAGCGACGCATTCGCAAGCGCAGTGATGCGCTTCATCTTTAAGCTGTAGCTCCTCCGTAGCTGTGCAAAGTACAGAAGGAATGCACATTATGACAATGATGTGGATGTATCGCTAACTGGGACGAGAATGACGAGGAGACGATATTGAGTATAGGCGGATGTGTTGAAGGGCGCAAGGTAATTGTAGACCGGCCATAATGCAGTCGACTGGCGCAGCGACAGACCAGAAGCGGATGGACTGTTGACGAACGAGGGAGCACGGTCATCGGCTACAGTTCACTGAATCTCGACGCTCCTCTTCAACAACATTTGAAGATTTGATGCAGAATGGTGTCGACTTGAAGCTTCGCAGGCGATACAATGATTTTTGAGCCTCGTGAAGAAAAACAAAGAATTGCTACGAAATCCTCGAGATTTTGCAAAATCATGCTAGCGACATCGCAACCAATGCGAATCGCTGCTGATGTGGCACTTCGCTATCATAAATCGTTGATCCTAGAATTCATGTTGTGTATAAAACCAGTCCCCAAAACAACACATGGCTGGGTGAAGGTCTATGCAATTTCATGCTACAGCGAAGACCAGATAGCACAGTTTGCTCCACATCGAGGCCCTCGATTCGAGGGCCGTCGAGAACTGTCGCGACCGACTCGATGTAGTGAAGTGATCATAATTTACTTAGCAGTTAGTGTTCACAATAACAACTGTAGCTGCTCCTTTATGCTCACTTGCAGTAAACGATAACTATCCGTGCGTTTGTTCGAAATTGTGCACGATAATGCTTGTCTCAAGAGAAATAACTTGTAGAACTGAGGCCACTAGCGTTTTCTGTGAGCACCATTGCTTTCCACTGATGTCCATATTGGAATAGAGTGGCTAACAAACAATTTGAATTTTTCTAGCATTACCAGTAATGACTTCTTTTAAAGAGTGTCTTGGTGGTCTCAAAAGGACTTCTGGAGGAAATGGCTGTCTCAAAACTGTGACAGGCGCCACCGGTGTTACAGCAAAAACTAGTTGCTGCGCATTTGTCACACAGATCCGTATAGGCTTAGCCTATTGTAGGATCATATTCGAGGGATTACGTGATAAGTGGCTTAAGTACGGTGAGAACTCAGGAGCGACGTAAAGATGGAATGGAAAGAATTTTTGTACGAGATGTGAACACACAACATGATTGCGAATTACAAATTGCTAATCAAAGTGTTCTTTATTGCGCGGCCACCTTGATTCGTTGTAGTTGGTGCAAGCATCCAACCATCCCGGTGGAAGGTTGTAAATCTTGTAACGTTGTGATTTCTATCAAATTTACTTCGTGGTAGCAATAGACATCCAGTTAAACGCCAGACAGAACCCCTGCCACCGATGAACAAAACAGAATCAAGACTGGGAAAAAAATATTAGGTTACGTAAGCTTTGTCTCATTTAGTTTTTACCTAAATAATTCATGAAACTCTCGATTTCGTTTCACAAGCTATCGTTCGATAGAGCAAAGCAAGTTCTACACGATGGTGTTTGAACTTGCGCAACATGGACTCCACGCAAAGTCTGAAGCCAAAACTAAATGTTCTAATTTTGACAATCGTGAAGATTGGAATTCCGTCCGAAAATCCTATGGAATTCTAATCACGTTATGTATACAGCTGCTATATTTTTTCCTCACTTAGGGAGCGAGAAAATGGAAATTTTCACATTTTCACTATTGCGAAGCTGTACTGTTCCCGAGAAGTATCGTTTTTAGCATGGAACCTCTCAGTAAGGAAGGATGCAATAAACTTCTAACGTTTATAAAAAGGTGAAAATTCACGGTTGTGTTTCCAAGATTTGTGGTACATATTTACTTATGTATTAAAATCATTAAAAATCGTTTTTTGATTTCTAGGCAAGGAAAGAATAGAGCACCGGTATTAAATGTATGATATGGACTGAATATGGGTGAGCGAGTGAAAGATCCGCATGATATTTTCGACGTAAATCCGATTTTTCAAGCATTTGGATCCTTTTGATTTCCGGCTTCAGAATTCGAATGGATCAAAGTTGTTGCATAACTTCAAACATCCTTGTAGAGCTTCTTTTCTCTATTGAATGGCACCCTGAGAATTAATGAAAATAAGAAGTATATGATTTTTTTTGTAGGAAAGTGTAACCAAACTTATGCAACGGTTGTAAATAATAGAAGGTAACGACCCAAAAAGACTCTGCACCCATAGCAAGGTGGGCAAAAAGACGTGGATCAATTATACACAATGGTAATTTGGAAAACGCCTTTTTTTCTGCCAGTTTAGTTCATAAATTTCCAGCATATCTTAGCACAGGCCTTTTTTGGATCAGAAATTTCCAGAAGGTAAACACCAGTGTCTCATAAAGAAGCACAGATGCACTCGCGTAGTAGATTACCCGGACAGATCTGTGTGTGTTGAAGGTAGGAAGCACTCTTGGGTAAATATGCGCGCTGCTTAACTTTAGAATAAACTCTAAAATGTAGCACGATTGAAAATAAAAGATCAATCAAGGGAGGCACTAGGGAAGAAATACTACTCCAAAAATGCGACAACCGTAGCAATGATGCGAACAACTACTATTAAATCATATTAGGCTGTCTCATAATTTTTACGTTTTCACCCTGAAAACCAGCATATCTTGAGAACGAGTGCACGTACAAAGGGCACAAATACATGCTTGTTCTTCTAAATGGATGAGCTACATACGAGTGTGGCAAGAATTTAGAACATCTAGGGGTGGAGTTTGCCATTTTATTCCAATCTCTTTTTTTTGCTTATTTCTAGCCATGAAATAAATACGGAAAGTGCACAGTTGAGTGTCTGATGTGTTAAGCATATGATTGGGTTGAATAGGGAATTTTTGAGTTGTTTTGGGACGGAGTTACGATTTTTGACGCTAATGTTCGCTTTTGACTGCTATCAGATATCAGCTTCAAACTTCACGTGAATTACGGTTTAGGCAGACTCTTGATAGCTGTCTAGTAGAGCTGGCTTTGCTCCGTCGAATGCTTACCCAAACCGCACCAATTAAAGGATGGACACAAAGAGATGGTGGTCGTAGTAAAAACAGTAAGAAATTATGAGGCACCCTAATAGTAATGGCATATGATTCGACTACCTACCTATTTGAAATGCATACAGCCTTCATGAAATCCTGTAGGTCACGGATTTTAGCCGAAGTTGTCTTGTGTGAACTGTTAGACAATGACATCATGCTCAATCAAGTGTACGATAAGATCATTTTATGAGGAAAGGGCGGTCACGGTAAGCACACTAAGAGTCAAATCACACATCTGGATGGGTTTGTAAATAGCAGTATTAAGTGGAATAGATTTAAACAGGGTGTCCGTAAAGTATGTATACACTGTTTGATCGTTAATATCTTTCTTCCCAACGAGTCTTTTGCCTTGCTTCAGGTACCGTTTTGTAGAGCTGACTTCAACTTAGATCTACAGTATGGAGCGAATCACCGATCGCACTTCGTTAATGTAGGATTACGGTAGAAACTTGAAACATATGGTGTCAATGTGGAAAAAGTTACCGTTTCAAAAATTTTCAAAAAAATGTAAAAACTTGTGTAATAGGGGTTTTATGGACGCTGAGTTCAATACTCAACTATTCACAAGATTGCGAAGCTTTCTAAACGGTGTAACCGCACTTCTTAGGAGCATTGAAAAAATGGCCGCTACTGCTGGCCTGGCATAACTCTTCAATGAAGCATCATAATGAGTTGAAAACTTTACAGTTAGAATCAGCAACTCCAATTAGCCTAGTGTAAAAAACCTTTCTGAGGCAAAATATGGCTTTTCATGGCTCAAAACCCTCTTTGAAGTTTCTACCGTAATCCTTCAGTAATGAAGAGCAATGGTGATTCGCTCCATACTGCAAATCTAAGTAAGCCAGCTCTACAAAACGGTACCTGAATCAAGGCAAAAGAATTGTTGGTAAAAAAGATATCAACGATCAAGCAGTGTATACATTCTTTACGGACACCCTGTATATTACACAATTCAAACGTCATCACGAAAACGTCTAAACTGCTTACACAACAATGATAACGATACCGGTACCTAATTTGCATGGCAGCAGATGAGTAACCACACGTGCGTAACAACCACGATCCGCCACACGTCACGATACCGTACTCAGCATATTGGTCCCCTGCTAACACCCCAAGGCCCCAACGGGAACTGCGAGTTCGTGAACTTAAAATGAACATCAAACAATGCTCCATCAAAACCGTTTTGGTTGATGCACAACGAGGTTTCGTACAGGAGCTGTTGGAAGTCATTTTCAAAATGATTTGTGAGCTGACATCACTGACGTCAACCAAGTCCGGAACTACCTTGTAGCCGTTTTCATCAACGAACCCAGTGGCTTCTGCTAAACAGCGGGTAGGCAAAACTCATAAGATCGGTACCCACAAACTTAGTGGGTTCGCGAACCCAGCAGTGTAATCTGTGAATATCGACCCAACCCAGTAGCACTGTTTTCGCTTAATCATTGTGTAGCGGAACCCACTGGGTTCGTTGACGAAGACGGCTTTCAACTCAACCACATGCAAGGATTTGTGCGGCTTTTACAAGCTAGCGTACCATTCCACAAAGTTCGCTCCCCTTGCAAGGAGACTTCGTAGGGTGCTGTAATTCTCAACCGCAAGCGATTCTGCGTAGGACCATGCGATCTGCATTTCTGGCGATCTGCCATTTAGGCCCCTCATTTCACAACACGCTGTGATCTTCAACTACTTCCTATTCTTTTTAGTCTGCTCTCTAGAAGTTTAATTTCGCTTGCATTATATCTCTATATCATCTGGTATTTGCAATCCTTTATCATTCATGTACGGTGTTTTGGTTATAGGTCCTCCTCATGCCACGAACCATAGAAGGTGAAGCTCTGATTCGTTTACCGAGCATGAAGTAGGTTCTTCAGGCTTTCCAAGTCTTCTTGCTTTACGAATTTCTTACAGCAAAAGAATCTTCCCTCCCAGAAGAATGACTCTTTGCAAGAAAGGCAGTGTGAGTTTAGATTTATCAAGTGAATCCACTTAGAATGAACTTGTTGCATATCAGTTCGTAAACTTGCTAATAGCACATTTAGAGTGTTTACCTCCTCGAGTACCGCTCTTCTTATGTAGGACAAATTGTAGATTTTACCCGGTTTGAAGCGGTCAGTGAAGTTGTGTGTTATATAACAACTTGATAAATAAATTAATATATCTACATTAGAGGGAGAGCGCTGACGTTTTGCTGGAAGAGCTTCCGAAAAGAATCAAATTAGAGAATGGAGGAGAGCTGGAGGAGATAAGTGTAATTTCACCTTTGAGTTTGAGCAATGGAGTAAGTGAAGTGAAAGATTTGTAAGACATTTTTATTGGAGGTTATGTTAGCAAGAGGAGTTTCCAAATTACCTAATGGAACCTGATCAAATGCTCTTTAGTTCTGCTAGTTTTTATTGGCGTCAGTTTTCAGGGCGAGGATCTTTCAGCTCCGATCCAGCGCGTCAGAGCTTGCATCAGAATACTGAAGAATTCCATTGTGGAAGTCAAGACGGAGATAGAAGAGGATATCGAGCCTACAGTCACCGGGTTTGAAGTCTGTTTAGGCATTAAGTTTCACCACAAAAGCAGGATCACTCCAACAGATTTGTGGCTAATTTATAGAGTCGTGCCGTTGCGGTACGTGACAACACTGGAGAAATTAACAAAAGAAAACTTTTAATGGACAGGAGTGACGAGGAGGAACTGTTCGACAATGTTAGTTGGCCCTATTTCAACTAATCCTTATTTGATCAGTGATTTTTTTGACCTACAATTCTTGTCTGATCTAATCACTGGCAGCCACGGTGTAATCTGTTAGACTGAGAACTAGTGGCATCACGAAAAACAAAAACCATATAGCTACTTTCTAACACCGGGGCGAAATTATACTGTTACTTTTCACCAGCTCACTTCGCATTTACCCGATAAAGAAATGGAAGGGTACCAAGTTTTTAGGAAAAGAAGGATACTGTTGCTTGTCCAGCCTTGACATCAAGGAGTGTTGTGGAGTCGCGATATCGCCGGATGAGAGAGGTGACTCAAATTCTTTGTTATTTTTTGACAAATGTTATTCTTCAATGAGAGGTTTTATGATAAAAGTTATTAGGCAAACGGTACATCAAAGTTTTCCGAGACCTTTCTTCACATGTTCAGGTACGCGCTGCACCGCGCTGTCGTAACAGAAGAGGTAGGAGAAGGAAAGTAAGCAAAAGGGGTGTTCGAAGAGACTTCAAACTCGCTAAGTCGTATGACGACTCTCACTACTCTTCTGTGCAAACGAACGAGGTTAGACTATGTGTGGTATTATAATGTTTCGTATGTATACTGTGATAGTATTCTACATATTGCATATGTATTTTGCTGCAGATAAAATGATATCCTTTTAGGAAACGTATACCTTCACTTCGTCGGGTCGCGTTATCCATGCCCCTAAGCGATATCCAAACTAGCAGAGCCATGGGGACAAGTTGATGCATTGCTTGTATGGCTTCTTGTTGATCAGGTCACTGCATATCCTTTATGTTTGTGTTCTTCAGTTTTCGTGTAAATTTGCCTTCTGTCATATAGCTTATTTTGATGCGGTCAATCTAAGTCAGTGATTGTCAATCTGTTAAGTCTCTTTTGTTTGTTTTCTTTTTCTCGCTATTTATTTCATACACTCCTTCGGGTTCTTGCTTTTATCTTTCTTTTGTTCCAGTTGTGATCGCACAATCATTCAGTCTCCTTTCATTTATTTCTCTGAACAAATTTGTGATGGTGCAATTATGTAAATTGTTATCTTTCTCTTTACTACTTTGCTTTCAACTGTTTCTGATGTTAATTATATTTCAGTTATAGTAATCTAGAACTGTATGGGCGCAGAGTGCTTCTGTGTGTGCGTCCTCCATCCTTCACTGATGGTACGAATGAATTTTTGTTATTGTTTTTATTACACACTCATCTTGGGTACCAAGTGGAGTGCCTATAAGTAATTCAAAACAGTCGATGACGGTCAGCTGGCTACAACTGTTGCAGACAGCTTTTGCCAGCTTGGTGAAGTTGGATATATCTAATTGAATATGGGAATTTGAACTGCTCTATAAGGGGCCTGTTACATCGGTTTGTTTGATAATGTTTGAAGTAAACTCTTCAAAATGCTTTGTGATTTTTGGTGGAGTGCATCTTCCGCCACTCTTATTATTGATATGTAAGCAAGTAAAATAGACCACGAGCTTGAATATCGGCACGCACAAGTGTATGAAATTCTACAGCATTTCAAAAGCTAGAGTTATCATAGAGACCAATGAAGCAACAACAAGACTGTCTCGGCGCATCTGCAGATCATGTTCGATGAAGGTAGATCAGTTCACTTTTGATCTTTCCACTCTTTTCTGATCTGAACCACCACTTGGCGACCTTCGTTACTGGGATAAATTTTAGTCTGATGACTTTTATGCTGTAAAGTCGAATGTAAGACAAAGCTGACTTAGTGTGGCGAAATTGTTTTGCACTGGTCATTGCACTTCATCCACAAATTATAAGCAACTCTTTTCGCGTCAGTTAGTCAAGGATTATGCTAGGGTTCCAAGATCTCGAACAGAAGTCATGGTCCAGACTTCAATTTGATATACCGTTTGCACTGATCGTTCAAGATATCCATTATCACTATCTTTGGATGCCTTTAGGCTGCATCGCTCTCAGTAGCTAGAGATACATAGCCTATAATTTTGCTTCCTATTCTGTTATTCACCCATTTTGCATAGAATAAACTTTATTAATCTATCAACCGGGACAAATTCAATCGAGATCAACTTGAAAGCAAAATAATAATACAACAAGTAAGGCTACATGAGCAGCATGATCGAAAGCTACTTGCTGAAATTCGGATGCTTGCCTGGTGCACAGATGAGGCGACCCGATGAGGTGAATGTGAAGTTCTGAAAGCAAAACAGAGCTGGTTGTCGGCAAGCACAAACGACTTACCTCGTCTTCAAGAGCGCCCGGGGGCACACCGCTTCTGCGATGCTTCTTACGTCTACGGGTGGCCTGATCCTCACCAAAACTGTGCTTTTTGAAAGCCAGCTTTTCAGAAGTTTCCAAGTGTTTCCTTTCCTTCTTTGCCCAAAGGGGAGAAGAGGGTTCAGAGGATTCAGAGGACGAGGTGTATCTGTATTTCTTTTCCTTCTTGACCGGAGGCGGAGAGGGGGATTCCGAAGGAGGCGTGAACGTATACTTCACGTTGGGCTGCAAAGAAAACATCAAACCTCCAGGTTGCTGCTCAACGTATATTTTGACATGAAACCGTACCACTGGACGTCTCAGGATCATACCAGTGCGAAGTATTTTTTTATCCTTGAGAAGTTCCTGGAAGTTTGAACTAAAGGACATGTGTATCTCTGGAGCCCCTACAACTTACTTTCTCAGTTACATGATCTGGGATTCTGTGCTTCTCTGCCATCGGCGAGCGCATAGGTGCGCATTTCGGACGTATCATTATGATACTGCGCTGAAGTAATCGAATAATCTGATCGAAGAACCTAAGAAAAAAGAAGATTTGATGAGTGCAGCTGCAGCGAAGCACCGGCTTCAGGGGATCTAAAATTTGACTTCCCGCGCGCATGCCTGTTCGCCTCAGGCGTCGGTACTGTAGCCTTAGACTTGCTGATCCTTTAATAACCGATTGAATTCGTATTAGCTTCTGGCAGTGGTCACCTTTTTTTTTTCAAGTAATACGGTGTGCTTCCTTTATGCCCTTGTCATTCCTATCATTCCTATCGTGGTCACTCTATATGTGATTGGCTTTTGCTTATTGTATACTATTGTAGTTCTCGAATGAGTGAAAAAAATACGAGTCAAAAGAGTCTTAAGCGTCCGAAATCGAAAGATGATGGAAACGCTGCGAACGCCACCTCGGAGGTAATGCTGTAGCAGCTCAATTGAGTTAGTGAGGCTATCATTTTAGGTAAATGGAAAGCAGAAAAAGGAAATGAAAAAGGATGAAAAGGAATTTCGAACGCCTCGGCCAAAAGTAAGAAAGCCACAGGTCAGTTGTGGAAGTGATTAATAACAAAATGTAAGAGAAGCATTACAGAAAAAAGAGCGTCCCCTTACTGCGGTAGGCGCGAAAATAAGAGCCCGTTCGAAGGTAAAGTATTCTTTTTTCCTCTGTGCACCTGTCTATTTTATCTTCAGACGCCGGCGAAGACAATCAAGACCGCGAGGGGACGCGTAATTCGCAATCCGAAACCGTTTACTTTGGAATTTTAAATTATCCTTCAAACCTCCTTTGTTGAATAAATCTTTGTTAACACACATTCCTCGTTTGATCAGCCATGGGGAGAATCCATTTTTGAGAGGATCACATAGCGTATTGCGCATTCAAATCGGAGACAGCCCGGGTGGAGCACAATATGTCGTCGAATATGTATGGGTGGGTCCCACGCAGACTTCCTGACTCTCACCTCTGTGCAGGGTGCGTATTTGTTGCAAACGACCGCGGGGCCGCCCTTTCAGCGATATGTAGTCCTCTGTCCGAGACAGCCTAGTGCATAGTATTCTATCGATGAAGGAATAATGGAAATGTAATAACACAGTAGTATATGATGAAGATGTGATGCCCTATTTACACATCATTTGAAGCGTTACCGTGAAGAGTATTTTTATACGCTCAAACAGAGAGAAAACTTTGGAGGCTCGCGTACAAACCGGAGAACTTCTTACAATTGGATGTATGGATGGTGGATAGCGTCCTTGGCAGTCTCCTCAGTGCTTTTTCAGCTCTATCTTCAGTTGTCTTACTTTGTTCTTATGCTTGTGCTATCCTTGTTAGGATGTAAGTTGTATGCTCGGGGCAGTGCATATTCACATGCAATAGTTCTGCCCCGAGCCGTACCCCATCTTCCAAAACCAGGGGCTCTAGTATAATTCAGGATTGACCTCTGTGCCACGAGAGATCTTGGAATTACGAGTATTTTTCTTCCGTCGGGATTGCAGATCATCCCGCATCAGTTCCGACCTCCTTTCATTACGTGAAGGAAGCTTCACTAGACTATTTGCTCTCCAGAAACTTCAACTCTAGCCGTTGTTGTTAAGCACCGTCACTTGCATATGATTCTGTGTTAACACTTGACAATGTACGACGATACATCTACTACTCTTATGCTCTTCGGAAGCATACCAAGGATTACTTCTATCATCCCTTACTCGGTCACTTTCTGCGGGATCTACAAGCATTCTTAAGTATCATTTTAGGTACCACAAACCTTTGACCTCATATGTACCCATTTCGACGTTCAATTTTATGTTCACCTCCAGCTGTTAGCATCGCAATGTGAGTTTTCTATGTTGTCATTTGTAGTTTCCTTCATCAAAGTTTTATGCCGTTCGTTTACCATCTATGCCATGATTGGACGTTTGCTTTTCTTTTGATTAGACCGGGTGTACGTTTTTACGACTGCGACAGCCTTTGTTTACTCAAACAAGATCGTTTCGATTCCGTGACGTTCAATTCAGAGTATTAGACTCGTATTCTCACTGCTTGTCGGCACGAGAGATTGGAAAATAGAAGTTAGCACTGTAACAGCACCTGCAATTTTCTATGCAAATGTTTTGAAACTGCTAACTTCTATCTGCCAATCTTCTCCGACAGCAAGTGATTTAGAGCAGAAAGGGACTACTTGCGCGAGCACTTAGAATATCCTCGTCTTCCAATTGAGTGATATTTCCAGTTCCTCCGTAAAGCGTACGAATCGTTCTATGAGTCCTCAAAGTTGTTCACCTGCTTTCATGTACGGTCAAATACCTAATTGTAATTTGGATATCCCCTTGGCAGCTATACAAGTTTCTTGTAGATTTCAACCTTATTGAATTGAGACAAAGGTTTTTTATGCGCTTATCATCCAGATGGCTTCGATAGGTAGCAGTAGGGCAAAACCGCGTTCATGTTTGTGCTGTCGACGATTGAACTCGGAACCACGAAAAGATTGCTACAAATAGTGACCGAATGTGACAATGTTTGGACTTTCCAGGAGGGATAGCATATGTAACGCATACATATCATTAGCATTAGCAACAAGAAAATCTGTTCCGATGTATTTTCATAATTTTTAAGCAGATGCTGATTGTAAGAATACACAGTAAGGGAGTTGTCGTTCATTTCGCTGTTACGATTGCTTTTTGGTATGGCTAGAACCAGCGGTTGCCAAGAGAAATTTAGCAATTATCATCTTGGTGTAGGGGTGTATGTCGGAAGTGTCGCGTTCAGTGAATTGAATGTGATACATTCGTGCAATTTTAATATACCTTCACCTTCACCTACTGTACTCACAATCAAAATGTCCCATCGGGTGTATGCCAAGATGAAGATAGCTCCACATAAGCATACTGTAGCCCTACGGTTGGCAACATGCCGCGCATATACTCGTCCTTTTTTTTACATGTTTTTTGCAGGATTGAAAACGCCGTCGGAATGTAAGAATTAGGGCCTATTGAACTCCCAGCGTTTTTTTTAATTCTGGAGACATCATAATAGTGCAAATATAGATCTTGAAAAAGATTTGACCTACGCAACGCACATGGCTGTCGTACTATTGTTCATGTTGGCTGCCGCCTGTCTCATCATTTCGAGGATAATGAGCATTCTACGTTATGCTTGATGATACGTTCTGTTCATCCATTTGTCTGAATCACCTGCAGTAGGTTTCTTTTTGAGGGAGCTGGCGCACGCAGTTAGTAAGCGAGTGTTATAGAATGTTAAAGCTTTTATAGCTGTGTTTGATGACAGCGTCTACGCATCCATGTGTATTTATGCTCGGTTTCTCACACTTTTGTGGGATGATCCACAAGCGAGCAGATTTCAGAAACTTCGAGTTGCGTACTTTTATCTCCCTTCTGTAGTCTAGTAGATTTTCCGCATAATAGTGTGCTTGCGGAACAGAGATTTTGCGGTGATAATTGCGCGTGAAAATTACGCCTTAATGCCGGCTATTTGCGCGCGCAAACTGCCGGCAATTCGGGCGCAGCTATTCGTTTACTCGTAGATTTTACTGCAGAAGCTCTGCACCGTAAGTATTTACACTGTACTGCATGGGAAATCTACGAAATCGTACTGTAATGTGGTACTGAATGCACATTACTAGCTGTTTACTTTATGAATGGACGTAGGACATATTGTCAAGTAGTCTGACGGTTAACATAGTAATGTCCTTACATATCGACAGTAGAGACCGCTAGAGACAGTAGAGATGCTACATGTCAGTTTGATATTATTTTCCAACATCTTTGCCACCTGATAACCCATCTTCACTCCTTATATTGCCATTCTGTGCCGTCTGGAAGTGTCTTATGTCTACGTTGTTGTTATTGTGATTGGATTCCTCAAACTTTGACAATGTTTATGACCTTTGTACTCTTACTTCGGCAAGTCTATGACCTTCTATACCTTCTTGACCTTCTATAATCTTTACCCAATCAGCAAGTTGAATTATGATCATTTGCTTGCGATTGCGTTTAGAGCGAATCAACAGTATCCTTATTTTAGAGACGTATGCCAAAAAATTAACTAAGATTGAAAATAAATATTGTTAGTCATGGTGAAGATACAGATTTTCCGTGATGTTTTAAAGGCGGTCTATTACCACTTCTGTTTCAAGCACGAAGTTCCACGCGTAGTCATCTTCTTAACTGCTTCACTTCCGAAGCAATATGTTACTCTATAGTACATGTACGTGTTCCAGAAATAGCTATATAAGTAGCTTACCGGATTTCCTCTTTTGCTCGGCAATGATTGCAGTCGTAGGTAATAACTCTCTGCAATCCGCAAAACACTTATCGGATTTTGTACGGACCTATCATTCGAACTATCGTACGTGCTTGTTCCCTTAATTTTACTTCAACTGTGCCCGAATTTATTTCGCTTCACATGGCAGATAGAAGTGGAGAGGCCCATCAGAGTTGACAAACAAAAAGGCTTAAAATGCGGCAAGTAAAAGCGCAAAAAGTAACACCATATAAACCGTACAAAGCGCTTAGTCTTCAATTTTTGACTCGTAATCAGCAAAGTTCATCGCTGATTGAGGATCCCCCCCCCCCCCTCCACCCGCCTTGAGCATCTCCTCATCACTAAAGGGCTTTGGCCTTTTATGGCTTTGAATCAGTTTTAAGAGTTAACGCAGCTTCTATCCACTTGCTCTCGCTTGCTCTGTATGTCGCGGTAAATTAGCAGTGATGCATCTACCAAGAAAAACTTGAACACCTGCGCCACTGCGTCATGTGAAATCACGAGAAACTTTTCCACATCTCACTACCTCAATCTGATAGGTTTGGAGGATGGATTAGATGCAAAGAGTTCTTGGTGTGCTCCTGCAACGTCCACCCATGCGCTTTTTGAGTGTGCCTGCCACCTATCTTGAATCTGCAACTCGCGTCGAGAGCTTTTGTGCGAATGAATGGCGGCTGATGCGCTTGAATGACTGCGATGCAGTCGAAGGCGAGTGCATGGCAGATTAAAAATCAGTTCCTTTTTTGTCTGTGACATCACCTGCGAGATTAACACAATGGAATGACCTCGAACGCTGGCATAGTACAGAAATAGGGCTGCTCGGCTCTATGCCCATTGTTGGAAACAGTACATTTTGTAGATACAGCTGAGTCAATAATACGTCAGATTTGCGTTCCGTTCTCCTGTCTTCCTCCTATGCCATCTAATTACGTACTGACTATTTGATGTGGGTGTCGAGTACCCAACTTTTTTTACTTGTTCAAATAAGCTATTTTGATTTACACTGAAACTCTAAGCATGGTTCAACAAGTTTCCAAATTTCTTATTCCAAAAAAAGAGTAGGTTGGGAGTATTTTTTGGAGGCTTAATGCCACATCCGTTTGAAAAAAAGTTCTCATTTCAATATCACAGCTAAAGCTTCCTTCTAGGACTCGTACTCGTCCGTAGCAGAACTTCTTTCCATCAACAAGATAAGCCTTGCATTAGACTAGAAGTTTAAGCTTGAGTTTTTCAAAAATATTCGAGGCATGGAGCCAGCAGCTGCTTCATTGTATATATGTGACTTAGAATTTGTCAATCATTCTTCAATGACTGCGCTCCTGCTGTTGATATTTTGATCCAGACAGAATCTTAGCATCTAGAACTAGAGTTGAGGTTGTTGGATGCATTTCTTCATAGTAGCACTTCTCAACGCAGTTTTTTGTTTCCTGTCTTTCTGCAGCTGGCTGCACTTCAAACTCGTTTTGATAAACACCTGAGCTTAGTGCAG